CCGTGTTGAGGCCTGGCTGTGGAACTAAGTACAGTGTTGGTCTTGCCTCTCCTTCAAAATCAGCAATAGATTGTCTCTCGGCTCCAGGGAGGTGTCATTTCTATAGAAATTAGAAGCCGTCTGATTTCTAGATGAAGTTTTACAATTGTTTCTTACAGTCGCATGCACTAAGTACTCTGTAAGCAGAGGTGGCTAGCTGTGCAGCCTTAAGGCAATTTTTTAAGTCACCACGACTGGAAGTCATATGAACTCTGCTCAGCAATAATCTGTTCTCAGAACAGACCTCTCCACCCACTGCCGGATTTCTCCATTCAGCTGGATGATCCTGAGGACCGACCAGTTAGCTGGCAGGTCGTCCAGCTTTTTATTTCAGTCATAATAGATGACGGTGTTAACCGTGAAAACTTGAGAGGCACTCTACCCTCCTCCCTGTAAAATCAACACAGTGTGATTTTACAAGGTCCCCTGGCACCTTGCTCAGGGCCTCTGCCCCTAGTTAGAAAGCAAGACGGCAGCAGTTGCTGCTGCTGATTCTGAAAGGAATGTATAACTTGACAGCAGCCTTCTGAGTCTGGGTCAGGAAGATGTCCTTTGGACCAAAGCAGACTTCTTTACACGCAGCTGTTTCCCGGGAGTCGCCACAGATGTGCCCACTATCCTAGGTTCCTGTGAGTCAGCGGAAGCTCCTGTTACACCCTTTGCTCCTGGTGGGAGAGGGAGGAGTGAGCTCCCTGGGTTCCAGTATTTACTTGGTATACCTGAGTTTGGGGGTACCCTTTTTTGTTACTGTTTTCAAAACAGTGAATTACTGTCACCTTGATGTACAAGTTTCAATAAAACTTTGTAAAAATAATTGGACATGTGCCTGGAGGAGCTCTGATTCTACTCAGTCCCTTGGAGAAGAGACGACTCCTCCAGAGTTGCGTTTCAGTACCATTCTTGTGGCTCTGAGCGGACAGGGCTACTCCAGCTGCCCAGGCCTGAGAACCATTCCTGTGACCCACCCATTCACACAGTTTGGAAGCCTGTTAAGGGACCCCTATAACTGAGCCCCTCTGAACAGCTCAAGTCACAAGGGAAAGCTGAAGGAGGGTAACAGCAGAGGCCCCTGGCTTCGGCAAGTTGGTGGCGTCCCCAGGCTAGAGGGTTTGTTTCCTTTTGCTCCTAAACAAGCCCTACGGGACAGCCTGGGATTGTGACCCTGGTGTGTGAGATACCAGGACATTTGTGGAGTCTGAGCTATTTTCATCCACTAAAAGAGGCTATGTCCTTCCTCCAAAAAGGTGGAAGGTTATGGGTGTCCCTTTAAGCCTTCTCAGGTTATCGGGGAACATTTTAAATTTAGCAGGAAAGCATGCTAATGAGCTCTACCCACTGGTGCAGAAAACCCAAGCTGAAAATGCTATGTAAAATAAGACTAGTGTACTGGAGCTGGTCACCCCGTGAGTTCGCCAAGCCCTGGGGCCACAGGGAACTTCCAGGTGAGGTCACTGCTGAGATGGAGGAGACGCAAAACAAGAGGACATGGTCAGAGACAACACGTGTGTGCATATTCAAAGGATTTCATTTTCTTTAAAAAGCACATCATAGTCGGAAAGCCTGCCCACCAAGTGAAAGCCTGCGTACCCAAGAAGCTAAAGGTTAACAGTGATTTTACAAAGGCGGAAAAGGAGACCTTGTTTTGCCCAAATCGCGGGGGCAAAACCATATGTCAAATTGTGTCCTATGACCAAGTAATCCTTTCTCCATTAGCATTTCCTTTATGGGTGAGGACTTACAGTTAGTTAAAGCTTAACTCAAATTGCTTTTCAATGAAGATATATTTTTCCCTCTAGAAACTGATACACAGGTGAATTTATACAGCCAAATTAAAGCCTAAAAATTACTAAAATGTAAATCAGTATTGCAGGGCCAGGGCCACAAACAGGAAGTCAAAAAGCCAGACAAGAAAATTGTGCCTGCACCTCAACTAGCTCAATTAGGAAATCTCCAAGGCTCCTAAGGCTGAGAGAAAAAACCTGGAACATCATGATACGATCTATGGCTGCGGTCCGAGACTGAACCAGCCATTCTAGGAAAGAACAAAATTTCATTTTAATTCAGTTCCTTCTGTGTGAGCACAATTTCACTTTCAAGTATTTACTTCCCATATCTGGTCCTCCTCTGCTATTATGTCACCTTCAAAAATCAAATGTCCCCAGTGCGATAGTACTAAGAGGTAGGGCCTTTAAGAAGAGATTAGGTCATGAGAGCCCCTCTTCTCATGAATGAAATTAAGGTTCTTATCAAAGAGGCTCCAGGCAGCATTCAGCTCCTGTGCCCTGGCACCTTCTGCCACATGAGGACACGCAGCTTTTCTCCCTTCCAGAGGACCCAAGCACAAGGCGCCATCTTGGAAGCAGAGAGTAGCCCTCACTAGACAAGCAAACCTGCCCATGCCTTAATCTTGGACTTCCCAGCCTCCAGAACTCTGAGCAAATGAATTTTTGTTCTTTATAAATTACCCACTGTCAGGTATTTTGTTAAAGCAGCACTGAATGGGCTAAGACATCCACCAATGTTTACAAATGGTTTGAATGAATTGATGAAGACCCAAGACATGGACCACTCATCAAATCATAATGTTTCTGAGGAATAAAGCTTCAGCACTTCTCTTGACCAGCAAATTAGTGGAGAAACAAACTAGAGCCTTCTGCCCTGGTATGCCAGCTATAATTGTCTTCAGGAGAAAACACGGAAGTTGTAGATACATACACATTTCTTCTAAAACCCCAGTCATCCCTATTAGAATTGTAAAAACATCCACAGGGTCCTCCTAAGAGTCATCGTCACTGTAGTGAGCCAGACATTTGGAGAAGATCCCGAAAGCTGGAGCAGCAGCCGGAGCCCTGTCTCTGGGACCCCAGCCGCTGGCTCTAGGACGAGCCACTGGGCTCTGCCCTCAGGGTTGGCTCCCACAACTACATTGTCTTGTCTTTCATACAACTAAAGGGCCTTTCCCCAGATGAGGATGCCAGCTCTTAACTGCTACCTCCCCCTAGAGTGAATTCGCCCAGCCCATCTGAAATACTCACTGGCCAGTGAGAACAGGCCAAGATGTGTATACCCTTGGTCGATTTTTTGTGGCTCTCTGAAACACAGCCTGAGTTATGCAGAGTAATAAAGTCATTTTCAAGGTTTTTCCGTCTACCTCTAACAATCCCTCTAGGGTAAATAGAGTTCCGTTCATCATTAATAGACTCAAGGGAAAACAAAGTGATCAACACTGGACTCTATTTCCACTACCCCCACCCTTCCCAGCTTCAGGAAACAGCTTCAGCATTTGAGTGGGCAAATGAGAAACTATTTTTCTCATATAACACTGTAGGCCTAGAGCCACGGTCTACATGCTTTAGACATCATTAGCAGTATTTAAATTGCCAAGGAAGACATGGGACTAAAACTAGAACAGACCAAGGTTTCTCAACCTTGGCACTATTGAGGCTTTGGGCCTGCTTTACAGTGGGGGGCTGTCCTTTGCATTGTAGGATGTTGAGCAGCATCTCTGACCTCCACCCATTGGATACCAGTAGTACCTCCCAGTTGTGACAACCAAAAATGTCTCCAGGCATTGTCAGATGTCCTCTGGGAGGAGGGAAGCAAAATCTCCCCATGGCTTAGAACCAGTGGAAGAAGCCAGTGAAACCATTGTATTCTGAGAATGGAAGCTGAGCTGGCCCCCACGAATGTTTTCTACAGCAAATCACATTCAAGAGGTCCAATTCTGAAGACAGTCCTGTTAAGCAAAATTCTCTCTTTTGGTCTAACCCTCCAAATCCTAAAGTTACATGGTTATGGAATTTGCTATGCAATCAACCTCTTTAGTCTGGTGACAATTAAGTTGTAAGTGCAGAAAACATCTAATTTTGTGCTTATGAAACAGGAGTGGCCAGCACGAAGGGTTAGGCTTCATTTTGCGGTGTGGCTGCGGAATTGGTTGTTTCTTTCAGGCTATTCTTTCGGGTTCAAACACTTTTCCTTGGCACTTCCTTTTGAAATCAAACCATGTTGACTTAGCTTTGGAAGTTTTCTGTGGCCTCCCACAATTCTCAGGACAATCGCTGAAATAGTTGGTTGATATTTAACAGACGTTTTCCTAATGCTACAAGGAAAGAAAGGTTCCACATTTCACTGCTTCAGCTTCTGAATTATTTTCATTCTTATAATTATGACCTTGTGGTGGATTTTCATGCCCAACAGTAACACCAAAAAGAACAGAACTGCGTCTGTGGGTCCCATCACAAGCAACGAATGACAGATACGACTCTGTGAGCCCAATTTTGACCGTGGTCAGACGACTTCATTAGAAAGTAAAAATTCAAAGACTACAACCCACAGGAGCCATGAAAACAAAATCACCATTTGCCAAAACTCTTGTTTGTCTGGATGGAGCAAGTTTATACTAACAAACTAAAGAATGAGAAAAAATTTATCTTGCAGACTGTAAAAGTTCATCTAGTTAAAAATGGGAGTATTTTCATTTTGAATTACCTTTGATTTGAATTCTTCCCTACAAAGAAATCTACATTATTAAATTGTAGTTGGCCTTATCATAATAGATGAAAGAAATCTTGAGCTGACCTGTTCCTGGTTAGCTGATTATGGAAGTGGGTAATCCGTTCTTGAGTCATCCTTTCCAAATGGCCTTTGTGACAGCTTAAAGAGCTTTCCAGCTCTGCAGTCCTATAATATGACCTTAATAGCTAATTCATGGTTCACTGGAAGTACTGACCGAATTTCCACAATGTCACACTCTTGGTAGAGAATGCCGCCAATTGCTTAACTCCAGGATAGCAGTGTGCCCTAACCACCACGTGGCTTCCTCTATCCCACTCCAGAGGAAAACCCTCCCCACAACGTGAAGAAGGTCCCGTCCATGACAACACACCTACACTGACACACTGGTGATAGTTTTTCTTTCATAGTCTCTCAAAAAAAGAAGAGGTCATTGCACTAAAGCACACATTTTTAGATCATTGCTTTATTTCACTAATTGTTCCACAACAAAGTTCATTCCTCTCAAGGTGGATCTTGAATCATTCCTTGTGTTCTCTTCCTCGTTCTGAATAAAAAAGGTAATGAAGAAAAAGCCTGTACTTTTGGAGACCTAGAATCTTGATTGATGCTAATAAGCTTTTGACAGCAATTTCGTGTTACGATATTTCCTGCTGGCATCTTGGTGGTCTCACGGGGCTCCCCACCCTCCAGTGAAGATGGCCGTCCACAACTACCACCATTGAAACCAAAAGGAAGTGTTGAAAAATGCACCTTTTACAATAAAAAAGTAGAAACCAATTCAATTTCCTCTTTTTTTTTTTTTTTTTACGAATATAAAGTTTCTTGTAAATATGTACAGTCTTTTGAGCTAGTTCTATATAGCAGGAAGCAGTTCACAGATGAAACACACAATATACATTTTCAGGGCTCAGGAAGCCCGTTTCTCATGGAGATCCTAAATGAAATGCCAAGACTGAAAGACCAATTTTCAGTGACCTTTCCAAATACTGTGGACCAAGAGACAAAAACTTCAGCAAACATTCAATCAAATCTGCCCTGGGGACGGGAGGGGAGGGAGTACGACCCCACAGACTCCAAGCAACACATGAAACGCGACAGCAGGACATTTGCCAAAGGAGCTACCACATGGAGGTTTGTAGGCGTTTCAAACAAGAAAGCACTTAGGTTAAGACACGAGCAGGAAGGAGCTGGGATGCAGGCCAGGTTGCGATCTGGAAAGGGATCTGAACTGTGGACACACGGTTGAAAACACGGTCGTGTTCACCTGCTGCAGTGGAAACGGGTCTACCTTTGAGCCTACCTAGGAGGTGCCTGGGTTGTTGAGGCGGGCCTAAGAGTCGTGGAGGACCCAAAGCAACAGATGCCTTGCGGGAGATTAAAGGCAGAAATAAGGCCGCGAGTTAGCTTGCCAACTGCAAAGCCTCTAGGTTGGTTCTATACCAGTTGCCAGGAATTTCATACTCTAATAGGAGGGTCCGGAGACCCAGTGGGAGCCGCACTGCACCTAAGGACTTCCCAACCCGGGCGGAGCTGGAAGAGTTGAGCTGCGGCTGCTTTCTCACACTTCCTGGTCTCAGGTCCCCTAGCCCTAGGGAAAGGCTCATTTGGGAAGTCACAGTTTCGTGGGGTAGAACCGCGCTGGATTGGGTGTGAACAGAGTCATCCTCGGCAGGCAGGGAAGTGTGAAGCTCGGAGGGGACACTGAGTGGGAGGTGGTGGTTTGCTGAAATCCTTCTCTGGTCGTAAGGCTTGAGCGTTTTGTTTTTTTTGTTTGTTCAGTGCTACAGACTGCAGCTTGTGGTGGCCAGTTAGTTGGCAAGTCGTCAGAGGGTCTCGATTCGGCAGGAGCTATGGGATGGTATTAATACATTGGCAGAGCAACCCAAGGGGGCAGCACATGCAGTAAACCGCCATGCAGAACTCCCGACGGGCCTCTTCCCCATCCCACAGTGGGGAACAACACACCGTCACAGACAGGAGGTGGGTGCCCCCGTCCCCTCCCCGACCCCGAGACCCAGGAGTGCTGGGCTCCGAGCAAGTCTATTGCATGCTTTCCTGGCCAAAGCTACATGGCAAGCGGGAACAGCAGGCTGGGGAGATGACGCTGGGGGGCGGGGAAGGAAAGCGTCTCGAGGTCCCTTGGCCCCAAGTCACTGCCTCCGAGCTGAGGCCTGATGACCTCAAGTCACTGCCTCCGAGCTGAGGCCCGATGACCTCCGTACATTCTCAGCTGGTGGGAGGGGAAGTCGTCAAGGCCATAAAAGGCAATGAAAACAGTAAACATTTGGCTATGATGTCACCCTGGGGAAAGCAGGGCCATCTATGAGAATGAACAGGAACAAGGATGAACCTACGTGGCTGCAGGAGGTTGGCCAACTGACCGGGACTCTTCTATACTACGCCTCGGTAGCAAAGACCTGATGATGTGATCTAGCTAAAAATGACTACAACAGGAAATACGTTGCTATTCAAATCTATTAAGAATTCTGTTGTCTTAAAAAAAAAAAAAAAAAGAAACAAAGGGAAAAAAAAAAGAAAAACCAACCAATCCTAGGATATTAAAGTAGCTAATTAGGATTCTAACCACATCGTAGTTAGCATCCCGGTTGGTTTCCTTTGATGAACTAACTGGTACAAGCTAGAGCTAGGTACAAAAGTTTGTGAATGCTTTGAAAGAGTAACAAAGTGCAAAGAGATGGCTGCAGGGAGGTGCCCAGGGCAGGCACCGGGCCTGACAGCTCCGAAGAGCCTCAGCCACCTGCCCCTCCTGGAGACAGGGGTGTCCGTGCCGAGGTGGGTCTGGGCCCCACTGAGCCAGAGGGTGGCTGAGAACGTGGGCGCTTGGGTCCCCATCAGCAGAGTTCCATCGTGTGTTTGGTGTTTCCTGCAGATTGAGATGAGGAGTTGGTTTTTCTGGCTGAGATTTATACTGAAGACTGGTCCCAGACCTAGGAGTGAAATAAGGAGGAGGAGTGTTAGCCATCTGAGGCCAGAAGTTGCTGTGCTCACCTTGCACGATGCAAATGGGAATCTGCAGCCCCTGGGCTATCCCCTTCAGCAGTTAGCAGTGAGTACTCAGCAGGGCAGCACCCGCTCCAGAGCCTGGGAAAGCCAGGGAGTGAAACTCACTGGAAAATCCGAAAGCCGTGTGTGTACCTGTGTTGCTGTAAGCATGTTAACGCACACACACGCACATACACAGTTTCATAGGTCAATTGGGAGGGATAAGAAGCCACATGGATGGTATTTCCTTCTTTCTTTACCAGCAGGCGAACTGCATGTGGCATCAGAAGGAGAATGCCACCCAGAAAATCAGCCCCAAATGGCAGAAAGGTGGCTCCTTGGCCTGCTTAGCCTGCTGAGGAGGCACCAAGCACTTGAGCCATCCCCTGCCCGGGGGAGCCCCTGGTCTTCAACACCTATCCCTCTCCTCGATCGCGAACCTAAAAATTACACAGATCATTCATGCCCATGATTTAAACATTTACAAAAGTTCAAAGTTCTTCTGGAAGGCAACCACTGTGAACACTTTTGTGTGTAGCCTTCCAGAAAAACAATTTATATATACACATGAGTAGGCCGAGCATGGTGACTCACGCCTGTAATCCCAGCATTTTGGGAGGCCAAGGTGCGAGGACTGCTTGAGCTTAGGAGTTCAAGACCAGCCTGGGCACATAGCGACATTCTGTCTCTTAAAAAAAAAAAAAAGGGGGGGTGGGGGTGGGAATTAGACAGATGGTGGCTTAAGCCTGTAATCCCAGCTATTCAGGAGGCTGAGGCTGGAGGATCACTTGAGCCCAGGAGTTCAAGACCGTGGTGAGCTATGATCATGCCACTGCACTCCAGCCTGGGCAACACAGTAAGACCGTGTCTCTAAAACAACCAAAAACAAAAACAAAAACAAAAAAAAGTGGGGGAAAAAGCCAGACATGGTAGCTACAGCCCATATTCCCAACTACTCAGGAGGCTGAAGTGAGAGGATCGCTTGAGCCCAGGAGTTCGAGGCTGCCGTGAGCTATAATCATGCCACTGCACTCCAGCCTGGGTAACAGAGCAAGACGCTCTCTCAAAAAAAAAAAAAAAAAAGGCCGGGCGCGGTGGCTCAAGCCTGTAATCCCAGCACTTTGGGAGGCCGAGACGGGCGGATCACGAGGTCAGGAGATTGAGACCATCCTGGCTAACACGGTGAAACCCCGTCTCTACTAAAAAATACAAAAAAAAAAAACTAGCCGGGCGAGGTGGCGGGCGCCTGTAGTCCCAGCTACTTGGGAGGCTGAGGCAGGAGAATGGCGTGAACCCGGGAGGCGGAGCTTGCAGTGAGCTGAGATCCGGCCACTGCACTCCAGCCTGGGCGACAGAGAGACTCCGTCTCAAAAAAAAAAAGGCATATGTGTGTATGTGTGTGAATCTGTATGTATAGTAAAGCATGGAACATTTCATATAGGATGCTATCATTCGGGTTTTAAAAAGGAGAGCACACATATTTGCTTGTATGCACAGAATATCTCTAGAAACTGCTACCACTTGCCTCTGGAGAAAGGAAAACATATTTTTTGGTAGCTATTATATTTTGAGTTATACACATACATATTTTCCTTTTTAATCACACACACGTTATCCATTTGCTTAGGAAGCTATTTCTTTTTTCTTTTTTTTTTTTTTTTTGAGTCAGAGTTTTGCTCCGTTGCCCAGGCTGGAGTGCAGTGGCGCGATCTCGGCTCCCTGCAAGCTCCGCCTCCCGGTTCACGCCATTCTCCTGCCTCAGCCTCCCGAGTAGCTGGGACTACAGGCGCCTGTCACCACGCTTAGCTATTTTTTTCTATTTTTTTTTAGTAGAGACGGGGTTTCACCGTGTTAGGATGGTCTGGATCTCCTGACCTCGTGATTCGCCCACCTCAGCCTCCCAAAGTGCTGGGATTGCAGGCGTGAGCCACCTCACCCGGCCAGGAAGCTATTTCTTAGAGTACATTTTCTTCCTAAACTCCTGTGTCTCACAAAGTCTGAATTACAGTCATGGAGTTCCTTTTTTAAACAACAGTGGCCCCGTGGGGGTCTCAGTTCCCCAAGTCACTCCTGGCCTCCGCAACAGACACACGAGTCTCGGGACGTTGCCTCACCTTGTTCACCTGGGACAGCGGGGTCCTCACGGCTCCCGCAGGCAGCCGGCCCCTGCTGCTGTCTTCAAACAGTCTCCCGGGGGACCGCTCTCTCCGCGTGCTGAGCATCCGGCCCGGGGACTTCTCCCGCTCCAGGGGGCGGCCAGGAGACTTGTCCCTGCGCAGCTCGGTCCGCCCCTCGCGGTAGCGGTGGGGTGTGCTTGGCTCTCGGGGGTGGCTGGGGCCTTCGGGCGGCGCCGGGCTGGAGGCCACGCGCTTGGTGATGTGCTCGTTGTACGTGGGCGGGCCTCGCTTGTTGGGGCTGCTGGCGACAAAAGAGGAACGTAGGGAGCTGCGAGGCCACAATCCCAGAGGGGCATTTTCCTTCTTCCCTGCGGAACCCCCGGCTTGACCCGGCCTTACCACTGATTATCAACAGATTAGACCTGGAGTTCTTTGGACTTTGCCTGCGTTTGATTTTTGGCAGCAAAGACAGGGAAGACAGCAAAGATGGCAACAAAAGACAACCCACCTTCCTCAGTGCAGGCTTTCATTTACTGAGCACATACTGTGCACCAGGCCTGTGCTAAGCTCTTCACCTGCCATCTCTCATCATCTCATTAAACCATCACAGCAGCTCTTGAGCTAGGAACAAGCATGACCCTCACTGTACAAGCAAGAAAATGGGGACAGACGGGAGTTAGGGGACAGACACCTGAGCTAATGAGTGGTAAAGCTGGGATTCCAATAAAGACCAGTTTGATAGGTTGGGCGCAGTGGCACAGACCTGTAATCCCAGCACTTTGGGAGGCCAAGGCAGGTGGATCACGAGGTCAGGAGTTTGAGACCAGCCTGGCCAACATGGTGAAACCCCATCTCTACTAAAAATACAAAAATTAGCCAGGCGTGGTGGCATGCTCCTGTAGTCCCAGCTACTCAGGAGGCTGAGGCAGGAGAATTACTTGAACCCAGGAGGCGGAGGTTGCAGTGAGTCAAGATCGAGCCACTGCATTCCAGCCTGGGCGACAAAGCGAGACTCTGTCTCAAAAACAAAAAAAAGACCAGTTTGATGTCATAAGCCCGCCCCATACTGTATCCTACTGACCTAGTATTTCCCAGAGCCTAGAAGGCACAGAAGGAAGTCTTCATCTAGGAGGTCAGCCTGCTAAGACCCAGAAGTCAGGGGCCCACAAAGGCCCTCAGTACAAGGAGCAGTTTGGGGAAACCCTGTACTCATCACTGTTAACTGCCATGCCTGTCCCACTCCTGGGTCTGGTGTTTGGTCACCTCTCCCGCCAGGTGGCTTTCCAAGAGTCTCTCTGACACCTGATGCGAATGCAGATGCGCAGAAGGTTGATGGTTCTCAGTCATGGCAATAAGATGACCGAGAGGTGTAGGGATCAGGCCTGATAGAGTCAGGAAACTGAGCAGGGCAGACAAAAACAGTAGAGCAGGCTCAGAAAACATCCCAGGCCTCAAAGGTTGATAATTAGTAACCAAACAGTTGAAAACACTGGGGCCTTTTTGTACGACCCAACCCAACCCTCCACCCATTCCTGGCCTGGATATTTCAAATGAAGATTTCAGCAGACCCGGGGCCCAAACTCCCTCTCTGAAGATGTAGTAAGACCCAGAAACACAGAGAGAACTGAAATGTAGCCTTCTGAGTCAATTCTTTCCCACCCTCGATCAGCTCAAAAAGTACTAGAGTCCCTGTTATCTCAGCATAATTCATGCTTGGAAAAGGCCCTACTTAAAATGGGGGAAAAAAATTATAGTGAATATTACAAAACATATTTTGTTTGAGGCTTTATCTTGGAACATAAACTTATTTTATGCTAGATATTTTTTAGTATTTAAATTACAATGCAGCTGATTCCAAAAATGAATCCAGTATGAATCACAGAATGATTTGTTTTGTGCTAATTCTCTCAACAAAATTGTTGCTAACATGCTCTGACATCAACGTTGGACACGTTGGACTTTTGCAGTAAGATCCTAAAGAAGGCTCTTCGAAAATATTCGAAAAAGCCGGGCACAGTGATGCATGCCTGTAGCCCTAGCTATTAGGAAGGCTAAGGAAGGAAAATCACTTGAGCCCAGGAGTTTGAGACCAGCCCAGGCAATATGGCAAGACCCCACTTCTAAAAAACTAAAACTAAAAATTAGAAAAAGAGAAGTGTAGAGCATCATTGGTTTTCCCAAAGGACTATCTTAATCCTTGATATTTAAATCCTTCTCGTTGGAAGAGGCTATCATTTTATCAACTTGTTCATTTCTTTCTTCAATTATTGGTCTAACTGTATCAGTACCTCCTCTGTCAACATCCATAATTGAGAAGCGACAGCAAAGACAGTATTTACTGTGGAAGGAGAGACTCTAGAACAGGCTTGAGGGCCAAATCCGGAAGATGCTTGTTTTTATAAATAAAGTTTTATTGGAATGAAGCCATGCCCATCTGGTATGCATTGTCTTACAGCTGCTTCCGCATGACCGCAACAGGGCTGAGCAGCTGAGACAGAGACCATATGGCTCACAAAGCCGAAAATATTTACCATCTAGACCTGTGCAGAAAAAGTTTCCCAGTTCCTCCTCTACAATGTAACAGAGAGGTTGGTGTGCAGAGATAATTTCATAAGGGCTCAGTTCATAGTGAATAGTTTCATGCCATGCTCTTGCTTTCCCATGTAACTGTAATGTTTGGAGATTCAGACAGCAAATGCTCAGAAGACCAGAACCCCTGTCTGTGCAGCAGTAAGATTTAAGATAATGCAGATTTCAACATCTTGAAATCAAGGTTTATATTCATCTCTAGCTATATGGCTTTGCAATCTGGAAGACAAATAAAAAAATAAATTCCGAGTAGGAGAACTACATTAAGCCTACTTGTAATGGAAAAGAAATGATAAGATGTGTCCACAGGGAACCATCATAAAACAAATGAGAGGGTGCTCACTGCCCAGGGGAAGAAGGATTGCTCGAGGGAAGGCCATTCAGGACGTCAGCTGAGATTAACGGGAGGGAGGAACACACCTGTCATTTCAAGCCAAGTGGGCAGTCTTCCATCTCCTTATCCATTAATGACCCATAATCTACCACATCAATTTTATGGTCTTTTTGGCAAGGAGTTACATTTCCTGCTCTGCTAAACAGACCAGGGCAATGAAGCCTGCAGTGAATCAGACCCAGAAAGCCAACCTTCAACTGCCCAAAGAAGTCAGCGACCAAAAGATCGTTCTATAAGCCAAGAGATAACCAACTACTGATTTTCCACACATAACACAGGAAAGCGAACACTTTTCTGCCCCTCATTCACAGGAACTGGAACTGTTTTGATCACATAGTAAGCAATTCCTTTGAGAGACTATATAGTCTCAAAAGCAAGGTGCCTGGCTACCTATCTAGTGAGGCAACAGAGGAAAAAAATCTAATTACAGTACTTCAATGTGTTTCTGGCATGACTTGGGAACTACTTAAAGAAGATCTAGACATTTTCAGGGGATGACTGTGGTGCACTAAGCAGTCACTCATGAAGCAGGGCCAAGCCAAGAGTTAGGAGCATTTAATTATTGGCACTTCTGGTTTTTCAGCAAGCTCCTCAGGTTAAAACCACACTAACCAAATATTTCAGATTAATTAGCTCCTGTACATCAACAAAAGAGAGACCATTCATTAGGACAGTCTTGCCTAAGATCTTGGTATTTTGTAATATTAGTTGTGGTTCTTCCACCAAATTATGGGCCCCTGGAATATAAGAACAATGCTTTCTACATCTCTGTATCCCCAGCCATAGACATTATGTCAGGCACATGGTATGAGGTCCACATAACTATTTATAAGGTAGACACACAGGGCTGGTAAACCAGTCCGGAAGATTATCTTAGGCCATTTATTCCCTGGGTTAAATAATCTCAGACCTTCTTTGCAGGCCAAGGTTTCAAACTTCCTACACCTCGAGCTGGATCTAGCTCCCAGCACTGTGTCAAGACAAGGCCAGTCCCACTTCCACATGCAGCTGGTGGGACTGTAAATGGGAGAAGCCTTCAGGGCAGAAAACTCCACACTGTCCATCAGATTTACAAATGCACCTCAGCCATCACCCTTCTCTTGGAATTTATCCTACAGATAGACTCCTCAGCATGTAAAATGGCATAAGGAGAAAGTCATTTATTGCAGCAACAGACTGGAGACAAACAGCCATTGATGAAGAAGCAGTTAAACGAATTAAGGTACAGCTCTGATAAGGAAGGTTGTGCAGGCATCTGGGGAGAAATGAATGAAGAACTACTTCTCATACTGACATGGAGCAATTACCAAGACACATCAAGGTACAGGAGAGTATGCAGAATATGCTGCCACTTGTGTTAAAAAGGAGGGGTGGTCGCATGCAGTGGCTCACGCCTGTAATCCCAGCACTTTGGGAGGCCAGGGCGGGCAAAGTGCTCGAGCCCAGGAGTTCAAGACCAGCCTGGGCAACGTGGTAAAACCTTGTCTCTACAAAAAATACAAAAATTAGCCAGGTGTGGCGGGCGCCTGTAGTCCCAGCTACTCGGCAGGAGGCTGAAGTCAGGGGCTCTCTTGAGCCCAGGAGGCGGAGGTTGCAGTGAGCCGAGATCACGCCACTATACTCCAGCCTGGGCACAGAGTGAGACCATAACAAAAAATAAACACAAGGAGGGGAAGGGCACTTCCAGAATGCCAGAGTAAGGACCTCTGACAACCTGCTTCTCCATAAAAGCAACAAGATCACTGGCAATTGTCAAAATCAACTTTTCAGAGCTCTGGAAATTAACCCTAGCCCTTTAAGAGGCCACTCTCGAGGCAGGGTCAAACCAAAAGAGTCAGGAGCACATAGGTATTTGGCACCTCTGCTTTTCCAGCAAGTTCCTGGGATCAAAACCACGCTGAACAAGCATGTTGCAAAAAAGGCCTGCAACAATTCAAAGAGTATTTATGCAAAAAAAAGGAATCTGAGCAAGAACTGAAATGTTTGACATTTCAACTTGCCCTATACCCACTCCCCTCTCCCCAGATCTGTGGAAGAGTTGAAACCATGTCCTTAGAACCACAGTAGCTGTGAAAACCAGCAGTCTAGTAACCACTGGAGGGAGCAGATCAGGACTGAAGCTCCCCAAAAAGCCCATCCCCAGAAACCTGTCGCTATCTGACATGCCTAGGTACGCTCCCTGGAAAAGGCCCATTATCAGGGCAGTGGATCTGACTCTGTACATTTGGTTGTACAGCCATCCCTTGGTGGCCTGGGGGACTGGTTCCAGGACTTCCTGTGGATACCAAAATCTGTGGATGCTCACATCTCTTATATTCAATGGTGTAGGGCCAGACGCAGTACTTCAGGCCTATAAACCTAGCACTTTGGGAAGCCCAGGTGGGCAGATCACTTGAGCCTAGGAGTTTGAGACCAGCCTGGGCAACATGGTAAAACCCCATCTCTACAAAAAATACAAAAATTAGCCGAGTGTGGTGGTGCATGCCTGTAATCCCAGCTACTCAGCAGGCTGAGGTAGGAGGATCACCTGAGCCCAGGGAGGTTGAGGCTGCAGTGAGCTGTGATCGTACCACTGCATTCCAGCCTAGACGACAGAGACCCTGTCCCAAAAAAAAAGTAGGGGGGGTGTATTTGCATATAACCTACACACATCCTGTTGTACACTTTAAATCATCTCTAGATTACTTATAACACCTAATACAATGTAAATGCTCTGTAAATAGCTGTTGTACCGTATTGTTTAGGGAATAATGACAATTTGTAAAAGCCTGAACATGTGCAGTACAAACAAAATTATTTTTTCAAATATTTTCAATCCATGGTGTGTTGAATCTACAGAGGCATAACCTATAGACAGAGAGGGCTGGCTGTATCGGCATAAAGGATCCCTAAATAGAAACACAAAAGCTTCACAAAATTGGTTCCTTCCCAGGTGGGGACCTGGAGAGAGGGAGTGAGGAGAGTTAGGAGGCAAGAGAGATCCAGAAGAGAGGCTCTGTACTGTATACCTTTTTTATCCTTTGAATTCTGTGCCCTGTGATTAGATTATCAATTCAAAAACAAGTAAAATTTAAAAAATAAAATTTAAAAAGAATGCCTTTTAAGAAGAGGCCTTTTCTGCAGCATGCTTGTTCAATGTGGTTTTGATCCCAGGAACTTGCTGGAAAAGCAAAGGTGTCAAATAATCTTGTGCTCCTGACTCTTTTGGTTTGACCCTGCCTGAGAGTGGCCGCTCAAAGGGTTAATTTCCAGAGCTCTGAAAAGTTGATTTTTGTAACTGCCAGTGGTCCCATTGCTTTTATGAAGAAACACATTGTCAGAGGTCCTTACTCTGGCATTCTGGAAGTGCCCTTTCCCTCCTTTTTTGGTTTTGAGATAGGGTCTCACTCTGCCCAGGCTGGAGTACAGTGGCATGATCTCAGCTCACTTTAACCTTCGCCTCCTGGGCTCAAGCAATCCCCGCCACCTCAGCCTCCAGAGTAGCTGGGATTACAGGCACACACCATACCTGGCTAATTTTTGTATTTTTAGTAGAGATGGGGTTTTACCACGTTGCCCAGGCTAGTCTTGAACTCCTGGGATCAAGTGATCTGCCCGCCCTGGCCTCCCAAAGTGCTGGGATTACAGGCGTGAGTCACTGCACCACCTCCCCTCCTTTTTAATACAAGTGGCAGCATATTCTGTATACTCTCCTGTACCTTGATGTGTCCTGGCGATTGCTCCATGTCAGTGTGAGTTCTTCATTCATTTTTCCCCAGATGCCTGCACAACATTCCTTCCCAGGGCTGTACTTTAATTTATTTAACTGCTTCTTTATCAATGGCTGTTTGAGTCCAGTCCTGTCCAGGAGGTCTCGCATTCCAGGGAAGGCACCAGGCTGGCCGGAGTCCCTGACCTGCTCTCACGACCTCACACCTCTGGACCTCCAGGCATGGCTTGCCTTCCCTCCTGCCTGAGCATCTGTCACTGGTCCCCCTGCCCCCACCTCATATCTGATGGGAAATCCTCCCTCACCTCCACGTCCAGGCTTTAAATCACCCCACCAGAGCCTCATCCTTCCATGCCCTAATCTATGATTGCCAGCATCTCTCCCACTGAGCCATCACGGAGGGGCTGTGTCTGTTTTATTCACCATTCTCCCTCCCCCACAAGCCCAACTAGCACCGCAAAATACCTGCTAAAGCAATAAATGCCTAATTTGTGCTCCATTTTTCACCAATCCAATGAAAATACCCGTGAGAGAAAGATCAGATCTCTCCCCTCTGACTTTTACAAGGTGGTATTTTCGAATTCTCCTGATGCTCATAAAGGTCTGTGTCATTTCAGTGCTGCAGATTGCAAAGAAATGAGTGGTTTGAGCTTAAGGACAAAGTGAAGATTGGGAAACATTCTACTGGTTTAGTATCATTTCCTTCTGCCTTGCAGAAAAGCACGTTGCCCCCAGTACTGAGGAAGAGGAGAAGCTGGTTACCTGCGGGAGGTGGACGGGCCCCGGTGGTGTTCAGTGCCAGACTCCTTCACGAGGTTTCCCTTGCAGCAAATGACCCTTAATTTATCCTGGTAAGAGGATGCCAAGTAAATCGCTCCCGAGGAAATGGCAGGGCCCAGGTAGCGTGGGTTCGGGATGTCCAGGTACGCTCGGGCAGGGGTCCTGCAGAGTCCCAGAGTTCCAGTTACCTTCATTGCAGGCTACCTCTATTGCTAGGCAGGTTAGGAAGGAACATGCAGCCAGCCCCAACACCTACCCCAACAGCTGAGGTTTTCCAAGCACGGTAGGATAATGCTTACCCTGCCGAGGAGCGTGCCTGGATCTCAATTACTTCGAGTGAGTTGAAGTGGGTCACAAACAGATAGGGTTCTCTGTAGGCTGTGTGATCACCATGCAGGCACAGTGTGGGCCAAAGAATGGTGAAAAGAGGGAAAATCAAAATCTGGCTGCAATGCATTCTTTGACCCAGCAATCCTGTGTAAAGCAACTCACCCCACAAATACCTATCTATGTGCCAGAATAGTCATGCATGTTCGAGGATATTCACTGCCATGTGGTTTGTTACAGCAGAAGATGTAAAACAACTCAAGTGTACAGTGTAAGGATTGGCTAAATAAATTATAATACATCTGGCCGGGCGTGGTGGCTCACGCCTGTAATCCCAACAGTTTGGGAGTCCAAGGCAGGTGGATCACCTGAAGTCAGGAGTTCAAGACCAGCCTGGCCAACATGGTGAAACCCTATCTCTATTAAAAACACAAAAATTAGCCAGGCATGGTGGTGTATGCCTGTAATCCCAGCTACTCAGGAGGCTGAGGCACGAGAATCACTTGAACCCAAGAGGCAGAGGTGGCAGTGAGCTGAGATGGCACCACTGCACTCCGGCCTGGGTAACAGAGGGAGACTCCGTCTCAAAAAAAAAAAAATTATAATACATCTATGGAATTCTGCACAGTTGTAAACATGCATGAAAAGGCTGTCTTCGTACAGATATGAAAGAATGCCCAAGGTACACTGCTCAGTGCAAAAAGCAAGGTTCAGAATCATGTGGGAAGTATGCTACCTTACTGATTTTTTAAAAGGTGGAAAAAGAATATATATATTTTATGTGCTAGTATTTGCATAAAGTACTGGAAGGACAAGAAACTCATATGAGCTTTTTTTTTCTTTGAAGGAACAGGGATGGAGAATTTGGGAGATGGACACACTGGGTGAGACTTTTCATTGTACCTTTTAAAACTGATTGTAAACATCAAAGAATTTGATTTTTAAAAAGACTGAGTTCAGGCTGAGCGCAGTGGCTCATGCCTGTAATCCCAGCACTTTGGGAGGCCAAGGCAGGTGGATCACCTGAGATCAGGAGTTCGAGACCAGCCTGGTCAACATGGTGAAACCCCGTCTCTACTAAAAATACAAAAAATTAGCCGGGTGTTGTGGCAGGCGCCTGTAATCCCAGCTACTTGGGAGGCTGAGGCAGGAGAATCACTTGAACCCAGGAGGCGGAGGTTGCAGTGAGCTGAGATTGCACCATTGCACTCCAGCCTGGGCAACAAGAACGAAAATCCGACTCAAAAAAAAAAAAAAGACTGGGTTCAATTTTAAAAAAAGACTGGGTTCACAGATATTTAGACATTGCTGGTCTTCTTAATACTGTATCTCTGTATGACAGTGTCACTGCAACTAGAGCAGACAGGACTGGAAATGTCTTCTGCCTTAAAGGGAAAAAGCACTATTATTCCTTATGACAAAACTTGGTATTAGACTTTTTAAATCATGGGTTCTGGTATGCATGCCCTGGTGCAGTTCCCTGGCCTGGAATCTGGGCTGACTCTGCAGTCTGCTCTAACTAGTAGAGTGTGGTGGAAGTGAGCAGGCTTGCCAGCTTCTGCTTCTATATTCTTGGAAGCCAGCGTGGAAAGCAACAAGGCCGCCAGCCACCAGCCGCAGCTGAGCACCCACATTATGGCCAGCACTCATTGTGGGCCATGTTTGCGAGCCTGTCTTGGGCTTTCTAGTTGTCCCAGTGGCCCTGCTGATACCACATGAAGCAGAACTGTCCAGTCAAGCCGCGAGTCAGGGCCGATGATAAGCTGTTGTTTGAAGTCACTACCCTTTCAGATGGCTTAATATGCAGCGATAGAGAAACAAAATAGCCTCGAAGGGTATTTGGGCCATGACGGCATTTCAGAACATTCACACAGATACGTATGTACATATTTGTATGTATGTGTGTGTTTAGTCTTTGATCCACCAGTTCCACTTTTAGGAGCTTATAATCACGGGGTGCTATCTGACAAGTGCAAAAAAGAGTAGTACAAGGATGTTCATCACAGTGTTATCTACACTTACAAACAAAACAGGCATGGCCTTACTGCTTTGCCTAATTAGAACTGGTTAAGTGAACAGGTGTTCAGCTATGCCATGGGACATTCTGCAGCCTTTGGAAATGACTGAAATAAATCCACAGGGAATTGGGCTCCTTTCTATCATGAGAGCCTAGCAAATATTTCCCAGGGCTGGGACTGTGGGCTGGTGAATCTGGCGTAGGCAGCTCTTCATCGAGCCTCAGAATCTTTCCATGAACAGTCCTCTGGATGACTGTTACACATTGTGCTTGGTATCTAATGGAATTCACATGCACAGTGCTTAGACCAAAAAAAAAAAAAAAATTTCCACGTGCAATTGCATTTTTTTTTTTTTTTTTTTTTTTTTTTTTTGGTTTTTTGAGACAGAGTCTCACTCTGTCACCCAGGCTGGAGTGCAGTGGTACAATCTCGGCTCCTGCAACCTCCAACTCCTGGGTTCAAGCAATTCTCCTGCCTCAGCTTCCTGAGTAGCTGGGACTACAGGCACACGCCACCACGCCCGGCTAATTTTTGTATTTTTAGTAGAAGTGGGGTTTCACCATGTTGGTCAGGCTGGTCTCAAACTCCTGACCTCATGATCCACCCACCTCGGCCTCCCAAAGTGTTGGGATTACAGGCGTGAGCCACCGCGCCCGGCTGCAATTCTTTTCCAGGACACCAGCTGCTGGCAAAAAAGAAGCCCCCACACTGAACCTCACGTACCAAAGGCCAAAGGTAAGCGACTCCACTTGAGGTCGTCTGTGCGGCTACGTCTTCCATAAGAATCCACGAACACTCCAAACTCTGCAAAGTGTCAAGAGCATGCGGGCATTAGCACAGCCAAGGGCAGGGGCATCAGTGACACACATGGTGATGGAAGAACAAGAAGCAGAGCCCAGGGACCCCTGACCAGATAGGACTGACTGTGAAAACCGGGGGCCCTCTGCTGAGCCAGCTCTCAGCTTTATTAAAAATGAGGGACTTTTTAAAATTAATTTATTTTAATTTATTAAATTTTATTAAAGAAAGAGAACTCAAGTGAAAAGAAGGAAAGGAATAAGAGGAGGAGAGGGAAGAGAAAGACACAGAGAGAGAGAGGAATGAAGCAATCAGGAGGAAGGACAGACAGGGAAAGACGGAAAGACTCAGGAAAGAAGGGGAGGTGGAGGGGGAGGGGAGGGGACGGGAGCGGGAGGGGGAGGAGGAGAGGACCCAAGAAAGAAAGAAAAGAAAGAAGTAAACAAAGAAAAATACAAATGGAAGGATGGGAAAGGAGGGGAGGGGAGGGGGTATGAAATGAGGACAGAGGAAGAGGAAGGAAAGGGAGAGAAAGAAAGAGCAAGGGATGGACGAGGAAAAAAACTGCCTGCTCTTTGGAGAGAATGTGATAGAGTTCGACCATGCTAGTATCTGGTGGTGGAGAGGAGACTCCCCAAGGGGACCTGGTGGTTCTGGAAAGACAGTCTCTGTACCCCCAGTCAAACCTATCCTGCCCCAGAACTCCCAGAACTCCACATACCCTCCTCCAACCCCTCATGGGTCCCTATGTCCATGAGGATCCAAAAGGGCAGCGGGCGCAGCCACGACTCACCGTGGAAACACAGCAAGTACTCCTCTCGCTGCCCTGCACTGTTCACCTGCACGATCGAGACAGGGAAGCTGTTGGAAGAGGCGGCAAACACAGCAGGTGCCAAGGAATGGTCATTCTTATCCAGGAATTCTGTAAAGGCAGGCGAGAAGCGGGCTTCAGGAATGAGTTCTGAGTCTCAGTGCGGCCTGAGCCATGGGTGGGTGGAAAAGAGAAGGTGGTCCCTACCCTCCAGCGTGTACTGCTTCATGTCGATTTCGTAGAATTTATTGGTTCCAATGAGGATACTGTAATTGGTGAAGTGGATACAGCTGCAAGGCTCTGAGGTCTCTATCTCCTGAGACATGAGAGTACAAGAGAAGGATGTGAGAGGTAACACAGGGCAGCCAAGGTCCACAGCTGTTCTGCTTTTGCCTACAGCATCTAGCCAAGCACTGGAGAACATTGTCACCAAGCTTGTTCATGTTGTCATAGAAAGCCATTCATCTTTTTTTTTTTTTTTTGGAGACAAGGTCTCGCTCTGTCGCCTAGGTTAGAGTGCAGTGGTGCGATCATAGCTCACTGCAGCCTCAAACTCCTGGGCTCAAGCAGTCCTCCCACCTCAGTCTCCCAAAGCATTAGATTTACAAGCGTGAGCCACTGCACACGCTCCATTCACCTTTCATGCCTCTCAGGATGAACAGTGATCCATTTGTTATCTCTTCCTATTGTTCCACGCAACCCAAAACCAAGAAAATAAGGTCAAACTGCAGCCAGAAAAAGGCAGGGTCAGAAACACCATTCCAGGCTGGGCACAGTGGCTCACACCTGTAATCCCAGCACTTTGGGAGGCTGAGGCGGGTGGATCATCTGAGGTCAGGAGTTCAAGGCCAGTGTGGCCAACATGGTGAAACTCTGTCTCTACTAAAACTACAAAAAATTAGCCAGGTGTGGTGGTGCACGCCTGTGATCCCAGCTACTCAGGAGGCTGAGGCAGGAGAATCACTCAAACCCGGGCCATTGCACTACAGCCTGGGTGACAAGAGCAAAACCCCGTCTCAAAAAAAAAAGAAAGAAACGGCATTCCAATGAAGAGACAGAACTTGAACAATACAACATTCTTATCAGAAGGAAAAAAAAGACAGGAAAAATACACCAACTATTAACAGTGGTGGTCAACAGCAATGGTTTGGGTTTCCTTCTTTTTGCTAGCTTCTAAGTTTCTAGTTCGAACCTATATTACCTATGCAGTCATCATCATGATCATCATTATTGTTATCTTAATTATCTGCTTCCTGATTATTTTTAGTTGTTTTTAGGCCAATCCTAATGTCATCAAAAAACCAGACACACCTATTAAAAATGTGTGGCCGGGAATCATAAAGAAGCAATGATTTCTGAGAATTTAGTGAGCATTATCATCATCACTGAATATTTCTTGGTCACCTACTAAGTATGGGAAAACTTTGAGGAAGCATGATATAGTGAAATGGTAGAAAAACAAAATCAAACGTCAGTTTTGGTCTCAACTTTGTAACTGAGGATCTTCTGCCAACTTCAGTTGTCTTACCTGAAAATTGGGAATAACTGTCCCTGCTTTTCAGAACTGTGGGGAAAGGTGCTTGTAAAACAGCCCATTCGGTCCCTGGCAGGGTGGGCACTCAATGAACACACAGACTAAACTAACACCACCCTGCCCAGAATGGAACAGTTTCTCTAACAGGTAATGACCCGTATATATTATTCACCCTTCATTTCAATTTTTTTTTTTTTTTTTTTTGAGATGGAGTCTTGCTCTGTTGCCCAGGTTGGAGTGCAATGGCACAATCTTGGTTCACCGCAACTTTCGCCTCCCAGGTTCATGCAATTCTCCTGCCTCTGCCTCCCAAGTAGCTGGGATAATAAGCACCCGCCACCATGCCCAGCTAATTTTTGTATTTTGAGTAGAGATGGAGTTTCACCATGTTGGCCAGGCAGGTCTCAAACTCCCAACCTCAAGTGATCCGCCCTCTTTGGCCTCCCAAAGTGCTGGGATTATAGGTGTGAGCCACCGTGCCCAGCCTCATTTCATTTTTGAAACTAATCATGAAAGCACCAGAAATATATCAGGCTTAGAAGGAGTGGGACACTCCTAGGTAGGGACATCAGACAGCATTCTCCAGAAGCCAGGCAGATTTAAGGATCTAACACACATCTCGTCCACACTGCAGTCATCATCCGCTCTGAGGAGAAGCAGCTCCCTAATTATATACCAAAATAGTGCTAGCACTGGTTAGTCCAGAAGATTATATTAATAGAAACTTCTAGAATTTGAGAAAGATTCTGAAAAGTGCTACCTGGGACTGCTAGCGTCTTGGAAAGTGCCCCCTTTTTTTCCCCACTGTTTTTTCCTACCAGTCAACTTTCTGTTCTAACAAAAGGCTGAATTCACCAGGCTCAATGGGGAGGCAGTTCACAAATGGGAGGAGAAAAGCGAGGAGGGAAACCGCAGCTACTAGTGGCCCTGGAGGATCCTCCACAAAGGAAGGATCTCGCTCACGACAGAGGTCACCCCAGGCTGAAGGCCTGCAGGGTGGAAAGAACCCGGTACAGGCTGTGTCCCAAGACAGTGCACTTTCCACAGTGGCTCGCTGAGAGAGCAGGACTGGCTTTCCCACGTTCAACCAAGGCAAGGCCCAGGACTTACTTTCCGAATGCAGTATTTGCTGAGGTTTTCGTTGTAGCGGAGAATGACGACTTTGCTGGGCATGGCTGCACAGATGCAGAGCCCGTTCTCAATCTGAAAAGCAACCAAGAAAAGAAAAAGACTGTCACCAGTGTGATACTAGCTGTGGGGCAAAACTAGGAAAAGCTCTCAAGCTCGGTGCTATTGATGATTCAGACCAGATCATTCTGGGTGGTGGGGGGAGGGCTGTCCTGCGCACTGCAGGATATGAGCTACAGTATCCCTGGCCTTGACCCACTAGATGCCCGCAGCACTTCTATCTGTGACAATCAAAAACATCTCGAGCCATTACCAAATGTCCCCTGGTAAGGCAGAATTACCCCTGGTCGAGAACCAAGGCTTTTACCTGGGATCCAGAGAAGGCCTCAGGGAAGCACCTGACACCACACACCTTTCCCACTCATGTGCCTTCTGCTGGAGACAGAATCTTTTGACAAACTTACCTTGTGGGGATGGGGAGGAGACAGAATGAGAGAGGGGAGAGGTGCTAAACGAATTTAGAGAAAATTTTTTTTGAGACGGAGTCTCACTCTGTCGCCCAGGCTGGAGTGCAGTGGTGTGATCTCAGCTCACTGCAGCCTCCACCTCCCGGCTTCAAGCGATTCTGCCACCTCAGCCTACCAAGTAGCTGGGACTACAGGCACGCACCACCGTGCCTGGCTGATTTTTGTATTTTTAGTACAGATGGGGTTTTGCCATATTGGCCAGGCTGGTCTCGAACTCCTGGTCTCAAATGATCCACCTGCCTCAGCCTCCCAAAGTGCTGGGATTACAAGTGTGAGCCACCACACCCCACCCAAATTTAGAGAAAATTTCAATCCAAAGGGAAAAGTTCTTAGCTAAGAACTCATATATGTGCAGAGTTCTACATCAAAACTCTCTTTTTCTAGAACAGCTGAAACCCTTTTACTTCTCCTGCTACAACCAGAGGTTCATCATTCACCAAAGGAGGCTGGCTGCTCAAATCAGCCCTGGCATGAAAGTCAGCAGCCGGTACAGTGAGTGAATGAAGATGGGCCGGGATAAGGGAGGAATACACAGGAAAAGGGAAATTGTTAGCAATGTTCTATTTCTTGGACTGGGTAGTGAGTGTGTGGATGCTTATGACATTATTAGGCTTTATGGTTTACATATATGTTCCATACATTTTTTTAACAGTTCAGATATTAGAATGAAAATAATTTCTAATTTAAAAAACAAATTTTTATTAGCTGGGCATGGTGGCGCACGCCTGTAATCCCAGTTACTCGGGAGGCTGAGGCAGGAGAATCACTTGAACCTGGGAGGCAGAGGTTGCAGTGAGCCAAGATCATACCGCTGCACTCCAGCCTGGGCGACAGAGTGAGACTCTGTCTCAAAACAACAACAACAACAACAACAACAACAAATTTTTGGCCAGGTGCAGTGGCTCATGCCTGTAATCCCAACACTTTGGGAGACCGCGGTGGGTGGATCACTTGAGGCCAGGAGTTCAAGACTAGCCTGGCCAACATGATGAACCCCCATCTCTACTAAAAATACAAAAATTGGCCTGCCACGATGGTGCACACCTGTTGTCCCAGCTACTTGGGAGGCTGAGGGGGGAGAATCGCTTAAAGCCAGGAGGTGGAGGCTACAGTGAGCTGAGATCGCACCGCTGTGCTCCAGCCTGGGTAACAGAGCAAGACTCTGTGTCAAAAAAAAAAAAAAAAAAAAGTTGATCCAGCAACTGAATGAACAAATGTGCAGTGTGCTGTCTTCTGAGGGGCAAAACGCAATGGTTTTCAACAGCAGAATGCCAGTAGCCTCAGGGGGTCTATAAACACCTGATTCAGACTTCATTAAAGTTATACATGTACCGCAAATACTCTTTTTTATTATTTTCTACTTAGTTCAGGTACACATGTGTAGGTTTGTTGTATCAATAAACTCATGGTATGGGGGTTTGTTGTAAAGGTTATTTCATCACCCACGTATTAAGCCTAGTATCCATTAGCTATTTTTCCTGATCCCCTCCCTCCTCCCACCCTCCACCCTCTGAGGGGCCCCAGTGTGTTTTGTGACCTTCTATATGTCCATGTGTTCTCATCATTCATCTCCCACTTATAAGTGAAAACATGCAGTATTTGATCTTCTGTTCCTGTGTTAGTTTGCTAAGGATAATGGCCTACAGCTCCATCCATGTTCCTGCAAAGGACATGATCTCATTCTTTTTTATGGCTGCATAGTATTCCATGGTATATATGTACCACGTTTTCTTTATCCAGTCTATCACCGATGGGCATTTAGGTTGATTCCCTGTCTTTGCTATTATGAGTAGGCTGCAATCAACATATGCATGCATGTGACTTTATAACAGAATGATTTATATTCCTTTGGGTATATACCCAGTAATGGGATTGATGGGTTGGAAGGTATTTCTGTTTTTAGGTTTTTGAGGAATCACCACACTGTCTTCCACAGTGGTTGAACTAATTTACACTCCCACCAACAGCGTATAAAGTGTTCCTTTTTCTCCACAACCTCACCAGCATCTGTTATTTTTTGACTTTTTGATTAAAGAAGCAAACAAAGTTATTTTATGTGCCACTTTTCAATATGCCAGAAGCTACAAATGAATTAACTTGAGTTCTCATGAACCGATTGTTATGTAAATGTCATAAATTTTGAATTTTTAAATTTCTAGCAATGAAACATACTTTCATTGAGTTCAGACATGGAGATCCATGTTAGTTTTTTTTAAGGTTCATCTCTCTCTCACTCACAGGCACAGCAGACACACACACGCACATGCACACACACTTGTTTTTAAATTATGGATCATCCTTCCAGTTTTGTTAATTTTATTCCCATTTTGCTCTCATTCATTTTAGATTCAGAACTTGTACAAATTTCATGGCTACACAAATTATTTCACGTGCCTAAAGAAGGCAAAAGAAATTTAACCTAGTTTGAGGATGTACAATTGTGAACGTTGTCAAAATCAAAATGGAGTCACCAGTGTTAAGAAAACCCTGACATCAGAGCAGGAGGAGGCCATGAAGAGAGGGTTCTCACACTTGCATACCTGGTAAAAAAAGAGACTCGACAAAAACCACAAAGGCCATTGCAATCTTTTTTTTTTTTTTCCCCTGCAGCCGGGCTGGAATGCAGTTGTGTGCTCTCGGCTCACTGCAACCTCCACCTCCTGGGTTCAAGCCATTCTCCTCCCTTAGCCTCCCGAGTAGCTGGGATTACAGGCACGTGCCACCATGCCCAGCTAATTTTTGTATTTTTAGTAGAGAGTGGGTTTCACCATGTTGGCCAGGATGGTCTTGAACTCCTGACCTCAAGTGATCTGCCCGCCTCAGCCTCCCAAAGTGCTGGGATTACAAGCATGAGCCACTGCGCCCCACCAGGTCACTGCAATCTTACACAAAAAATACTTCTGCAAGGACATCTGTCCAGTGACTACCTGTCCAACCTCAGACAAGCATCAGTCTTGTTATTAATCTTTGAAGCCAAGGATAATTATTTCAAAAAGATTATGGAATCCTCACTTACAAACCTCTGTCTTCCTTTATCTCCCTAGATACCCACGTAGTTTACAATAGCACGTGTATTCCCATTGCAAAGCCCTGTTCCCAAATCAATCTCTTTTCTTTTAGAGAGCCCCTCTGTTTGTTAAGTTGACACTATCTTGCAGGTCAAATCAATGAGCTCTGTGGGAAGAGAGGTAGTGCCAATTTCCAGAACATTCCACCAGCTGAGACTCTGAGGGGAGCTTACCTTGCCAGCCCCAAACAAGTGGCAGCCCTTGACAGCTTCAAAAATGTTGGGTGAGATGTCGGGCTGGGCGGGCAGGTGGGACTGCGCCAGGGACTGTTTCACTTTCTTCACGTCCACAAGACACAGTGCCCGCTCTTCTCCTGAACGGGAAAAGGAACAACCTCTCGTCAGCGTGAAGCCGTTAAGTAAAGGTACAGGATGGTGGTTCTAGTTCTAGGCACAAGTAATAGTCACAAGAGGCCACACAGATGATCTGAGTTTTCCACAAATCCCTATAAACATATTTTAGGTCCATGATTTATTTATTTATTTTTTTTATTTTTGAGACGGAGTCTTGCTCTGTTGCCCACACTGGAGTGCAATGGTGCGATCTCGGCTCACTACAACCTGTGCCTCCCGGGTTCAAGCAATTCTCCTGCCTCAGCCTCCTGAGTAGCTGGGATTACAGGCGTGTGCCTCTGCATCTCTTTACCTGAACCCAGGCAGGCAGAAGCTCGTAAGAAACACAGACTCGGGCCTATTGTACACATATTAACAAGGATTTCAGTAAAAGGCTCACGTGTGTAACACGTGGCTAATTTTTTTTTTGTATTTTTAGTAGAGACGGGGTTTCACCACGTTGGGCAGGCTGGTCTCGAACTCCTGACCTTGTGATCCACCTGCCTCAGCCTCCCAAAGTGCTGGGATTACAGGCGTGAGCCACCGTGCCTGGCCCAGGTCCATGATTTAAATCTAAGACAAAAACATTTGGCCTTTTAGTCAAGATTCTGAGGAGGGTAGAATTCTGCAGACATAAAATTGGAGAATGTGAACTGTACTTTCAAACATGCTCCCCAGCAAAGTAAAGAAAGAATGTGTGAGGGAGGAATGAGGGGGCATTCTATGAAAAAACAGGCTTAGACTATCCAAATATGTGGATGTCAGGAGAGACAAAAGGCTGAGGAACTGTTCCAGATTAAAGGAGACTAGAGAGGCATGATTAAATGCAATACAAATTCTGGGACATTATAGGAGCCATGAGTAAAATCCAACTATGGGCAGCATAGTGGATACGTGTATTATAGTAAGGGTAAATTTCCTAAATGCAAAAATTATAGTATGTGAAACTATTCTATATGATACTCTACATGTGGATACATGTCATTATACATTTTTCAAAACCAACAGAATGTATACCACCAAGAGAGAACTCTAATGTAAACCATAGGCTTGGGTGACAACGATGTGTCAGTGTCAATGTGTCAATGTAGGTTCACTGACTGTAACAAACATGTCACTCTGGTGGGAGATGTTGGCAGTGGAGGAGGCTATGCGTGTATGAGAACGGGGGTATATGGGAACTCTCTGTACCTTTCAATTTTGCTGTGAATCTAAAACTTCTCTAAAGAATAAAATAAGGAAGAGAGGGAGGAAAAAGAGCTGAGATTAAGAAAGGCCAGTTCTTGACCACAGTATGTCAGTCCCTGGATCCAGCCATGCCTGAAACAAGACCTAACTGTTGATGTTTTAAACACTGAATCGATATATTATTGTTTTCCCCCTTTAAAAATAATGTCAGCAACACAGACAGAGAGAAATAACTTGTGCCCTGGTTATGTGACAGAATGCCTTCAATCATTAGGTTGATATACTGAAGAACTTGGCGTCATACCTGCAACTAACTCTCAAATGGTTCAGGAAAGTGTGTGTGTGTGTGTGTGTGTGTGTGTGTGTGTGTTAAGAAGAGAGGAAAAAAATTATGACAAAATATTAGCAAACGATGACTCGAAAGAGATCACAGAGTAACAGAGCAAGCAAACTCTCAGAAGGTCATGACCCACGGTGGTTTTCTTGCAATCAGGACAATGGGTTTGGCTTTAGTGAGTCTTTGAGGCTTAGCACTCTTCACTTGGCCTAACAGTGGGATGTTCTTTGGGAATGTCAGATTGTGCTAAACTGGATACTAGAAGGGAATTAAATCTGGACAGAGGGGGTCCATTAACTGAAGCTTGGGCATCTATGGGGACACAGAGATAAGAGCTACAACGGCTCCTGTCTACTATTTCGTGTTTTACAAGCATGAAACTTGGCTTCAACACATTGGCTTCCTTGAAAGTAAAGAAAAAGCACCATGTCCTTGGTCTCACACCTGCTATCATGAGTAGCTTCTCCAGGTCCTTGATAATATAAATTTGGAAGACTGCTCCAATTCCTGGGACGTGCGTTAGGGAGTTTTTCAAGACATTCAGGGCGTAGAGCCCTTCCTCGGTGCCCACCAACACCACCTGCAAGGGCAGAAGTCCAAAGGCAGAACATAAGCATGGTCACGTCACCAGAACAATCTCTACTAAGAGCAACAAGGCCTCCACAGCCTTTTCTTTCTTGATGGGGTGTGACTGTAACCAGACACCAGCTGGCCATGCCTACACAAGCATTACCTGGTCACTGAAGGGCAGTGTGCAGTTCATGTCTAGACGGTCATCACCTTCCAGTTTCAGCAGGGAGTTTCCAAGCAATTTCTTTTCATAGGTGAAAGAAAAGAAAAAAGAAGACGTCGTGAGGCTGATCTGTTTATGACCAAGCCATCCAGAGAGATCAAGAGAAGGTTAAAGCCAAGTCATTCCTGGAAATGCTCAGAAACACACATATGCTCTTAGCTCACCCCATATTTTGATCTGAGCTCCAAATGCAAAATGTGAGTGCTATTGTTATCTCTGGGGCAGTTGTTAATTAGCATCTGAGTTATAACTTGGCTGGGATGCAGAAATAAGGGAGTATAGTAGACATGGAAAGCTATTCTGTGATAAGAAATAAGCTGAAGCTAAGGAGATTTCACCTGCGCAGGGTTAATAAGACACATGAAAGACTGCTTCCCCCATCAGGCTGCAGCAGAAGTGCAAAGGCGCAGTGTTAGCAGCGAGCCAGCACGCCTCTGCATCTCTTTACCTGAACCCAGGCAGGCAGAAGCTCGTAAGAAACACAGACTCGGGCCTATTGTACACATATTAACAAGGATTTCAGTAAAAGGCTCACGTGTGTAACAACAAACAAGTCATCCAAACAGTTCTAACCACTGAGTAAAGTTCTTTTCAGGAGGCTCATGGTTAAGAATCCTCCAACTGCTAACACATAAAGTGTTTATTAGGAGTGAAGAGTCTGAAAAGAGCTGTTTGGTCTTCGCTGGAGCAAACGCCCATGAGCAATGAGCACTGTTTGTATCCTGGAACATTCTAGGTGGGGTGATGCCAATCACAGCACACCTACGTTTCTAACAGCTTAAGGATAAGTAGGACTCCAAACCTGCCTACAGAAGAGCAAATACTGCAAAAACAACTGAGATGTTTATGAAAAGCCTTCCTGGAGGGGACGCAGCTGCCAGCAGCCTATTGTGCTGCTTTGTGGCCAAAGTGTTTCTAACTCAAGTCTTCAAACCAGACAAACTCATTTGAGTAAACAGGAGAGAGGATTTCCTTATAAGTACATTTGCTGTTGCATCGCCACAACCAAGGTCTACAATGCCACCAGAGCAGGCTACCGATGCCAATTCCCCCATTCTTTTTCCTTTGTTTTGTTTTCACAGTCCATGTCTCACTCTGTTGCCCAGGCTGGAGTACAGTGGCACAATCATAGCTCACTGCAGCCTCAAACTCCTGGGCGATCCTCCAGCCTCAGTCTCCCTACTAGCTGGAACTACAGGTGCATGTCACCACACCTGGCTTGCTTTCTTTCTTTTTATAAGAGATGGGATCTTGCTATCTTGCCCAGTCTGGTTTTAAACTCCTGGACTCAGGTGATCCTCCCGCCTTGGCCTCCTGGGTCACTGGGACCACAGGCATGAGCCACCACATCCCTGATTCCCACATTCTAAATGGCTCATGATGCCACACAAGCTACCTTGGCACTTGTGCCTTCATCACCACCAGACTCCTGGCCATGACACAGTCTAAAGCCATCAGCCCTCAGAGAGGGAGCCCGAGGGGAATCAAGATGGCCAATGGGATTCTCGTCATTAACACCAGTTACCAAGTCAGCCCCCTTTACAAAGACAACCTCCAGGGCCCGTTTTCATACTCACAGCATCGGCTTCTGCTTTTTCCCTAGAAACTCTCCCACCTGCGACAACTGATTCTAAGGCGGTGACCCAGCGCTGTTTGTCAGGGAAGCTGGGAGCTAGCAAGTAGAGGGTTCTCCCGGGCCAGCAGGTGGTGTGCGGGTGAGATTCCATCTTCAGTATGTATGGGACATCTAGGAGATTTCACAGAGAGCACAGGATTGGGTGTGGATTTCCCCCCGTTCCCACTGGGAGGGACGGCTCTGAGAGATCAAAGCTCCCACCAAACCACGCAAATCCCAGTTACCACCAAGGCGGGGAGTGGAGGAAGATGGGCCTCCTTTGCAGAGCCAATCTTCCCTGTACCACCCCTTCTGTCCCTGCTGATTGGCCAAGCCCGGCCCACCTCCAGGGCGGGGCTCCTCTGGCTCCTCCTCACCTGCTTTGGCTGTATTTGCGAGTTCGGAAGCACCAACGGCACCATGAATAGATACATCCCCGTCGGGAAGGCACAGCTCAAATTCTTCCACCGGCCTCTGTCCAGCTTGGTGCAAAGAGGAAGGGCAGAAAGAAAAACAAAAGAACAGGAACAAGAACAAGGGGAGAATAGAGGAGAAGAGACAGCGAGAGAGACAGCAAGGGAGAGAGAGACAGGATACGTGTGTAAAGAGAGGCGCACGAGAACAAGGAAGGGACAGAGGTGTGCAGAGAAGGCAGAGAGGGAAGATAAAAAAAAATAAAGTGTGTCAGATGAGTAGCACAGTCAAATTTCTGATGACGATGCGGATTTATGGGTTAGTTGACTGAGGCAGAAGTTCTCGGAAGGTGTATTAGCAGGTGGAATCTTCAGGGCAGCGCCCTGCGGGTTCTTCAGGGGGGAGACCTATAGATGTGAGTATCGCACCAATAACCTTTAGAGAAGTCATTTAGTTTGTAAGTTTCAAAAATGGAAAAGCGTAGAAGGCTTGCAAGGCAGTCCAAAAAACAAAGCCTTCGCGCCAGCACTGGGGAGACCTGGGTTAGCCACGTGCAATGACCTTCCCCCTGAGTTATTAATTTACCTTCTCTGGCTTCATTGTCATAAATAAGGACTTTTGATCCCTCCAGGACAATGTACTTCCTGTCCCAGCCTTGCTGTCCTCGTTTGTTATTCCTGGGGAAAGCAAGATGGAAAAGAAAAATGTCTGAACTCAGAAGAATCATCAGGCTGGAGGATGGGATGAGGGGGTGGCAGAATTCCTAGAAAAGACACTTCCCTAGAAAACATCAGGGACAGAAGTGGCTTGTGCCAGCACCTGCTCCAGCCCAAGCCACCCTGCCACGGTACCTGGGCACCTTCATCCACCCTTCCAGGTGCAAGCTGCTGCTGGGCTCCTTGGTCTGGAGACCCGGGGAGTTCATTTTGTCGCGGCAGAAGGCCTCAGTGAAGTGTGTGGCGTATTCGGCAGGCAGGCCGCAGGTGGCTGGCAAGCACGTGGAGCACTTGGGGTGACACATCACCTGACATTCTAGGGAAGAACAGTGAGCAACGTGAGGGCATGCTTAGCTGACCCCAGACCCTTCCCTTCCTCTGCCAGCCAACCCCTGGGCTTCTCCACCCCAGCCAGGCCCAGAGAATCTGGCCCTGACTTGCAGGTAGTCTCCTGAGCTTCCCCTGGTGCCAGGCCCCTGCAGAAAGGGGAAACAAAAGTGCCAAGTGCTCTTGATCCAGTTTTCCAGGCTTCAATCCAGGCCGCCCACAAACAGGTGTGTAAAGAACATACTTGCATGTTTCAGTTGGAGCCAGCAGAAAGGTAGGGAGAGACCAGCCTGACAAAAAGGGGCTGGAAATTAGCAAAGCCTAAGGCACTTTGAGCAGCAGGTTGGAGTCATGAGCTGCAGACATATATAAACTCGCAGCTTCAAAAGGGGGAAATAGCATCCTCCCACTGAAATAAGAAGCTCGAAAATGAATGCACTACATGATGAGTTAGAAAAAAATCACCTCCACCTGATAGACTTTTTTTAGCTGGAGACACACAGGTGCCCAGCACAGATGCACAACTGCTGATCTTACCGAGACATTTGGATGCTTGGCGTCCAAAGTGCACGGTATCCAGACACACAGCACACTTTGTGGCTCGCATGTTCAGTCCTACGTTGAATCGGTGAGGAATATTGTGGTGCATGCGTTCCTTAAGACGCCGACTAAATTCTGGAGGAAAATGTTTGAAAAAATCATTAGAGTACTGCAAACGATCCCATTAGGAAAGTGAAAAGACAACCCACAGAAAGGGAAAAAATACTTGCAAATCAAATCTCTGATAAGGGACTCATATCTAGAATATATAAAGAACTCTTACAACTCAATAATAAAAAGACAACCCAATTTTTAAATGGGCCAAGAATTTAAATAGACACCTCCCCAAAGAGGATAAATGGCCAACGAGCACATGAAAAGATGCTCAACATTATTAGTCATTAGAGAGATGCAAATCAAAACCCCAAGCAGACATCACGTCAAAACCACTAGGATGTCTACAGTCTAAAAAAAGGAAGGTAAGTGTTGCTGAGGATGTGGAGAAACTGGAACCCTCGCACATTCCTGGTGGAAGTCAGTCTGGTAGTTCCGTAAAAGGTTAAACATAGTTACCCCAGGAACCAGCAGTTCCACTCCTAGCTATATACCCAAGGGGACTGAAAACATATGTACCCACAAAAATCTGTACATAAATTGTTCACAGCAGCATAACTTATGACAGCTAAAAAGTGGAAACAACCCAAATGTCCATCAATGGTGATATGGTTTGGCTGTGTCCCCACCCAAATCTCATCTTGAATTGCAGCTGCCATAATTCTCATGTGTTAGGAGGGACCTGGTGGGAGATAACAGAATCATGCAGGCAGTTTCCCCCATACCGTTCTTGTGGTGACGAATAAGTCTTATGAGATCTGATGGTTTTATAAGGGGAAACCCCTCTCGCTTGGTTCTTATTCTATTTTGCCGCTGCCATATGAGACATGCCTTTTGCCTTCCACCATGATTGTGAGGCCTCGCCAGCCACATGGAACTGTGAGTATATTACACCTCTTTTTCTGTATAAATTACACAGTCTCAGATATGTCTTTATCAGCAGTGTGAAAATGGACTAATGAAAATGGATTAATGGATAATCAAATGTGCCATCTACACAATGGAATATTATTCAGCCATGAAAGGAATTAAGTTCTGATACATGCTACAACATGGGTGAACCTTGAAAACATTACATTCCATGAAAGAAGCCAGACACAAAAGGCCACATGCAGTATGATTCATCTATATGAAATGTCTAAAAGAGCAGATCGACAGAGACAGAAAGTAGATTGGTGGTTGCCAAGAGGAACATTAGTGGAAGGAGAATGGGGAGACCGATAATGTGTATGGAGTATTTTTTGGGTGAGGGGTGCCAAAATTGTTCAAAAGTTGGAATGTGATGAGGGTTACACGACCCTATAAACTTACTGGAAAAGACTGCATTGTACATTTTTAATGAGTGAACTGTATGGTATGCAAATTACATCTCAATAAAACTGTTAAAACCATTAGAACAGGTTACAGATTTTGAAACTATTAACACTAACAGATGCATCTAGATTCATAAGAATCAACTTAAAATCTCCATTATCCAGTTATTAGGAATCAGGCTTTGTTTAAGAACATGTTACTGGTAGGAGATTAACTGACTATATAATGGTGTAGATGTCTGTGGGCATAAAGAAACATTAGCTTTTAAATCAATTGTTTGTAAATATTTTAGTTGTGAAAGCTTTGTTTTCCAGATGAAATCATATATCTAGAGCTTTTCAGAATCCAATTTAAAAATCACTATTATGAATTATAGAATTTCTAATTATCAAATATATTAAACAACTGAAGAATTCTTTTATGTCAAGTTTTTCCGCGAGTAAATTCCTTTTGTTCAAAATACAACTTTTATGAATATAAGAATTTATGGATGAAATGTAAATATAAGAACAGAATCTTACATTTGTATTCCAGACTGTTAAAATTAAGAAGATCAGCTGGGTGCAGTGGCTCATGCCTGTAATCCCAGCACTTAGGAAGGCAGAGGCGGGAGGACTGCTTGAGCCCAGGAGTTCAAGACCAGCCTGGGCAACATAGCGAGACCCTGTTCTCCACAAAGAGGAAAAAAAATTAACAAGATTGATTTTTTTCCATGTAATAGGCACCCTCTCAACAGTGACTTAACTAATTAGAAGCAGCTTTCAATATAGTAATCCCCGCTTATGCTCAGGTGATACATTCCAAGACCCCCAATGGATGCCGGAAACCATGGATGGTACTGAACCCTGTATATACTGTTTTTTCAATCTGATAACCAAGAGAGCTACTAAGTGACTAATGGACAGGGAGCGAATACAGTGTGGATATGCGGGACAAAGGGATGATTCGCATCCCAGGCAGGATGGAGCAGGACTGTGTGCAATTTCCTCATGCAACTCAGAATGGCACTCAATTTAAAACCTAATAATTGTTTATCTCTGGAATTTTTCATTTAATATTTTTAGAGCACAGATAACCACATAACTGAAACCACAGGAAGTGAAGCCCTGGATAATAGGGGACTACTATGGAAAGAAAATGTCAGGATCCACATTTCTGAATCCAACTCTGGTAGAACCATTAGAACAGGTGAGTTACAGATTGTGAAACTATTTTAACATTAACAGATGCTTCTAGATTTATAAGGCTCAACTTAAAATCTCCATTATCCAGTAATTAGGAATCAGGCTTTGTTTAAGAACATGTTACTGGTAGGAGACTAACTATACGATGGTAGGCTCTCCTTACAACATCACCCCCCTTCCTTTCTTGGAAACGTGCAAGGAATAAATAACAGGAATGCACTTTGAAACTGTTTGGTGCAATATACGTGAAGGAGCAATATACTGTAGTATTATCATATTATCACTATTCAGGGAAGTTTCAGTGGACACCACAGCCAGAAGCAATGCTTTCCTCTATCTTGTCACCACCATTTTAATGACTTTAAGATTAAAGCTCTTTGGCTGGGCGCAGTGGCTGAAATCTGTAATCCCAGCACTTTGGAAGGCCAAGGCAGTTGGATCGCTTAAGGTCAGGAGTTCAAGACCAGCCTGGCCGACATGGTGAAATCCTATCTCTACTAAAAACATAAAAACATTAGCCGGGCATGGTGGCTCATGCCTATAATCCCGGCTACTCAGGAGGCTGAGGCATGAGAATCGCTTGAGCCTGGGAGGCAGAGGTTGCAGTGTGCTGAGATCATGCCACTGCTCTCCAAGCCTGGGCGATAGAGCGAGACTCTGTCTCAAAAAAAAAAAAGCTCGGTGATTCAAGGAGTTATATATACACAGGAGGAAGAAAATAACTTCTGGCTAAAGAAAAACAACAGCAACAAGAAAACACCATCTGGTTTACAACCAAAACAGACTTGATTGCAATGCCATGATGCTAAACCACAGCTCTACCCTAGTGTTCCTAAGACATTCCAAACCAGCTTCCTTGGCCTTTTCTTAAGTCCTTTTAATCTCTAGGTAAACAGAGTACATTTGAGACCAGAAAGAGAACTCCTCACACTGGTAGAAATATAGATTGGCACAAACTACCAATATTCAAAATGTACATGACCTTTAACCCGATGATTCATTTCCCAGGAATTTCTCCAAGCACAACACCCACAGAGGCACAGGATGTCCTCTGCAAGGTGTTTACAGTAACAGGGGATTGGAAACAACCTAAATGGCCATCAACAGGAGCCTGGTTTAACAGGTGAATTGCATGCTCACACTACAGAATACTGCGTGGTTCTCTGAAAGAATGGGGTTGGTCCTTATGTACTAACGTGAAACCTCTATGATAGCACTTTAATGAAATGAAGGTGTCTTGCAGTGTATACTGTAGTGGGCTATGATACTTATAAAAGAAAAAAGTCCTGAGAGATGTGCTTATTTTTTTTGTTTTTGTTTCTGAGATGGAGTTTCACTCTTGCTGCCCAGGCTGGAGTGCAATGGCGTGATCTCGGCTCACTGCAACCTCCGCCTCCCAGGTTCAAACAGTTCTCCTGCCTCAGACTTCCAGGTAACTGGGATTACAGGCATGCGCCACCACGCCCGGCTAATTTTGCATATTTAGTAGAGATGGGGTTTCTCCATGTTGGTCAGGCTGGTCTTGAACTCCCGACCTCAGGTGATCCGCCCACCTTAGCCTCCCAAAGTGCTGGGATTACAGGCGTGAGTCACCACTATGATATTTATAAAAGAAAAAAGGCCTGAGAGAGAGATGTGCTTATTTTTTCATATTCTTTTTTTTTCTTTTTTTTTTTTTTTTGAGATGGAGTCTCACTTTATCACCCAGGCTGCAGTGCAGTGGGGTGATCTCGGCTCACTGCAACTTCCATCTCCTGGGTTCAAACGATTCTACTACCTTAGCCTCCCAAGTAGCTGGGACTTCAGGAGCGTGCTACCACACCCAGCTAATTTTTGTATTTTTACTACAAACAAGGTTTTACCATGTTGGCCAGGCTGGTCTCAAATTCCTGACCTCAGGTGATCCGCCTGCCTCAGCGTCCTAAAGTGCTGGGATTACAGGCGTGAGCCACCACGCCCAGCCTATTTCCTCATATTCTTTAAATATAATCACACAATGTAAGATACATGAATGATATAGACATGTGGTCACATACATGAACCATCGCTGGAAGGATACAATGGCTGAAAGCAATGGTTGAGTCTGGGTAAGGGATCTGAGGATGGAGAGCCAGAAGACTGACTTCGTTGTTTTTTTTTTTGAGACGGAGTTTTACTCTTGTTGCCCAGGCTGGAGTGCAATGGCACGATCTCAGCTCACCACAACCTCTGCCTCCCAGGTTCAAGCGATTCTCCTGCCTCAGCCTCCTGAGTAGCTGGATTACTACCCAGCTAATTTTGCATTTTTAGTAGAGATGGGGTTTCTCCATGTTGGTCAGGCTGGTCTTGAACTCCCAACCTCTGGTGATCCGCCCACCTCGGCCTCCCAAAGTGCTGGGATTACAGACGTGAGCCACCGCGCCCAGCCAAGACTGACTTTTTAATCTTTATCCCCTAGTATTACTTGTAATTTTTATCATATGCCTGCATGTCTTAGTCAACTAAAAAGAAATTTCCATACAACAACAACGGCCCCTTGAGAACGTACCCTCTGGAGTTGAAGACTCCTTTCTGCGGCTGGATGGCGGGGCCAGCAGGCTCATGGCACTGGGCTGGTGCTCTGGTGACCGCACGATGGCGGACATGGCGATCTGCTGCCTCGCGGTGGCTGGCGTGGATGGGTGTGGGTGGTCCGTCGCTTTGCGGTGGGCAGCTGCAGAGAGACCAGGACAATGCCTTTTGGTTAGCTGGGTAGCCTAGAGAACCAAACCAAGCGGACTGTCCCTGGGCTGTCTTTCAAGGACCCAAGACCAAAAGAATATGCGTCACATCAACTTGGCAACACACAGGGGCTATACGTTTTTCAGACATGGGATGTCTGGTTTGAAAGCATATGGGCCATAAACAGACACTGAACTAGTTAGTCTTGGCTGATTTCACTGAGATCAATCCTCTGCCTTTTCCACAGCCTTGAGCACTTTGGAGAGAGTGAGCCCCTACCTTCCTCCCGGGCGGACCGGAGCTCGATGCGGGTCTTCTGAAGGGCTTCCTCTAGCTCTGCACAGCGAGCTTTCTCCTTCTCCAGGGCCAGCTTCAGCTCATTGTACTGCAGAGGAACCTGTGTGGGCAAAGCAGGGTCCTCTTTCCGTCGACTAAATAAACCCTAGCAATGGAAACAGAGATATCTCCTAACTCCTGGAAACTGGCACTTGAAACTAGCTAAAGGAAATCTGACTCGGGAGGAGCAAACCACAAAAGCCAGGAGCATACTCACTGTAAGTGTATTTAGTAAAAATGGCATGTGAATTGGGGGAAGGGTAGGCTGAGCCACAGCCCGTTCCAGTCGGCTGAAAAAAATAGGGGTGCGGAAGTTTTCACCAAGAGGATTAAAGATGCTTGAATGGCCACCACCTCTTCCTTTAGCATTGCCAAGACAGGAGAGTCATGTCCTGAGTCTTTCCCATTCAAAAAATGGAATCAGGAGAGTATGGAGTATGGAGTCAGGAGAGATGGTTCAGAGGTCACTCTTGCCTTGAAATATGTCTCATGATGCTCAGTTACAAGACACAGAGATGAGTGTTTTATAAAAGGAAGCAAAATTTTAAAAAGAATGCTAAAATGAGGTCAAAACAAGGGGCTTACTCGAAAAAAAAAAAAAGGCAAATGAAAATATTTACTATACATGGAAAAAAAGGAAAACAGAATAATGCAACTTAAAAAAAAGTTAACTAAAAAAAAAATAACAAATGGAAACACCCTAACTAAATCAAGTGACATAACCAGATAACAGTTCACTGCTAAAATAAAAAAGATTAAATATCATAAGCATAACAACCATTTACAGTCACGCAGCATGCAAGAAAATCCTTCCCATGCAGCCAACGTCTAGTGGGAGGCAGCCTTTGAATGTTGTGCTCATCCCCTTACAGTGAAGACAGCATTGGAAATACTGAGATAACTGTCAACTTCAGCCCTCCACTCCTTCCTCCTAGGTATTCTAAGTCATCAAGGCCTCTCCTGTAAAACCACTGCCACTGCCACCATGGTAGGCTTCTGCATTTGGAAGGAAACTGCAAGCTCCTTTGAAACTTTTCTTGGAACTGGGAACACCTGGCCAAACCTAGTATGAAGGCTTTAGTGGGAAAAGCATGTATAGATTGGGCTTATGAAAAACAATCTTCTCATGTGCACTACGTATAACCCTGCCCCTAGTTTGTAATTCGTCTCTTACGATCTAAAAGGGATGTTCAGTACTTGGCAGAGCGGAGAAGTGTCCAGTCAGACACTTCAGGCAGGTCACTCCAACTCCCTGAGTTCTTGTCTCTTTGTGAGCCAGTCAAAAGGACTGGACTAGATCACTGTTAAAGTCCTTTCTGGAGTGTGGTATGATAGACCTGAACTGCTGAAGCTGCATACTCGTGACTTGCTAACCCCCTCTGGAGTCATGTATGCATGACTTAGGTATAAATCTTTCTCTCTGCATACACCCCCTCTGCTCCAGCTGCTATGTGTGTGGGCTGGAGAGGGATTACTTCTTTAACAGCGAAAGATACTACGATTTGAATGGCCATAAACAAAAAGTAGTTTGTCACATTTGATTAATGATATCTTTCCATAAGACCTATTATAATTATCTCAAAATCTATTTTTCAACCCAAAATAAAACCAAAAATAAAAAAGAAGTGTACTTTGTTTTCTTCTATGTTTCTATGATAATATATCACAGTGGTGTGCACTGAGCCATGAATGATGAGTGAAACTGACAACTCCCACTTTTCAAACACTTTGACTCACCTTTTTCTTTTTAGCAGGTTGGTCCATTTTGGCTTGCAGAAAATCGATGAGTTTGGTTTGTTGAGAAATAGTGCCTTCCATTTTCACCTTTTCATGAGAATAGAGAACCTAAAATTCAAGAAAACACACTAACCTCAAACCCAGACAGAAGTCTACTTTTAAAGTTGGTACTTTAAGAAACTAAACAGTGAAGCTGTTAGGATGCTAACATATGAAAATTCAACACAAACAGTACTGAGTCGGTATTTATTTAGTCCCAATTTTACTGCAAAGGAGAAAAAAAGATGTATTTATAGATAAATACGTGAAAAAGTAAAAATAGCAACAGGTTCATTGTAGGTCATGGTCACTATAGAAATCTTCCAACTTCTCTGAATGTTTGAAATCTTTGAAAATAAAATCTTGGGGAAAATACACACAATATGCAGCACAAAGATACCGACAGTTTTACCAGATGACTCTACCATCGTGCTTTGCCTCTGCAGACCATTTTATTTATTTATTTACTTATTTGTTTGTTTATTTATTTATTTTCTTGAGACAGTCTTGCTCTGTTGCCCAGGCTGGAGTGCAGTGGCATGATCTCAGCCCGCTGCAACCTCCACGTCCTGGGTTCAAGCCATTCTCCTTCCTCAGTCTCCCGAGTAGCTGGGACTACAAGTACCCACCACCACGCCCAGCTAATTTTTGTATTTTTAGTAGAGACGCGGTTTCACCATGTTGGCCATGCTGGTCTCGAACTCCTGACCTCAGTTGATCTGCCCACCTCAGCCTCCCAAAGTGCTGGGATTACAGGCATGAGCCACTGAGCCCAGCCGTGCAGACCATTTTTAAGTAGATTCCCTCTGCCAGTCCTCACCTGAATGTTTTCCAGCTGATACTCCAGGTCACTTCTTTCTGTCTTCAGCAGATCAGCCCGATCTAGAGCTTCTTGCAGTCCTTGAGTCAGACGGAAAATGTGATTTTTCTGCAGGTCCATCTGCTGCTGTAATTTGGCTTGCTAGTGGGGAGAAGGGCCAGGGAAATGCTTGATACTGCACACAATACAATTTGTTCCCCCGCTGTTCCTATTTCAAACTAATTTCAGGCATGGCACCAGAAGTACAGCTTTCGAAATCATCTCAATTCAGAATTACCAATTGTCATCTATTCCAAAAGGATGCAAGCACAGTTAAAATGAATTTGCACAGAAACCTCTGCCGGCCAACAAGTCCCAAGATCCTTACCGTCACAGAAAGTCCAGGCTGCAGGGTTGGCCTTCCCAGAGTTCCAACTGAGGATATTTTGGCACATTAAGGTGAGGATATTTTGGATGGCATAAGCCATCCGAGTTGACATCTAAGGCAGTTCGACTCAGTGCCATGACAACTAAGGTCCAATGTGTCTTTATTTTTTGTTTTCAAGATCTTAATCGTTGCTATGAGAAACTACTCCTTGCATGCAGTGTGGTATACACAAAGAGAAATCATATCATCCCTTACTTAATAAATGTCCCATCAGGGTGAGAGACCCCAACAAGTACATGAATAGCCACAATCACGGGAGATATTTCTACAACATCGGGGGAAAAGAAGAAGAAGATCCCAGAAGTACAGAGTGTTGGTAAAACCCAGAAAAGAAATTCAATTGAGTATATTGAAAATAGTTTTGTGCTATAAATCTCGCTCCAATTTTTATAATGGAAGTTAACAGAAAACAGGACAGGCTATAAAGACGCTGGTTTTGTGGTTCTTTTTCCTAAAACGCATCCGTTTCTAAAAAAGCAGGAGAGAGCAGGCATCCTGATGAGACGGTGCTTGATTTTATTCAAACCCTGGATTATAGCTTAACAACACTTACTGTGGCCCAAATAATCTCTTCCCTGGTAGCCTGGGTCCTCTGCAGACTTAGGGACAGAGAGCTACTCAAAGCAATAAACATCACCACTGGAGATTCCAAAAGGCCTATGGCAGCCCCCAAACTCCTCCATCCCAGCAGGCCCAGAGGCAATGATAATCTCAGAATTTCCTGGCCCTCAGAATTTCCTCTGGACAGAGAGGAAAAACCTCTGTTTTTCTTTCCATTTATATCCCTCACCTGCCCTTCCTCTTAACAGGTAGCTGATTCCCTAAGGCATCGTGCTGCAGTAGAAAGACCTGGATGATAGATTCTTACAGACCCTGGTTTAAATCCTGACTTTTACACTTCCCATATCACTGATATCTGTTAAAGTCTGTATTTATCACCTCTCAGAGCCTCAGTTTCTTCATCTGAAAGTGGGTATACTAGCTTGCCTTACTGGATGACATATTGAACACAGTGCCCAGTATACAGCAGGTGCTTACTGAATGTTTGTCCTCTCCATCTCCTTTGTCCTTCTTTCTTCCCTCCATTCAGTTAAGGTGCTCCCTCTCATCCTCCCATCTGCCTTTCGCTAACAACACTGCCACAAACCAAGAGCTACCAACTAAAGATCACTTGGGGCCGGGCACAGTGGCTCATGCCTGAAATCCCAGGACTCTGGGAGGCTGAGGTGGGAGGACTGCTTGAGCCCATGAGTTCAAAGTGGCAATGAGCTATGATTATGCCACTGCATTCCAGCCTGGATGACAGAGCAAGACCCTGTCTCTAAAAAAATTAAAATTAAAATTAAAATTAAAAAAACCATTTGGCCCATGTGCGTAACCTGGAATTTCTCAATCAAACCACAGAGCCCCCTAAAATACAGGAAGAAAGGAAAGAAACAGCTAAGATACCCTCCTCCGCAGCATGAGTGATTTCTTCTGCAAATTACCCTCTTTAGTTTCTTCCCACTATTTTAGGACAACATTAATTACTAGGCAGAAACCAGAGAAACAAGTGCTGCGGACGAGAATCTGTTTGGTGACAGCCAAGCCCAAAATATTTTTCTAGAATAAACGCATCAACTGTCCATTGGCTTTCCAAGAAATAGGCTGGTTAAAGTAAGCGGGGCATTTGTACTCTATGAAAATGTTTTTCAGAAGCATTTACCTGCTTCCCAGAAAGAAGCAAACAGAGGTATATTCATGGGCCAGTGTTAGACTGAAAGGGGGGGCCTTAGCTGTGTGTTTAGACCTGTCCAACAATTTTACAAGGGTGACAGGAAACTGGCAGGAAAAAGAAAGGGGCTGTATGACAGAATAAGAGCGTGAAACAACCCCAGTGGGCTGGAAGAATGGATCAAGACCAACAAGAAAAACTTCAGTAGGATGGTAATTTTTTAAATTGTCAACAGAATAAATATAGAACATAAAGATGTTTTTAAGAAAAAGCAAACTTGTGGAAAGGTAGGTAATGATTTAACAGACCAATGGTGCCAGTGATGTGATCAAAACTACCCAAAGGGCCCAGGTAATTGGCAGAGGTTTAGAGCCCAGTATGGAGATGGAAAGATCCCAATGTATTCAGTGCTATTCAGACCACATGAACTTGTAGAAACTCTCTGTGGAAAGACAAATCTACCAGAAAAGAACATCCAAAGCTTGAGGGGATCTAAAATGTTTCACTTAAAAAAAAGAAGGTGGCCGGGCGCAGTGGCTCACTCTTGTAATCCCAGCACTTTGGGAGGTCAAGGCGGGAGGATCACTTGAGCCTAGGAGTTTGAGGCCAGCCTAGGCAACATAGGGAGCCCCCGTCTATACAAAAAAAAACTTGAAAAAATAAAAGAGAAGGCAATTTGGAGTGGGAGAGCTATTTGGATAGCTAGTTGACTATCATAGAGATAATAAAACTAGTTAGCTTGCAGGAACGTTGCAAGGACTGTAAGAGTTAATTCACGTAAAGTACTCAGAGAGTCAGTCACATGGTAAGTGCTAATTAAACCTTAGTTATTTTAATAATCAAGTAATCTGACTATTAATCAATATTAATCTCTCATTTTGGTTGGAGATATCAGACTACTTTCTAATTTCATGTGTTTCAACGTAATGGAACCAGTGGTTTTTAAAAGTGCAAGGTTTCAGTTCCAAATAAGAATGTTCTAAGAATGAGAGTTGCTGGAAAATGGGTTGGGATGTCCAAAGTCATTGTAAGTATTTAGGCCGAGGTTCAACGGGGCCTATCTATGAGGAGTGTTGAGGAAGGCATCTTCTACCTTGGATGAGAGATGAATTTGACCAGGACTAGCAACTGGACTTTGATCACTGGTGTTACTTCCAATGAACTGAGAGTGGCTATAAAGTGTCATGTTGAGAAAGCTTCTGAAGTCATTTTGGGCCCAGGAGGAAAAAGGTGAAAGAAAGATCCATTAGTAAGTAAAGTTTGTCAGGAGCAGAGATAAAGGGAACAGTGCTGGAAATTCAGACTGTATAATATAAAAATTATTTCAATTCTGAGACTTTGATTCTGGCTCCATTTAAAAGTCTCCTTATAGGCTGGGCATGGTGGCTCATGCAATAATCTTAGCACATTGGGAGGCTGAGGTGGGCAGATCATTTGAGCCCAGAAGTTCAAGATCAGCTGGGCCAACATCATGAAACCTCATCTCTACTAAAAATACAAAAAATTAGCCGAGAGTGGTAGTGTATACCCGTAATCTCAGCTACTCAGGAGGCTGAGGCAGGAAAATCACTTGACCCTCGGAGGTGGAGGTTGCAGGGAACCAAGAGCATGCCACTGCACTCCAGCCTGGGCGACACAGCAAGACTCCGTCTCAAAAAAAAATAAAAATAAAAATAAAAAATAAAAGTCTCCGTACCTACGAAGAGGATACTGAGGTGGAAACCTTGGGCACATATGCTTATACAGTACACACCAACCAGGAGGCCCAATCACAATGTGGGCAATAAAGAGCATTCTTTGCTCCAGAACGGCTTCAACTGTCACAGAAATCCGCCCGAGGCTCAATGTCAGCCAGATGTCTGTGCTCAAAAATCTTTCTGTGAGGAACATCCTGGGAAACTGGAAATGTTCTCATGTAGGTTCAGAAGTGAGAAGGAGGGAACTGGATCAGGATCCCGGCACTCTATTCCTAGAGTCGTCACTGACTCACCACATAACCTTGGACCAAAGTACTGAGCTGTCAGGGCCAACTCGCCCTCTCAGAAGGAAAATAGGACAGGCATGAGCATTGATTATTTCTGTTCTTTCTGTTTCCAGGATGTGCTTAAAGTGGGAACACTGTCTATTCATCCCAGATAAAAGACCCTAATTCTTTATTTGACCACGAGGTACATTTAACATTTCCATTGTAGTGTTGTTCATAAGGCCATAGGGTGAATTCCTCTGTGTGTTCACCAAATGTGTGTGTGTGTGTGTGTGTGTGTTTAGTATTAAATTTTATTTTTTAAATTGTTTACAGAGGCAAAATACACATAAAATTTACCATTTTAACCATTTTTAAGTATATAGTTCAGAGGCATTAAGTACACTCATATTATTGTGTAACCATCACCACCATCCATTTCTAGAACTTTCCCAAACTCCCACCCATATTTTTCATTTTAATTTTTATTTTGAGATAGGTTCTCACTCTGTCACCCAGGCTACAGTGCAGTGGTACCATCAGAGCTCAATGCAGCCTCAAACACCTGGGCTCAAGTGGTCCTCCCACCTCAGCCTCCTGAGTAGCTGGGACTAGAAGTACACACCACCACACTTGGCTAATTTTTTTTTTTGTTTTGGTAGAGGCGGGGTCTCACTATACTGCCTAGACTGGTCTCAAACTCTCGGCCTCAAGCAATCCTCATGCCTCAGCCACCCATATTTTTAAAATTATCATTCAATAAAATATTTTATACTCACCTGCAAAAATTTCACTACACTTTTCAAACTTAATAGCACAACAGTATTACTTCTATCAGCAAAGTGCCTCAGGAGCTAGGGGTATCATGTGACAAAACCTCATCAGCCAGAACAGGGCATTCTGGTTAATTAAACTGTCAGGTTCACTAAGGGTTAAACAGAATACTCTTTGGAGTCCAGTTTTTCATTATAAAGTGCATTTGTCCTTGCAGGTCAATCCTAAAGAACAAAGCAGAATCATCAGTGATTCAACATAGAGGGCTCTGGCTGGGGTGTCGGAGGTAGTCATCAATTTAAATAGCGATTCTCAGAGTTCTGTGAAAAGGTACCAGCCATCACGTAAGGGACGGGTTTAGGAGATCAGTCTGAGCTTGTCTTTTATGCTTCAAAAGCAGGGCACACATTATTTTTAACTAAATTACCCAATGTTCAAAAGCCTTCATGAAATTTGGTACTCAGAATAATCTGATAAAATTCTGCCCTATGCAGGAAGCTAATTTGCATGGACGTCCTATCAGCATGAAACTTAATATACTTTGGATATTAGCTCTAAAGAACAATTTAACTCAATATTCACTCACCCATGTATTTAATAAACTTCTATTTGGCATATACTATGTGCTTGACACTCTATTAAGCTTCACATAGAAGGATAAAAATGACAGAGACCCTCTGGCCTTCACGACATATTTTTAATGCATTAAATACCTTAAGACAAGCATTATATGACCCCCATACTCTTACTTGAAAATTCTAATTTCAAAATGTCTAATTTGGATCTGACAAATTGTCACTTTCAAAATTCCACCTGGAATGGAAAGCTAACTACTGCATGTTCTCACTACAAGTGGGAGCTAAGCTATGAGTATGCAAAGGCATACAAAGTGGTATAATAGACACTGTGGACTCAGAAGGGGGAAGGCAAGGAGGGGAGCGAGAGATGAAAAATTACCTATCAGGTACGATATATACTATTTGGGTCACAGGTACACGAAAAGCCTAGACTTCACCACCACACAATTCATCCATGTCACCAAAAAAACACTTGTACCCCTAAAGCTATTGAAATAAAAAAATCTTTTTAAGAAATTTGTTTAAAAGTTCAGGCAGGGCATGGGGACTCATGCCTGTAACCCCAACACTTTGGGAGGCCAAGACAGGTAGATCACTTGAGCCCAGGGATTCAAAACCAGCCAGCCTGGGAAACATGGGGAAACCCTGTCTCTACAAAACAATACAAAAATTACTCGAGCATGGTGGCATATACCTGTACTCCCAGCTACTCAGTAGGCTGAGTGGGAGGACGACCTGAAACCAGGAAGTCAAGGCTGCCGTGAGTAGTAATTGCACCACTGCACCTTAACCTGGGCAACAGAGCAAGACCAAAAAAAAAAAAAAAAAAAAAAGACTCCAGAGAGAAATGAACTACCAGCCGTGAAAAGGCATGGAGGAAACCTGGATGCATATGACTAAGTGAAAGCAGCTAATCTGAAAGGCTACATACTGTGTGATTCCAGATATGCAACATTCTGGAAAAGGGAAAACTATGGAGACAGCAAAAGATCAGTGGCTGCCAGGAATTGAGGGTGGGGAGGGATGAACAGGCAGAGCACAGAGGGTTTTTAGGGCAGTGATACTATCCTGTATGATATGGTAAAGGTGGATAACTGTCACTATACATTTGTCAAAACCCATAGAATGTACAACACCAAAAGCAAACCTAATTTAAAGTATGCATTTGGGGTGATGATGATGTGTCAGTGCAGGCCCATCGATTGTAACAAATGGACCTCTCTGGAACAGGGTGTTGACAGTTGGGGACGTTGTGGGAGGAGGGGGCAGGGAGTATGTGGGAACTCTCTGTGCTTTCTGCTCAATTTTGCTGTGAACCTAAAGCTGCTCCAAAGAATAAAGCCTATTAAAAGAAAAAAATTCTACTTGGCCCTTATCCCAGGTGTTTCACACTCACCTCTTCCAGAAGCCTCTGTTTGAGCTCTCGTTCAGTCTCCAGCTTCTGCTGTAAGCTTCGGGCATTCATTTCAAGCATAGCATGCTTCTTCTCCAGGTCATTGAGCTAGACATTTGGAAAGATTGGCATAATGCCACATTTAGGAATGTTAGATGCTGACAACTTTTATGAATGTCCACGAACCTTCACAAAGAAAGAATATTGAGTTCTAAAGGTCAGAACGTAAAAGTTGCTTTTTTCTAAATACAGAAGTCCATGTCACTGGTGAGTCTTCCATAGGTTATTAAATGAGGATGGAAATTATTTCTAAGGGATGGCTCTTAAATATAGCCATGACAAGTTCTAGGAGATGACTGCTCAAGGATTTATTTATCTGACATGCTTTGGCTGAATTTAATTAAATAATCATATGCTGAATGCTTACTACCTGCATTATGGCTTTTAGGATGAAAGGATAACTAAGCTCTCAAGGATCTTACATCAAGTCAGAAAGGCCCATAACTAGACACGTACGCAAATAATGACTGCTTTGTTAGATTTTAAGTTTGATAAGAAAGGCTTGGGAAGGAGAAATTCATCCCAATTAGGAGAAGATCAAGACAATAAGGTATTGCAAAGTCTGGAGCTTTAAAATATACAAAGGACTTTGCTGCTTAATACTTTAACAGCAGTCAACTAGAAAAAAATGTTTTTCACATTAAACATAAAAGGCCTCACATATCTCTAATAAATCTAGTTTCCTCATGCTAAAAAAAAAAATGGTAACCCAGTTTCAGGGAACTCAGGAGTGTTCCTCACTAGAGAGCTCTGGCCTTAAATCTAATAATTCTGTTTCTATTAATATAAGTATCTGGTAAGAAAATAATCATAGATGTCCATAAAGATTCATATTTATCACACTGTTATTTATATGGCAAAAACTGGAAGCTCAAATTTCCAATACAAGTATAATGATTAAAGTAGGTACTTCCATGGAATTTATTTTTTTTAGAATCACATGTTCAAAAAATACTCAACTCAGAAAAAACCTGCAGTTAAATGATTTTTAATAAAAACATGTAAAGCTGTACACATGAGAATCTAATTTATAAAAATACATACGTATGTCTATGTATGTGTGTATATGCATAAACATAAGCACAGAGACTGCAAATAAATTCACGAATAAAACAATAGCAATGGGTGACCAGCCATTATTTCCTTTACTTTTCTGTGGTTTCTGTATTTTCCACCATGACCCAAATAACTATTTTTCTATCATGAAATAACAAAGTTATAGAAAATATAAAATCAGATTGTTATTTTGTGTGTGTATGTGCATGAAAAAGAGTGTCTATGTATGCATCTGTGTGTTTATACATAAAATTCCTCTGATCTTCACCTTGGTGATCTGTAACACTGAAGTACCTATTCTGTATCTCTCTCAAGATTATTAGCTAAAATCTCTAAAACATTGGTTATGACTGTAAATGTAATATGGAGAGGCACATGGATGGAACACGTGTATTTCCCATGTGAAATACTGAGAACTGGAATGCGTCATCAGACCCTATCATGACCCTGAACTTGGAACAAGGAGAAGCTGAGCTACCTATTACTGCAGCAATGGGATGAGCATTAGTCACTGCCACCAAGAACTTCCCAAAGATGCACAGCATTCAATCCATAAAGCCTTCTGGAAATAAGATGCCAGACAACCAGAGAGTAGAACACCCAGATCAAAATTCGAACTTCAAGGGCCTAGACACACAGATTTTAAAAAGTCACTGGCCGACTGTGATCACTGGGCACCCACCACACCCACCCACGCTACTGCCAACCAAAAATGTCCCATGGTAAGGCAAACCATGGGACATTTTTGGAGTGCATGAACATATGTTTATGAAATATGTTTGCCATGGATTGCATTTGAATTTTTATCAAGCGTGCCTTTAAAAGAAGGAAACGAAAATGTTTTCCTAAAAAGCAGAAGGGGTGGGCGCTGACCTTGTCAGAGAGGCTCTCGGCCTTCAGCTTCTGCTCTTTGAGAGCCTGCTGCAGAGCGAGAATCTCCGCCTTGTGCTCCTTCACTGCCAGCTCCACAACCTGGCGAGACTCGGTGATCCGCTGATCGGCTCTCGCCCTGCCAGAAAAACACAGGTCAGCTTTTGGAAGCCCCCCAACGGCTGACCTGCTGAAAGAAGGCTGGTCCATCTCTAATCCTGACGAGCAACTAAACAGGCTGCAGGCCAGAGAGATGCCCAACCTTGACCCTTAGTTCCAATCTGTCTTCCTTTCCAACAGCTTACCAAGCAAAGATTTGACCCATGTTAGGTTTGGGTGAGAAAAAACAAAACAGGCCAGGCGCAGTGGCTCACACCTGTAATCCCAACAGTTTGGGAGGCCAAGGTGAGTGGATTACCTGAGGTCAGGAGTTCCAGACCAGCCTGGCCAACATGGTGAAATCCCATCTTTACTAAAAATACAAAATTAGCCGGGTGTGGTGGTGTGCACCCCTATTCCCAGCTACTCAGGAGGCTGAGGCAGGAGAATCACTTGAACCCAGGAGGTGGAAGTTGCAGTGAGCCAAGATCACACAACCGCACTCCAGCCTGGGTGACAGAGCAAGACTCCATCTCAAAAAAAAAAACCAAACAAACAAACAAACAAAAAAAGTTAAATGTTTTTGGGTACTCATCAAGAAACTGAAACTTGAGGCTGGGTGTGGTGGCTCACGTCTTAATCCCAACACTTTGGGAGGCTGAGGTGGGCGGATCACCTGAGGTCAAGAGTTCGAGACCAGCCTGGCCAACATGGTGAAACCCCATCTCTACAACAAATACAAAAAATTAGTCAGGCATGGTGGCGCGTGCCTGCCATCCCAGCTACTCAGGAGGCTGAGGCAGAAGAACTGCTTGAATTTGGGAGGTGGAGGTTGCAGTGAGCCAAGATGGTGCCACTGCACTCCACCCTGGGCAACAGAGCAAGACTCCATCTCAAAAAAGAAAGAAAAAATGAAAGTGAAACTTGAATCTGATGAGTGTCTCCATAAATAATGCTAAAGAACAGAAAGATCAGAAGCAAACTGGGAAAAAAAAAATCACTTCCCTTTCCCCATTTAGGTATCATGCTTCCTACTTCCACACTTTGGCTTATACAATCTCCTCCACTGGCCATCCCCTCCTTTGCTACTCTGCAAACTCAAATCTTACTCAGCCTTCAAGGATAAATTCAAATGCTATGATCTCCATAAAACTGTTTCCACTTTCTCTTCTCAGAAGCAACGTCACCTTGTTCTGTATCCCAAGCATAACTGTATTTCTCTCCTAAATATATATATACATATTTGAGATGGAGTCTCACTCTGTCGCCCAGGCTGGAGTTCAGTGGCACGATCTCAGCTCACTGCAACCTCCACCTCCAAGATTCAAGCAATTCTCCTGCCTCAGCCTCCCAAGTAGCTTGGACTACAGGCGCATGCCACCACACCCAGCTAATTTTTGTATTTTTTGTAAAGACAGGATTTCGCCATGTTGGCCAGGTTGGTCTCAGACTCCTGACCTCAAGTGATCCACCCACTTCGGCCTCCCCATCTCTCCTAAATATCTGAATCCATATCTCCTCCAGTAGACTCTTAGGCTCTTGAGAACACGGATTAACAATTATATTTTACTCATCTCAGTATCCCACATAATACCAAAACAGAAAAAAGAAAAAAAAAAGAAAAGAAAGGCACGATCTTCCACAATTGCCCTGAAAGCAGACATGAAATGAAAGCAGACTAATGCTAGTCTTCCTGAGAACAGCTCATAATTATACATTCCATGTATGGTCATGTATTTCTTGATGCTGAAGCCAGATCCTACCCCAAAAATGATCTCCGTAGGTCCCTAGAAACAGCTAGGATAGGAGCTGCACTTGAGGGCGGGAGGGAAGGGGTCTGTGAGAAAACAACCAGAACTTATAGTGAGGATGGCAGAGTCTAAGGTTTCAGAAGGAAGCTGGAACAGGAGACTTAAACAGCAGTCCCTCCCATCAACAAATACCCTGAGTGTAGAAGCTGGGAGGATCCTCAAAAAGGAACTGTTTCTACCATTTCTCCTGAAATGTAAGCGTTCTCATCTTTTACCTCCAAACTTTTGAAGCTCAGCTGACCTTTGCATAATCCATCTGATATATTTAGTTGAGCCTACTATGGCCCAGTAAATGTGAGAGATACCCAAAAGAGTGTGACACAGATTAATTCATTGATTGATATTTCTACGGATAGCTTATCTTGCTTAAGGAGTTCAGAGAATCACAGGAAGGTAAGTTTCAGAGGAAGGTGACATGAGCAAGGTTATGAAAAATGGATCCAATTAGCTGTGCAGACAGGAAGTCACGGGGCACACACTAGCCCATATCGTGCCTTTGTACAAACTGGAAAGCGGCACCCGTCCTTCTAGGCCATTTCTTTCCATCTGTGAAACGTCATCACGTACCAATTTTGTCAGAAACAAAAGTTTCCTGCCATGAGCTGTAAATCTGTCATAACAACTCTTCCAGTCTATGACATCTTCAATGTGACCAGCAACCCTCAGAGCTATGGAGTACACAATTGCACCCCTGTGGCCCCACAGGAAGGGAAATCTATACTAGGTGAACTGTGGAAACAAAAGTGAGAAAGCAGAGGAACGACACTACCTGAACTGATTATTATCACTTCCTACTAAGAAAGGAAAAAAAAGAAAAAACAAGCAGGCATGGTGGCTCATGCCTGTAATCCCAGCACTCTGGGAGACCAAGGCAGGTGGATTACTTGAGGTCAGGAGTTCAAGACCAGCCTGGCCAACACAGTGAAAACCCATCTCTACTAAAAATACAAAAAAAATTAGCCGGGCATAGTGGCACGCACCTGTATTCCTAGCTACTTGGGAGGCTGAGGAAGGAGAATCCCTTGAACCCTGGAGGTGGAGGTTGCAGTGAACTGAGATGGTGCCATTGCACTCCAGCCTGGGTGACAGAGTCAGACTCTATCTCAAAGAAAAGGAAAAAAAAACACTAAACTATTCTTGTAAAGCAGTGGTTCTCCATTGGGGACAATGGAGACACTGAGAATATTGGGGGCAATGTCCAGAGACATACTTGTTGTCACAACTTGGGAAGGGGGTTGTTGGTGGCATCTAGCGAGCAGAGATGAGGGATGCTGCTCAATATCCTACAATGCACAGGACAGCCCCCATAACAAAGAATGACCCAGCCTGACATGTCAATAGTGCCAAGGTTGAGGAATCCTGGGGTGGAGGGAAGACTAGCACTGCACATGACCAGGATTAAAATGGTAATGTTCTTGCTATGGTTACTCTGATGAGAAACCTCATGAGAGTGTTTCTGCACAGAAAACAGAGGTATTTGCCCTGATGCCTAGGCCTCTGCATGGGGAAAACAGATACCAGCCATAGCCACAGAATCCAACTCACACTATCTACGTTTACAACTAGGGTGACCACCCCATCCTGGTTTGCCCAAGAGTCTCCTGGTTTTAAGCACCAGGAGGCTTGTGCCCCAGGAAGCTTCTCAGTCTCAGCTGGGAAAGCTGATCACCCTGTTCACAACTCTCAGGCTGATCCTCCTGCAGTCACCTGTCATGAGCTTTCCACAAACACAAAACCCCACCTGCTCTGTTTCTCGGTGTCCAACATCCTCTGCAGCTCTCGAACCCGACACTCAAACTGGGATTTCTCGTCACCCAGGACGCTCCTCCAGGCCTCCCACTGCCGCTCTTTTTCTAGCAGCTCGTCGTTTAGGGCCTCCAAATCCATGACCTGTTCCTCCAGCATGGTACACGTGGTCTTCAGAGCCTCCATCGTCTGCAAATCAGTACCACGGATTTGTGCCTTATCTTTAAACAAGGATTTCCTGGAGATTACTTTGGTCAGGTCAGTTTCAGAAAAGCACAAGTTTCTAACTACAGTTTGAAATGCAGCTTGTCTTTTTCCTCTGCAGCCCGAGGGGACCAGGCAAGAATGGACGGCGGGCCAGTGCTGCAGCCACCTTGGAGGCAGAACCCAAAGCAAAGCCAGGGGAAGCGACTAAGCTTAAAATCAAGCCATTTACGTTGATCTCCCAAAGCATTTGATTTTGTTTTTATTTATTTTTTCGAGGCAGGGTCCAGCTCTGTCACCCAGGCTGGAGTACAGTGGCATGATCACAGTTCACTGCAGCCTCGAGCTCCTGGGTTCAAGCATTCCTCCCGCCTCAGCTTTCTAAAAAGCTGGAACTACTGGCATGCACCACCAAGCCCAGCTAAGTTTTATCTTTTTTGTTTTAAGAGATGAGGTCTCCTGGGCTCAAGTGATCTTATCACCTCTACCTCCCAAAGTGTCTGGATAACAGGGAAGAGCTGCCACACCGGCCCAATTTTTTAAAATCAAAATTAATAAGAACTACACACTTTTAAAAGCCATTTTTAAAATCCTAAAGACTTAGAAACAAGACATGATTCTAAAAAGAGCCCAGTGAAGTTGGGTATGAAGTTTAGTGTTGGAACCCTTGGGAGAATGCACCAAGCACTCCTCCTAAAATTCTTCTAAAAGTCCTCCAAGGATCTCATGACCTTGTTAACCCTCCTTACTTGCTTCTGGCTGGTAAGCTGCATCTCTCGTTCTGTGATCTCCCGGCGAAGGTGGTCCACTTCACTTCGCAGTTGTACAATCTCATCGTTGGCGCCGGAAGCCTCATCGAGTTGTTTGGACAAGTAGAAGTTTTGGTTGTTGAGTTCGGCGTTATCCTCGGTCAGCTGGTTTAGCTGCTCCTCCAGGTCTGTGATTACCTAAAAGAGGAAAGAAATCCAGTTACACGCCAAGCACATTCATTTCAAATGAGAAATTGCTTCTAGGGCTATGGATTTCTGAACTCACGTGACACTGGCAATCAACGTGCCGCTCATGAGTTTGCCCACCTGACCTTGAGAGTCACGTCCAAGCTCCCACGCCCACCCACTTAACTCTAAACACGAGCAGTGGTAGAAAAAGACCCAGTTTCTCTCTAACTCAGGACACATCTAAGAAATATGGCAAAAGCAATCAAAAGTAATCACTGCATGAAACGGACGACTTTGAATGAGATCAAGTTGACAGAAATAATATAATATGGAAGGAAAATGCAAATTAATAATAGACTGGTCTCACAATCTGCTAATTAAGCTAAAAATGCCCATGACACTATCTCTAGGACCTTATTATTGGAGATGGCCACAGTCTTAGAAAGCAAAATGAAGTTCTTATCAAGGAAGACTGACAGGGAAGGGCACCAGGAGTTATTTCAATAATATCACAAGCAATAAATTTAATTTCATACAACCAAGGAAAAAAAACTTAAGGGAAACTCAGAAAAACCCTGAAAATACACTACTGTACTATACCATCACTTTAATGTATTTTACTATACAGTTGGCTATCAGACAATGGGAAGCCATGTATATGAAACTGTCATTTTATTGAGAGATTTAATCGGGGTTTGCTAAATTACTTTCCTGCTCAGTAGCAGAATGACTTCAATTTCAGAACATTTAGCTTTCCTATTCTCTTTGCTGAGGTTTAGAATTACTGCTTGCAGAGAGCTTTCATGTATAATACTTTAGAAGTTTAAGGGCAATTTTCTAATAATAGTTGGACTGAGGCACACAGGCAGTAAATTAAATTTTATGTAACAAAAAGAAGGAAATTAAAAGGAAATGCCATTAAGCCTACAGTTATTAATTGTTTCCAATTTTCAAACCTAGAGTTGATTTCGTTTATGAAATGTTGCCATTGCTTTCATGACTAATTTCCTATTTTAACCCTCTTTGATTATCAGTTTTTAAAAAAGTCTCCCCAGGCACATGGAATTAAAGAACATCAATTAAGTACATTTGTCCACAAATGTACTCAGAAGAGATACAACTTTTCATTTTGTTAACTGAGCTGATAACCTTTTAGTGTATGGTCTAATGGTCTAGTAATTTGCTTTTTAATGTCAAAAGCCACATTAATTCATAATGTACTGTTTTGAGATACACCATCAGCTACAAGAAGGGGAATAAAAGTTATCTGGTCAGGTTCTTAGCTCAGATACCTTCTTTATCAATGAAGACAAATAAGGAAAATCTGCACATTTGCCATTTCTAGCAGACACTTATGACTTGTAGGGTCCCTGCCTTTCCCTTTCTGTGACATGTTAAATCTCCTGAAACCAGAAACAATGAATAAACAATGCCCACTAGTTCAACTGATCTCCTTCCTGTATGTAGTAAACCTATTCCTTAAGATGTTTTTCGTAATGTCTCCATTTAACTACTATGCTTCCCCCTACCTCTTTCCCAAAGAAAAGTAAGACAGGCAGGCTGGCTTGGAAGATATAAAATGGATTCTGGAACCCCAAATAAGCCATCTGACCTTTGCTGGGTTGGTTTCTCCATCTGTGACATGGGAGTGAACACTATATTTACTCATCTGCTTTTACTCTTTTAATTTTTTAAATTTTCTTGCATGTGATTTGACCTTAATGTATCATGTGAACACGAGGTCAGGAAATCGAGACCATCCTGGCTAACACAGTGAAACCCTGTCTCTACTAAAAATACAAAAAAGTAGCCGGGCGTGGTGGCAGGCGCCTGTAGTCCCAGCTACTCGGGAGGCTGAGGCAGGAGAATGGCGTGAACCCAGGAGGCGGAGCTTGCAGTGAGCCAAGATTGCGCCACTGCACTCCAGCCTGGGTGACAGAGCAAGACTCCGTCTCAAAAAAAAAAAAAAAAAAAAAAAGCCTCTTGGGGAATAAACAGACCAGACTACAGAAAGTCTACTCACATGAAAATACATCATTGCCAAAATAATTCACTTGCCATTCAAGGATGTAGCTAAGACTTTGGGTACTGCTTTCTTTGATTGATGAAAAAAATGCAATTTATCATTTGTGATAGTAGCCCATTTCTGCCACCTTTTCTTTTTCTCCCAAAATTATATTATAAAATGCTAAAGAAGAAACACTTGGAAAAGGGCAATTTGGTATCACTCAGTTGAGATGGGCCCATTGGAGTAAGAAGGGTCTTTCTATTTCCCTGTTGTCATCCAGTCTACAAGGGTTCTCGTGCCTCTGATTATATTTCTGGTTTGTGATTGCTGGTTCTATATTTGGTCATCATCTCTATCTTGCCCATTTGACAAGAGAAGTGTTACATGTTTTTGTAAAGTACCCATACTGAGATTTAAGGCATTTTAATTGATTTGGACTTTTTATACACATATTCTATCTACCCAAGCCGTAACACAGTTAGCTTGTGACCTTGTTTCAAGTTGCTGGAGTCACGATATTAAACGCTGGACACACCCATGCACACACACACATATGTTACTGAGTTTACAGATATTAAACTGACTTATGACATAGGCAGTAAATTAATGGTCTTTGTGAGTTTTTTTAAAAAGGCATATTAACAAGCAATGTTCACTACTGTCCTTTGAAGTAGGTATTATTTTATTTCTATTTTATGGATGGGGAAATTGGGGCAACAGAGATGCTAGGTAACTTGCCCAAGGTCACTGCTAGTAAATAACAAAACCAGAATTCGAACCCAACACTAAAACTCAAGAATCTACATTCTTGCCCCCTAAACTATACTGCCTCTCTAAAATAGGGATAGAAGTGTTTATTCAATTTTTTTATTCAGATCTTTGAAAACTGAAATGATGCAGGTAAAATATATTGACCATTCAGGACAACCCTTCTTGATTTCGATCCAGGGAATGTGCAAGGAAAATTGGTAGGTCTACTTTCTGGTCCTAGGTATATTCTCTCTCCACCAAGGTCAAATGATTTGTTTACTATGAGTCTGTTAACCTTTTAACCCCAAAGATAGAGCGTAAAAAAGAGAAACTGAAAGGCTGATTCCATCTTAGCAGCAAAAAAAGATGGGCAAGATATCTTCACAACGCAGGGGCCAGCAGAGCTTTCTTACATGCTGTTTTTACAGATAACAGGCCTTGGTACAGTTCGAAGAAAGAAGGGAAGATTTTAAAAAATGATCTAAGCTGGACATGGTGGCTCACACTTGTAATCTCAGCACTTTTGGGAGGCTGAGGTGGGTGGATCACCTGAGTCTGAGAGTTCAAGACTAGTCTGACCAACATGGAGAAACCCCATCTCTACTGAAAATACAAAATTAGCCAGGCATGGTGGCACATGCCTGTAATCCCAGTTACCCAGAAGGCTGAGGCAGGAGAATCGCTTGAACCCGGGAGGTGGAGGTTGTGGTGAGCGGAGATCGTGCCATCGTACTCCAGCCTGGGCAACAAGAGCGAAACTCCGTGTCAAAAAAAAAAAAAAAAGATCTACTCTCAGCGTCAAAAAGAAAAAAAAGAAAGAACTTTGTTTGGGCTGATCTGATCTGTTGTTTTTCAATGCTATCATGGTTCTGAGAAGAAGACATGGACCTCTCACACCTAACTGGAAGACCAGCAGAGGAAAATTACCAGGTAAATGTCCAATGGCACGTTAGGGGTGAAGAAACCAGTCAGATAATGAGCATCAGGCTAAAAAGACACAGGACTGAAATCCTATTTTAATGCCTGGTTCTCTTCTGAAGGCAGCTATTTGCATATTATTTATTTTTAATCTTATAGCTGACAGATTGATTCATAATTAAAACTGTGTCATATGTTTGCCCACCAACTCCCCTCTAAAACAGACTTAGGTAGGGTTTTAGGTGCCAGATTGAATCAAATCCTTTTTAAATGTCTTCAAAATATAGAAATGGTCTGAGCTTGAAAATCTTACTGTGCATGAGCTTTTTGAAAGCTGAAGAGAGCTCCTATCAATTGAGTTATTATGGGAATTGTGGGAACTCCCATAATAACTCATTTTTAAATGACAAAGATGACATTTCCTAGCGGAGACAATCTTGGGCAATGCCAAAAAAGAACGGAACCTCCAACACATTCCTCTGAAGTGTCTTTAAAGTGGTCTTGAACTTGGAAAAGTATAATTGAGACCTACTATTGTGGCTAAATGTTGTTCTAAAGTAGTGGTTTTCAAACTTTTTAAAGTAGCAGCAGAGCCATTTTCCAAACAAAAGATTATATTATAAGCCCAGGAGAATAAAATATTAATAGTAACCAATGTTGTTTAGCACTTTCTATGGATCAGGCCCTGTGCAAGCAGTTTGCACGTATCTCATTTAATTCTCGCAGCAACCTTATGAGGGAGGTACTACTACCAAATCCCATGACTCAGTGTTCCGTAAGTTGTACTGTCTGAAATGTGGATACGTGGTATACTGGAACCAGAAGCTCTCTCTCTTCCCTCACCCAGCCCCCAAAGAGCAGTTATTAAATTAATTACGTATCCTACAATCAATGAGGGTACTGATTGGAACTGAGGGTATACAATGTTATCTCCATTTTACAGACAAAGAAAGAGGGGCTTCATAGGATAATAAGCATAGGTTACTAAGAGGCCAATTTATAATCTGAACTCTGTCTGATTCCAGAGCCCATGGCTTAGACTACTAAGTTACCCAGCTGCTCTGGCTGAAATGTGGGTGGAGGGCATCTCTCTCAGGTTCACACACACACACTTGGGAAGGCCCCCAGAGGCTTCGCCACAGAACACAGAGGTAAATGACGCAAAGATCAGAAGTCACCGTTCCAGAAAACGCAAATTTGGAGAGCATTAGAGTTACATGCGAAAGTAACCAAATGCAGTCTACATACTAGTGTATTCCACTAAAACTGAACTTTCAATTTTTAAAATGGGGGGACAAGATGAATTACAAAGGGGTATAAGGAAACTTTTGAGGGTGATGAATACAATAAATATTTTGTTTTTATCGCTCAAGAATGAAATTTGGATAATCTTATCCAAAATAATAATAAAATTCATTATTTTGATTGTTTTGCTGTTTCACAGTTATATACATGTTTTAAAATGCATCAGATTATAGTACACCAATTATACCTCAATAAAACTGTAAAAAAAATGTTTTTTAGAAAGTTCTTATGCCAAAAGACTAAAAAAGGAAAAAAGAACTCCAGATGAATGGAACAGGATTACTAATGCACACGTTCTTAAAAATCCAAGCTTATATAAGGAAAAAATGGTAATATAAAAAATTCCACAGTCATAAAATGATCTACATTTTATTCAGTGATCATTCACGCGCACGTATGTAATATAAACAAATAACTCGTGTGTAAAATAAGAAAGAACGGCAACAAGAAACTAAAATCCTAGGGCAGAAAACTACCAGAATGTCACCCCCAACTACTCAAGGAAGGGAGGAGGGATGGAGGAAATCCACAGACATTTTAAGGCAGGCCCATCCCAATCCACCATCATATCAGGAAATGCAGACCAAAAAACTGGTCTGTCAGTTCCCCACTAAAGTCAAACAGAGGCAAATATCATGACCTAGTAATTCTTGGGAAATGCTCACCAGAAGTAAGTGCTCACAGCCACCAAAGGCTTTGTACAACAGGGTTTCCTAACAGATTGATCCATTACGGAAACAATCCAAATGTCTACCAACAAGGAGAATGGATAAACAAACTATAGTTCTATTCATACACCAGAAACATGATACAGTGATTAAAAAAAGAACAAATTATTGATAGGTACAGCAACGTGGAGGAACCTCACAAGCCATTTAAGCGAAAAAAAAAAAAAAAAGCTAAGCCCCAAAGAGCACATCCTCTGTGATTCCATTTATATGACATTCAAGAACAGGCAAGACTAAACTATGGTATCAGAGGTCAGCATAGTGGTTACCCTTTGGGTGAAGGATGATGATGGGAAGGGAACATGAGGGAGCCTTCAGGGGCTGAGAAAGTTCTGTACCTTGATCTACATTGGGGTTACCTAGTTGTCTATCTGTATAAAAATTTTATTGAGCTATATACTTAAAATTACTACATTTTTATGTGCTTTACTAGATACATTTTATACCTAAATTAAGCAAAAAAAAAATACCGTTAGGACTTAATATCTCATTTATAGTAGCTAAAGAGGAAATAAAGAGCTCATAACAAGAAAATAAAATATGTATGTGTGTGGAGGCTGGAAGGTGTTTCTGGAAATTCACAAATGCAAATAATACAAACAAGGACAAGATCACTGAGGACTAAGAAGGTAATAAAGTGACAAAAAGGCCAAAGAAAAGAGAGGGCACATGAATAAGGAGAACATCCCCATCTTCTGAAAGGGGCCTATTTCAGTCCTTCACTCTGATCAAAAATAGACTGAATTCCCACCGACCCTACTCTATTATATAACCTATGGAAGATGCTTATCCACTCATAGCATTTATTTCTCTCAATATAAATAACATCTCCCAAAGAGTCCTAGATTTTGAATTTGCATGTTAGAAAGCCAAATTCTGCCTGGTAGGAAGTTACAATTTCTAGGTCTCCAGGAGAAGAGCTCATTGGTTCTTCCTCTGCAGGGGTAGCAATCTGGAGAAGTCTCACAGATACAACTACCTTGGTGACAGGAGAGTCTCTGACCTAGGTTAGCCATGAAACCGTCTACACTGGGGTAGGAGGGGGAGCTGCCTTGGGATTTTCATTGCAGCTGCTGAAACCTATTAGTGCTTCCACAAGTGAGAATTATTTTGACCCTTCCAATTATCCTCTTCCCCCAAACAGGAAGAATGGTTTCAGTTTTTCAAAACTGGAAGAACCCCAAAAAAACAGGTTATCCAGGGCTCAAAAACTCCAAATAAGGTTGATTGCATTATCTTCTTCAAGCTGCAAGTTCGAATCAAAACTTGTCACCAATATTTTAAAGAGATGTCCCCTTTTCCTTCTCTGTTAGTTTCATGTTATTTTAATCATCTTTGGTTAATTAATACTCACAGTACAGCTGTTACGAAGAGCATCAAATTTGCGCTGGATTTCATCTCTATGTGCCTAAAAGGTAAGAAGTTGATTATAAATTTTTCATAGGGTAGAATACAATTCTACATGCTATGGGTCAAATATAGAGAATAGCAATTTGCCTGGAAAGCTGAGAATGCGGCACTAGCATCTGTTTTTCAAAGAACGAATTAATCAAATCATCCCCAACACCAGAAATAAGTTACAGGAATACACAATGCTGTGTTAATAACAATTAACTCTTTAGACCACACATGCACACCCTGTACAAATATTTTTAACATTTATATTAACATCTAGAGACTATTAGGAGAAAAGGGGGAAAAAAAGCAATAAAGGATGAAGTTTTACTCTCCTTCATTTGTCCTATTCCCATTCTGAAAAGATGAGTAATTTTCCCTCTTCCCTCCAACTAACTCCTCCCCAGCCCACTCCCTGACCCACACATACACACAGAAACGCACACACAGGACAACAGCCAGGACAAAGGGACTTTGTGTGTGTGTTGTTTTTTCATTAAAAGCTGCTGACATTCAGAAAACTCTACATCGGCCTTGAAATAAATATATATAGGCTTTCTCCAGGACAAAGCTGCCTTAAACCAGCAGCATTTGTTCAGTTGACAAGGATTATTTTTTAGCGCATACTATATGCTTGACACCGTGGAAGGATATAGGCACCCATGACCTGTGCCTTCATTCTGGTGAGGGAAGATCAGAAATGAATAAGTGCGTGATTACAGATTGGGACAAACGCTATAAAGAAAACAAATAGGGACCAGTTTAAAAAAAAAAAGAAAAAAGAATAAGAAAGGTAGGTAGAAACTTACTTAGATGGGGTGGTCAAGGAGGGCTTCTCTGAGGAGGTGGCATGTAAGCTGAAACCTATAGGATGATGAGGAGCCAGCCATGCAATGGACAGGAGACGGCAGAAGGAGCAGCATTTGCAAAGACCCTGAGGCAGGAAAGGGTCTGGTGCATTTGATGAACAACCACCACCAAAAAAACTGAGTGGCTACAGCAGAGTTTTTCAAATTGCAAGCTGTAATCCAACAGCAAGCATGACAAGTCGGGATTTTTGGTTCGTTGTATCCAATGAAGTAGAATAAAAAAGATAGAATTGAAAACATCAGAATGTGCCTTGAGTAGTAAACATGAGCTCTGTTATAGGAAACTTCTGCTTTAGATACTATAACTCATCAAATTTAAGGTACTTTCCATTGTAAAACCTATGACTATTTTATGTAACATTAAGGAAGAAAAAGTGCTATCAAACTATGACATGTTTATGTCTGTATATGACTGTAATATGCACCATGATTTCAGATACCTTAGAATCAGTGAAATACAGTAAATATACTCCCTTCTATTGGATTGCAAATAAAATGTATTCTGTGGGCTGTGGTCAACTTTTGAAAAAGCACAGCAATGAAGAAAAAAAAGTAGCCCAAGATGATGATAGGGACCAAAGCAGAGACCAAGAATCTTGAAGGTCCAGTAAAGAATTTAGGTTTCATTCAAAATTCAATTAATTGAAAACTAATGGAAAATTTCAAGAAAGAAAGTGACGGATTTTACTGTTGTTTTAAGATCACTGTCGATGCTATAGGGAGAAGAGGATCAAAATGGAACAAAGGTAGAATATAGCAGGGAAACCACTGAAGGTATTGTTACTGCCATTCAAGTGAGAGATGATGGTGGCTTGGAGAAGGATGGTGGCAATAAAACAAAAACAAAAACAGAAAACGTGGATGAAACTGAGACCTCTTTGAAAACATAAGGAAAAGGACTTACTGATAGATGTGTGGCCCAGAGGAAAGAGGAGTCAACAATGCCCTAATAGACTTTTCACTTGTTAGACAAAGTGGATATGGTCCCATTTGCTTACATATGAAAACCCAAATAAGAACCCAGAACCCAGTTTAGGGCAAATGCAAGAGTGCTGCTTCTATTTAATTAAAAAAAAAAAAAAGTCTCCATAAGAAGGTCTATAAAAGGCCGGGCACAGTGGCTCACGCCTGTAATCCCAGCACTTTGGGAAGCTGAGGTGGGCAGATCACGAGGTGAGGAGATCAAGACCATCCTGGCTAAAAGGATGGTCCCCACTAAAAAATACAAAAAATTAGCCAGGCATGGTGGTGGGCGCCTGTAGTCCCAGCTACTGAGGAGGCTGAGGCAGGAGAATGGTGTGAACCCAGAAGGCAGAGCTTACAGTGAGCCGAGATCACGCCACTGCACTCCAGCCTGGGTGACAGGGAGAAACTCCGTCTCAAAAAAAAAAAGCCTATAAGATAACTAAGTCAAATATTTTAGAGTTGTGATGTTTTCTCTAACATGTCTATTTTTCTATAAATACTATTGTAAGTTTATAACGGCAGATTAGATACTTTAGAAGAAAAGATTAGTGAACTTGAAGGCAAATAGAAACAAAGAAGTAGAAGACAAGAAGTAGAAACCAAAATGAAACACAATGAGAAAAGAAAAAGGCATGTTCAAAAAATGCAGAGCATCAGGGAGTTGTAAGACAACTTCAAGTAGCCTAACATACATGTAATTAGAGTCCCAGAAAGAGTATAGGAGACAGAAAAAATATTTGAAGAAATAATGGCCACAAATTTTCCAAAGTTGACAAAAGCCATAAATCCACAGATGCAAAATATTCAACAAGTCCCAAGCATGAGAAATGTGAAGAAAATTAACCTAAAGCACACTATAATGAAACTGTTTAAATCCAAAAACAAAAAGAAAACATTAAAAAAAAAAAAAAAAAAAAAAAAAACACAGCCAGAGAAAAATACACGTCACATTAAGAGAAACAAAAATAAGAAAGATTTCTCACCAAGATGGGGAGAAGGAGTGGGCGTGAAAAGCTAGAACACAGTAAAGCAATATCTTCAAAGTGCTGAAATAAAAAAAACCTGTCCACACAGAATTCTATACCCAGCAAAAATATCTCTTAAAAAATGAAGGTAATATAAAAACTTTTTCAAACATACAAAAGTTGAAGGAATTTGACACCAGCAGACCTGTGCTATAAGAAATGTTAAAGGAAGTCCTTCTGGCAGATGGAAAATGGCAACCAGAAATTTGGATCTACACAAACGAATGAAGAGCCCTGGAGAGACGGTAAAATAAAACAAACCAAAAATAGATTAGTTGCTCAGAATAGCCAGAAGAGAATTATAATGTTCCCAATACAAAGAAAAGATAAATGTTTGAGGTGAGGGATATCCCAATTACCCTGATTTGATCACTACACATTGTAGGCATGTATCGAAATATCATATGTATCTCAAAAATATGTACAACTGTGATATATCAATTAAAAAATATAAAAAATACCAAAAAATAGATAGTTGCATAGATAGAATCACAGACAGATTTATAAATAAAAAGTTATTATTTAGAATTGACTTCCTAAATAACTAGCCTATATTCTACGGACTAATTTAACAGATCTTAATTGTTTTTCTAAAACTCTATCTGCTTTTTGCCCAGCAATAATGAGAGATTTATTATTTTGTTAAGATAAGAATACTACTTATCCAAAGTAAGACTACGGCTATCTGCACTATGTCAAAATCTCATCTGTGACCAAGCAGCAGCCTAGATCCAAGGACCACACAACCCCCTTTAGTGCATTCCATGATCGCCAAAAACCAAAGGCAAGGATTTGTCCTAGAGGAAGAATAAGGCCCTTATGTTAATAGACTCTTGGTCAGGAATCAGCACATTTTTTCCTTAAAATGCCAGATAAGGAAATTTCCTTAAAATTTCCAGAGCATTCAGTCTTGGTTAGAATTACTTAACTCTATCTTTCTAGAGCAAAAGCAGCCACAAACGATAGGTAAACAAATGGGCATGTTTGTTTCTAATGTGTTCTAATAAAACTTCATTTACAGAAAACAGGTGACAGACTAAAATTTGGCCTGTAATTTGCCAGTCTCTGCTCTAAATGACCATTTGGTGTGAAATCTCTCAAAGACAGAAACAGGAAGCTGAGAGTGGAGTTAGCTCCTTCAAAGCATAAGTAGTGACCATAAAAAAGCTCACTGGCTTATACATAGGGACAGAAGCCCTATTGCACTTTCTTAATAATAGCAAAATTTCAAATGACACAGCACCATTAAAAACTCATTTAACTCCCCTACTGGAGTCTGAAATTTTAGTCATTAATACTGATCCATTTTCATTAAAATTAACCATTATGGGGCCTTTGGATCATGTCAAGCAATCCTCTCCAAGGGTTAATATAATGAACTATAGTCATTATGGCTTTTGATTTATTACTGTTTATGAAATATAAATACAAAATGTAGAACTGACCCTGTTGTGGATGCCAGACATACAGTAAGCACTTAACTACTGAACTAGTCACAGTAATAAAATGGTAAGTCATATGCTCTATGTTTTTTTGAAATAAGTTGTAAAACAAATACACAAAAAAGCAAAAGATCATGCAATAGAATATATACATAAAGACAGCAAAACATATAAGACAAGCTTTGGATGCTCTCAATGAAATGTATGAGTGTTAATTAGATATCAGGTGCTACAGGGAATAAATACCTACACTCCTAAAAATTTCTGAGGATCCCAAAGAGCTCTTGTTTACATAGTATTCACCTACACTTGCAACATTAGAAATTAAGACTGAGATGGCCAGGCACAGTGGCTCACACCTATAATCCCAGCACTTTGGGAGGCTGAAGCAGGTGGATCACGAGATCAGGAGTTCGAGACTAGCCTGACCAACATGGTGAAACCCCATCTCTACTAAAAATTAAAAAATTAGCTTGGAACGGTGGCGCACGCCTGTAATCCCAGCTACTCAGGAGGCTGAGGCAGAAAAATTGCTTGAACCCAGGAGGTGGAGGTTTCAGTGAGCCAAGATCACGCCATTGCACTCCAGCTTGGGCGGCAGAGGGAGACTCCATCTCAGAAAAAAAAAAAATTAAGACTAAGATATTTTTCAAATATTTATTTTTTATTTCTCTTAAAATAACACTAACATTGCTTTTGCACCATCAGTGCAAATATTAACACAGTGAAAAGTATCAAATGACATCTTAGTATTGTTAAGAAAACAGTCTGACAGCCAGGCTTAATGGCTCATGTCTGTAAATCCCAGCACTTTAAGAGACCAAGGCAGGCAAATTGCTTGAGCCCGGGAGTTCAAGACCAGCTTTGGAAACACGGTGAAACCTCTTCTTCACAAAAATATACAAAAGTTAACCAGGCATGTGGCATGCACCTATACTCCCAGCTACTTGGGAGGCTGAGGTGGGAGTATCACTCTTGAGCCTGGGAGTCAAGGCTGCAGTGCGCTGACATTGCACCACTGCACTCCAGCCTGGGTGACAGAGTAAGACCCTGTCTCAAAAAAAAAAAGGGGAAAAAAACCATCTGATCTTGGGAAACCCAGGAGTCTACAGACCCACTTTAGGAACCACTAACCTAGGAGTTGGGTGGCAAAAATGTGGACTGACAGGCTGCAGCCAGTCTGGCCCTAAGACCAGAGAGATACTTTCTTTTGGAAGTATTTATGCCTTAATTTTAAGGAAAGTTACAAGAAGAAGAAAGAAGAGTAAATTACAATGTAGCCTTGAGGGAGGAAATATCTGCAGAACTGAAGAAAGGAAACAAGCGTGTAGACGTCTGACCACCTTCTGGGATCCATGGTCAGGATTCTAGAACGCTTCGGCTTCTGTGCACCTACCCCCTTTCCAGGTGAAGACAGGCACCAGGCAAGAATGTCACCTTACATGCCCCGATTTCACATCTTGGCTATCATGTCGACGGCTTACTAATTAATTAAACAGAGGGCTTGATATTTATGTACGAGAATGAGAACGTGCACTGACTCATGATTTTAACAAATCAAAGAGGATGACTTTGGGATCCCATCATCACGCTATGCAGGGAGAAGGATTCCTTTCATCAGTGTCTCGAGCTTTCAACTCTTGATTATTCAACATTAGTCACTTGACAGAATCAGTAAAAACACAGAGAAGCGAAAACACAAAACGTGTTCGTGAGGCCTGGCTGGTGTATACAGAGCACACAGCATGCCTCTTGCCTAGTGGTCCTCTTCAGAGTGATGCTTCTACCGCATCACACATCGTGTGCGATAAGGTGTGCAGACTCAAATTCTCTCCCTTGAGATGGAGTCTTAAATATCAAGTTCAGGTGGAAATGTCTCTTTTCCAGCAATAAGTACTGAAGTATCTTAAAAGCATGTTTGTGTTTAAATTTGATAGGATGGGTAAAGTGAAAGTGGAGAAAAGGCAAGCATTAGAAAGGGCAACAAAGGCCTCCCAGCTGCACCGCCAAGGCCCTTCAATGGAGAGCTTTAATTTAACTGTGCTCCATCTAATTCGGCCCAGGGATGGAGGCCAAACAAGGTAACTGCTCCCTTTCACAGCCTAGGAGATGGCTGCCTCTTAAAATTAAACAATAATAGCACATTTGACTATTCCCTTTTATTGATAAAACAGTCTGCTGTGAAACTCACAAATCTCCTAGGAGATCATTTGGGATCCAGCTGATTTCATCTGACTGATGCTTGTGCATGGTCTCAACTTGGGTCTCAAACAATGAGAAAGCTGAAAAGTATGGTATTTGGGGACCATTTTCTCTTTTTCTTGGAAAAGACGTTTTTCAGAACAAATTCAACTAACCCATTCAGGCAACAAACACATGGTGTCAATAACCAGGTTTATGGAACATAATCAATGGAAGGCGGAAGGAAAAGCCCACAGCCTTGAAACTGAACGGAAGCAAACGGAAATGGCGTTTGGATTTCCGTATGATGGGTTTGCAAACAGCTGTTGGAGGAAGGCACTTCTGCCATCATTTGAAGAAGCCCTGTTTTTTCCACAGCATCTTCATCTGCAAGAGCAATAGAGCCCTAGTTTCTAAACCAAGAGAGGTTTGTTTCTTTTTTTTTTTTTTAAGAAGATGCTTTGAGGCAGTGATCTCATCTAACTAAATTAAGTCGTGACTTGCTGCTGTGCTCAGCTTCCAGCAGCCATCAGACACAGCACATTCCAACCAGCAGCAAGAAAGGATTTAAAGGACTAATTTCCCCATAGATAAAGAGCAGTGACACGTGCTCTATTTTATGCCCTCTTCCTTCCAAACAGGGCCAGGATAAGATACACAGTCACCCCTCCTTCCCAATTCCAACAGAGCAGCAAGATAAATGTGTCCTTCTCAGCTGCTCAGAAATAAACAGATTTGAGGAATTACAGACCAATCCCCTGGGGAGAAAAGGCTAAAGACACAGCATTGGGCCCATAGCAAGGGCTTAATAAATATGGATTAAATTACTGATGGCTCTTTTTCTTTCAGAGGTTGGGTATTCATACAGGAGAAAAATATTAATATACAATGCGTTAAATATAATAGTGGTTGAAATTTACGTGCCTCCCTTTAAAAGCTAAGAAATGTTATCTGTCTCTCTCTCTCTCCACCCACCCAACTCCAGCAAGTCTATAGGCCTTGTTGGCATGAACTCTTATAGATCAACTTCATTCCTAGCTCCATTTTTTCTTCTACAGACTTATTTTTTCTTTGCCTTTTGTTTCTTATTTTGTTCTGTTTTACTGTGTTGCATCTTTTCAAACGGTTTTCAGTCCACTGTGAAACAAGACAGTATACACAAAGACACACTGTGGTTATTTTTTGCCAAAGCAAATATTGGGGGCATGATGTGGCATCATTTAACAAGTGTTCTCATAGAGACTATGGAACCTAAATGTGCAGTCAATATCTGAACTTGGTGTAAGTCCTAGAAAATCTAGGATGCACAAACATACTGGAAGCCACTATACTTGGACTGGTCCTATACAGACCCTGGCATTGTCAGATCACATTCCCAGTTTGGTTCAGATACTGGGATCCCCAAACGCAACAACAGGCAATAACTTCTAAGAATGAAACTATGATTGATAGATAGATAGATAGATAGATAGATAGATAGATAGATAGATAGATAGACAGATAGATAGATAGAGATGTACATGTGCATGACATCTAGGTAAATTGTAAGCAATGAATGTACGCAGCCATTCATTCTATAGAAGCAACCCCAATCAGAGAGGTTTAGAGATGTTCACTGATGGAAATGGGGACAGCATCCAAGTTGAGTCAGAATGAATAAGGTACCTATTTAGAAGGCTTATTAAAAAAACACTAAACCCAATCAGCTGTATTGTGCCTGGTCCACAGGAGAGGGCACCCTGACCAGCAGGCAGGTGTGTGCCTGTCTGCTTGGCAGGTACAGTATGATACTATGAGAAATGTATGAGCTTGATTGACACCAGCCATTAAAACTCATTTGGCCTTCTATGCTCACAGTCTAGGTCCTCCAGAAGGCCTTCCAAGACTAACAGGGTTTTCTAAGTACACTTCCCTGAATGGGAAAAAGAAAATGTGAACATTGGCCACCCAGAGTACCCTAGTCAACTTGGCAGCTGCACTTCCCCCTTAAAGTTGATAAGTTGGCATTTCACATGCCAGATTTTTGTGAGTTTTTGTTATTCTGGGTCAGTCTCTGTGGGAATGATCAAATGTGGGGAAAATGGCCCCACAAAAATTCCATTTCAGACTTCTAAAAAGAACTAAGATTTAAATCCAGTAACACCCCCGCTCCAAGTTCTACCTCCTGAGAATACTCTCCAGCTGAGTAAACTAGTCTCTCAGAAAGAGCAAGGAAGCCAGGTCCCCTTTAGAGAAAGAATCATTCAGTAGAATTTTTCCCATCCAGATCATACCAGATGCATACAAAAGACAGGAAGCAGAACCTACAGCTTGAAAAAACAAAAAAAAGAAGTAACACAAGTGAGGTAAACCAAAACAAAAAATAAAAATATGGTAGAAAGACTACTGTAAGATATAAGATTATTATTATTATTTTAAATGATTATTGAAAACTAAAGTAGAAGACCAAGGTAAACAGACTTTGGCTGAAAACAAACTTTAAAATACAATGATGATATTTTTTTTTTTTTAAAGAAGGAAAATACATAACTAAAGGAGGAACTTTTCAAGATACTAACTACTAGTTCCAATGAAGAAGCAGTCTATGTAAGCCAATTTCCTGGCCATTGAATATCTTTGTGGATCATGTTTTCCCTCCTGGAATTTCTAAGGGTGAGCCAATATCCTCAGTGCCACACTCATCCTAGTTGAGGCCTTTAGTAACCTGAAGATGTTGCTCCTTAGACCTACCGTGAGCGCCTGGATCTCCTCTTCAGCTTCTGCCGTGGTCTCTTCCAGCTCTGTCTTTGCCTGGCGAAGCTGGCTTTCCAGGGCCGCCCGGGCAGCCTGCAGGGCTGTCAACTGTGACTCACGCTCCTGCAGGGAGAGCTGTAGCTCTGTGAGCTGGCGCTTGAGCTCCAGTTTCTGCTCCTCGTGCTCTAGACTGACCTGAGAGAGAGAGAGAGATAAACCCTTGGTTGGTCTGAACAAAAGAGAAAGTGAAGACATGACCTGCTACTCAACCTGCAGCTGAAACCTGGTCTTGGAATCACCTTCTCAGCACTCCATAGAGGAGAGGAAAATGTAACAAAATGGGCCTGACTTCCATGCATCTCCGAATTCAACAGGAGTAAGAACAGGTAAGGGCTATATCTCCTAACCACCCCTTACTTACATATATTCAAATGCCTGGGAAGACTTTAAAAGGAAAAGCCACACAGCAAGAATCACGAATGAAAATGATGACGATTACTCTTATTAGAAAAACATTTAAAGCGAAGCAGATATAAAAAACATCATATTAGTAACAAGGACATCTTTTCAATTTTATTGTAAATGGAATAACAGAATGAATTCTAGTTATTTTAAACACGCTTTCTCTGATGTGTCCTCATTAGGTAATCTGCTTTAATGTCACATTAGAAGTTAATCATTCTTCCCTCCATCTGCTCATCCATCCACCTATCTATTCAATCTTTCATCCATTCATTTAACAAAAATTTACTCAGCAATTTCTCTGGAAAATGGAATATGGAGATGAAAACAGTCTCTGCCTTCAAGTGGGGAGAAAAATGAAAAGCAACCATGACCATATATCATGGTCAAGTGCAACGGTCAGGACATGCAGGGATGTTGCAGGAATACAGCACGCGGGCAGAGGAGCTAACTCTGGACCTGTTAAATTCTGTTGAAGAATATGCAGGAGTCAAACAAGCAGGTAAGAGGAGAAAGAAAATTCCAGGCAGGGGAAGCAAGACATCCAAAGGTATGGGGGTGAGGGAGATCACGGCACATCTATAGACCTGACAAACACGGACAGTGTGGTCCTAAAGATGAAAGTCAAGCAACTCAGAGATGCTGGCTGCCCTCAGAGAGCTCACTGTCTAACGGGACTGCCAAGAAGAACACACTGTGATGAGCTGTGCCCTGAAAGCCATGGGGATAAAAAGGAGACCTCCTTTTCATCAGCTTCAGAGGGTTGGAGAAGGCTCCCTAGAAAAGGTGGCACCCACATCCCACAGCCCATGGGGTGAAGAGAAGAAACACTTGCAAAACATGTAACCTGGAAAACCAACAGGATTTAGTGGTTAATTTGATGTGGGGTAGAGAACAAAGGACATAAGGGAGTCAAAGATGACTCCCGGCCGGGTGCAATGGCTCACACCTGTAATCCCAGCACTTTGGGACGCCGAGGCGGGCAGATCACGAGGTCAGGAGTTTGAGACCAGTCTGGCCAGCAGGGTGAAACCCCATCTCTACTAAAAATAACAAAAAATTAGCTGAACATGGTGGCGCACACCTGTAGTCCCAGCTACTTGGGAGGCTGAGGCAGGAGAATCACTTGAACCTGGCAGGCAGAGGTTGCAGTGAGCTGAGACTGCACCATTGTACTCTAGCCTGGGTGACAGAGCGAGACTCTATCTCAAAAAAAAAAGAAAAAAAAGATGACTCCCACATTTCTGGACAGGCGAATTACACAAAGAGTGAGACCATTGCTATGATGGAATAGGAGAGAAAGAGCCAGTTTGAGGCAAAAGATAAGAAATTTTGTCTTGACATGTTGAAATTGAGCCCCGTGGGAGACATCCAAATGGAGATGTCTAATGTCTACTAAGACAACAGGTCAGAAACTCAAAAGAAAGGTCTGGATTGGGGACCTAGATCCGGGAAGCCTTAACAAATCAGTGACAGCTGACGCCACGGCTATTATCTCTCTCTAGTGATGATGGTGATGATGACGACGTGACAGCAACAAATACGGTCCTCACAACACACTGGGCCCTGAATTAACTTATTTCAGTTTCAGAACAACTCCCTGAAGGAGGTACTACATTACCTCCATTTTACAGATAAGCAAACTGTGGCACTGAGAGATTAGGTAACTGAGCAAATGTCACACAGCTGTAAAAAGCTATAAAAAAGGCAAGACTGACATTCAAACTCAGAAAGTCTGGCTCAAGAGTCCATGTAACATGTTGCTACATTCCTGCAACATCCCTACGTGGCCTGACCATTGCACTTGACCATGTACAGGGTAAACACTGTACCCTTCTGTCTTACTAAAACACCAGCAGTCACAGCAGGGTGGGCCTCTACTAGCAAGCCTGAAAATTCTTCTGACACCACTTGGCAAAACCAAGAGAGGCAGGTGACAGTGACTCAATAGAAAGAGTGGGAGCCGGATGCTATACAATGAAGGAAGAACCCGGGAGCCTGCATCTCTGCAACTCCACACACCTGGCTAGAGAAGAACTCATGCTGCACACACAAAGTTGGGGGAAGGCCTAGGGTCCTTTAAGGCGGATCAAACTCCAGGTGGAGGCCTCTGCCCTCAATCTCAGTAGCAGCATGTGGCCAAAAGAAGAGGGACTGATCTCGTTATATTTAGAGCTAAACTCCAAAACTCCCAGGGAGAATATAGAGCCTGAACCTCTCGTGAAACGTTTGAAGTTTCTCCTACCATCCTTGAGGGGCTGGCTCTACTGATTCAAGTGAAAAACAACAGCTTCCCTGGGACACTTTAATAGCCCAGATGAGCTACAGCAGCAGAGCAGGCTCCTAAGAGGAACATTCATGCAAAGGGAAGGCAAGAGACAGCCAGTCAAGGCCCCCAAGCTAGAGAAGTCCATCTGGATTGTTTAGACTCACAACCTTAAGGGCAACTCTCCCGTGATCTTGCTGTTAAACTTACAGAAGAGTAAAAGTATAGCCTGGATAATAAAAGTTGAACCGTCGCCTAAGGCTTCAGGCTCATGCCTGTAATCCCAGCACTTTGGAGGCCAAGGAGGGAGGACTGCTTAAAGTCAGGCGTCCTCCTTCTGAGATATCCTGACCTAAGAAATAATAAAAGAAAAGTAAATAAATAAATAAATAAATAAATAAATAAATAAAAGTCAGGAGCCCAAGACCAGCCTGGGCAACATAGCAAGACCCCATCACTACAAAAAATGAAAAATAAAACCAGACACTCCAGCTGACCCTAATAGAGGAGTCCACACCTTGACAACCCCTAAAAAACATGAGATAACACATTTTTACTGTCCCTTGGAGAAATGACTTCATTTTAATACTCCAAGACAAATAAAGACATGCATAAACATGAGTATTACCCAAGGCTTAGACCTCAGACCACTGTCTGCTTAACACGACCTTCCTTAAGAAAGATCATCTGCTTTTTGAAGAACTCCATCACAAATATTTGAGCAACTATTTTACATGAGACACTCTGTCTTCCCTCCCAGCCTGGGTGTCCAGCTTCCAACAACCACTCTCCTGAACTCCAGCTGTGTCTCTCCTGGTGCCAGCAAACCCTGCCACTAGGTTGAAAGCCCTCATGTCAGGAACAGGTCTGTCTTGTCACCACTGTAGACCCAGGCTACAAATCAGCACACAGCAGGCATTTGACAAATACACAGTGACTACATAAATGTAACCTTATGGCTTCCATCAACCTCAACATGTCTACAACCCAGTTTGTTATATTTTCCTTCCCAGAACCTGGTCACTCTTCCCAGCTTCCTGGTTCTTTTGAAGAGAGCTACCTTTCATCAATCACACCTGAATTTGGTTTTGTCTTTTAATCTCCCACTGTCACTTGAGACAGACCTCTGCCACCAGCACTGGGCCACCACGGCTAAGCTCTGACTAGGTCACGGGGCTGTCATTACGTCTTGATAAAGGAGGAATTGCCCTGTTCCCATTTGACAGAGGCACAAATTGACACACTCCCCACTGGACCCTATAAAGGAGATACATTATCACTGACATTTTACAGATGAGGAAACTGAAGCCCAGCAGAGATGAGGCAGCTTGCAGAACTAGTAAGAGGTCACAAAACCAGTAAGAAGTTGAGGTAGAATTCTAACCCAGATCCCCATGGCCCAGTCTGTTACCAGAAGGAGGGCCTGGGGTCTAATTTGTCTATTTTGAACAAAGAATTGGACAAAATGCACAAAGCAACAAAGGAACGAAACACAGGCATGAAGCAGCGAAAACAGGTATCTATGAAAGCAAGAAAGCACTCAGCAGGGTGGGAGCGGCCCCAGCAAGTGGCTCAGGACCCAGTTACAAAGTTTTCTGGGTTTTAAGTACTCCTTTTGGGGTTCCTACTGGTTACTCCTTATCTGAATAAAGGATTTGGTCTGTGGCTAATTAAAGGCTGAGGTGAACTGGCGCCCTATGCAGACGAAGGGATACTCCCTCCTTGGCCCATCCAAGGTGCTCTCCCTTTCCATCTGAGCAATGGTGGAAAGGAGAGCATTGCAGGGAGAGGAGCCTCTTCCATCTTTTGCTACTGGGGCGTGGGGAGATGGGGTGGGGGCTCGGATTTTCCTTTTGGTTCAGCTTTAGGAAGTTTGCATTAATTGGCCTTAGGTTGCCTGCCCCTAGCCCCAAGTGTTTTCCTTTTGATCCAGCTCTGCGAAGTCAGCAGGAATGGGCCTTGGGTTCCCTGCCTGCAGACCCTGGTGTCTTCTCTTTTAGAAAGCTAGCACAAATTGGCCAGGTGCAGTGGCTCACACCTGTAACTCCGACACTTTGGGAAGCTGAGGCGGGTGGATCACTTGAGATCAGGAGTTCAAGACCAACCTGGCCAACATGGCAAAACCCTGTCTCTACAAAAATTGGCTGAGTGTGGTGCCAGGAGCCTGTAGTCCCAGTTACTCGAGAAGCTGAGGCACGAGAATTACTTGAACCCGGTAGGCAGAGGCTGAAGTGAACCAAGATTGCACCACTGCACTCCAGCCTGGACAACAGAGCACGACTCTCTCTCTCACCAAAAAAAAAAAAAAAAAAAAAAAAAAGAGGTTAGCACAAGGGCCTCAGATTCCCTGCCCCTAAAGCTTGGTGTTTTTCCTTGATTCAGCATGAATTGGCCTTAGGTTCCTTGCCTCCAGACCCTTTTCCTGCCTCAAGTCTGCCCCCTTAACCACCAAGCACAATGTCTCTTGTATACATATTGATTTGTGCTTGAAAGCTGGCTTGTTCAGAGCCCGAACTGCCCAGCAAATCCTCCCAGGAGATCACCCCCGCTCTCACCTCCCGCAGTCTTGTCTCCAGTTCCAGCAGCCGATTCTTGTCACTGTGGTCTTGGTGGCTGATCTTCTCCAGCTGCTCCTCCAGCTTTCGGTTCTGGGCCTCCAATTTCCCAGCCTGGGTCTCCAGGTAAAATTTCTGTTGCCTGAGTTCAGAAATCATCTCTTCTTGAGCCTTCCTAGTGGGGGTGGTGGGAGGATCCAAACAAAATCACAGTCTCGTTAGAGTTGAGCCTGTTTCCGCGGAAGGTAGATGGACACGGAGTGAGACATGTGTCCTCACTAAGTGGACTAGGGCCTTCCTGGGTTAGCTGTCTCCTGATCTGTCCTCATAAGCACGATCCTGGCATGACGAACGTGGGGACCATTTACTCATCACCACTCAGTGTCAGTCCCTCACATATGGGATTGAGTAATGTCCAGGGGGATGCAAGAGATACTAACATTTCACTCCTTTGACAGGCCTGTTTATTTCTTCGAGTCTATGTAGGGACAGAAGGGGGCCTCCTTAGATTACTGTACAAGGGCACCGCAGTAACTCATGAAGGCAGGCCCTGGAGAAAAAGGAGCAACAAGGAGAAAGAGTGGTATTCCTTCTAGTTCTCTGTAGATCTTCCTCACCTCTCCAGCAAACTGCTTAGAAGTATCAAAAACTAGAACGACTCAAAGACCCAAAACACAGCCTACTAAGCTGGTTTAGATTAAGATGGGACTATTTTGGGAGATCCCTGAAGAGAGAAACCCAAGGGGGACAAAAAGTCCTGGAGATTGTAATTCTTCGGGGAAAAGGATTCAGATCAAAGTGCTCCTGGAACACAGTCCTTGCTGAACCGCAAACTTCCTTCCCAAGAGTCTAACCTAGTGACAACTAAATGGATGGCCCAACTGGACACACACAATTTCACCTCTTACTAATTACAGGACGCAAGTCTGGGGAACAAGAACTCAGCTTTCCACAAGCAAATTATAAATAACCTCATTAGAGAGAGCAAAACACTCTATAATGTGATGGTAATTGAAGGCATTTAAGAAAACCCGACTCAAAAGTGGCAGAGTGAGACCACTTAAGATGGGTCAAAATGACATATCCGAGGGCTGGGCTGAGCTACAGAAGTCATTCAATCCACTCCAGCTCCATCAGACAGAAGAAGGCAGTTTATGCCACAGGAGAGAAGACCAAAGTATAATAACGTAGGCAATTAGAATTTGAATACTTACATGTTCCTTTGGGTAAAAAGACTGCTATTTGCTGCAAGTTTATTGGCTTCAGATAGTTCCACAATCCTCTGTTCCAGGGATCTGATCTTGGAATCCATAGCATTGATCATCTGAAACACAGGTCACCTATGAAACCTCACACACAGTTATACCAGAACAGGAGTAATAGGGGCAGTGCAGGCCAGGGTAAAAGTTTCACCTGAAATGACGGCAATTTGGCTAGAGCTAACAAGGCTCTCAACTTGTCTGTACTCTGAGGATCACAGATGGTACCACTCAAATGGATGGTACTTGGTTGTTTTTTCAGTGATGAAATCTCCCCACACTGGTTAAGTGGCTTGCATTTAAAACAGACATAAGGACGTATTCAGGAACCTAACATCCTGTGAGTAATCAAGACTTGTTAAACCCCATCTCATCTGCATGTGACCTGGGCCTGCAAGAGTCTCTAACTCAAATCTGCACATTCGTATTTATCATCACTCCGAGGACTGTCATTTTCTGAGTGATTCCTTGTCACCCAGCCACTATTGCTCTAGACTCCACAGCAGGGGTCTCCAACCCTGGGGGCCACAGACCAGTACCCCATTATTGGTCTGCCACCTGTTATGAACCAGTCTGCACAGCATGAGGTGAGCAGCCAGTGAGTGAGCATTACTGCCTGAGCCCTACCTCCTGTGGGATCAGTGGCATTAGATTCTCCTCGGAGTGTGAGCCCCATCATGACCTGCACAAGCGAGGGATCGAGGTTACGCACTCCTAACAAGAATCGAATGCCTCGGGCCGGGCACAATGGCTTAGCCTGTAATTCCAGCACTTTGGGAGGCCAAGGCAGGCGGGTCACCTGAGGTCAGGAATTCGAGACCAGCCTGGCCAACATGGAGAAACGCTGTCTTTACCAAAAATACAAAAATTAGCCAGGTGCAGTGGCACATGCCTGTAATTCCAGCTACTCAGGAGGCTGAGGCAGGAGAGTCGCTTGAACTCAGGAGGTGGAGGTTGCAGTGAGCAGATGTCGCGCCACTGCACTCCAGCCTGTGCGACAGAGCAAGACTCCATCTCAAAAACAAACAAACAAACAAAACAAAAAAAGAATTTAATGCCTTAATGCCTGATGGTCTGAGGTGGTACAGTTTTATCTCAAAACCATCCCCCCACCCCTGTGGAAAAACTGTCTTCCACAAAACTGGTCCCTGGTGCTAAAAAGGTGGGGGACAGCTGCTCTGCAACAAAATTTCCCCAACTTAATGAATCATAAGAACTGGGGTGTGGGGGTACTGACTAAAAATTTAATATCCTAGGATCTTCCCTCAGAGATCCTGATGTGGGGTTGGGCGCAGTGGCTCACACCTGTAATCCCAGTACTTTGGGAGGCTGAGGTGGGCAGATCACTTGAGGTCAGGAGTTCAAGACTGGCCTGGTCAACATAGTGAAACCCTGTCTCTACTAGAAATACAAAAATTAGCCGGGTGCGGTGGCACACGCCTGTCATCTCAGCTACTCGGGAGGCTGAGGCAGGAGAATCACTTGAACCTGGGAGGCAGAGGTTGCAGCGAGCTGAAATCATGCCACTGAACTCTAGCCTGGGTGACTCCATCTCAAGAAAAAAAAAAAAAAAGATTCTGATATGGTAAGTCTTGGTGGGGTGCAGACAGATAAGCACCACAGGTAAACCTTAGGGGCAACAAGTTTCTGAAACAACTGCCTATGTGGATTAGAAAAGAGATAAACAGGCAAGTAAAAAGAACAGAAGTGTAGGGCAAGGAGTGGTGGCCTATAATCCCAGCACTTTGGGAGACCAAGATAGGAGGATTGCTTGAGGCCAGAAGTTTGAGACCAGCCTGGGCAACACAGCAAGATCTTGTCTCTACAGAAAACTTAAAAATTTGCTGAGCATGGGGGCACGCACCTGTAGTCCCAGCTACTTGGGAAGCTGAGGTAGAAGGATCACTTGAGCCCAGGAGTTGGAGGCTGCAGTGAGCCATGATTGCACCACCACATTGCAGCCTGGGCTTCGGAGCAAAACCCCACCTCAAAAAAAAAAAAAAAAAAAAAATGCAGGAAGACCAAGAGCCACTGGCCATTTTCTCAGGGGCATTTAGAAGGACAGTATTTTAGCAGATAGTAGAATCGCATGAGTTCTTGAAAAACACAAAACGGGCTATCCACAGCCACCACCTTGGTTGCTTTTAGGAAAGCAAACAGTTTCAAAGAAAGCATCCTATTACCAACAACTCCACAGGATTCAACAGAAGTAATTTCACCAGGTGAAAGAGAGTCTTATCAGGGGTGTGATTCTTGGCATATTTCAAAAACCCTCCTTTGAACACTGGCTTGGCAACTCCTTCTACCTACCGCCTTCTGTTCGCTGAGAATTTTGCCCTTCTCATGGGCCTCCTCCTCGTGTCTCTGCATCATGTTCTCCAGCGTCTCCTTGTCGGCCAGGTCTTTCTTTATCTGATTGTCCAACACCTACAAAAACAAAAGAAGAAGCAAATGTTCTCAGGAGCCAAGCTGAGCAGGGAAGACTAAACGGGGACATTTGAGAAAACCTAGGAAAGAGGAGAAAAGCAGGAGAGAGGCCCGAGGTCTCCAAATTCTGGGGCAAAGAGAAGGCAAAAACTGGGAGTCCGCTTATCAACCAGGATAAGATTTAAAAGTCAAATATTACCATCCAATGGCAAGTAACACATTGACTTGAACTAAGAATTTATTTTAAAATCAGCAGCCCAAAGACCAGAGAGATATACTCAAAATGAGGCAGACTCCAGAATGAGAAGGGAGGGGGAAACAAGGTTGCTCTAGATCCAGACCTAGAGAATAAATTTCTTATAATCTGCAGATATTACCTGGGGACAACTTTTTCTTCGCCAATACACCCGTAGTTTTCAGAATATTCCTCACTCCTAATTTATACAAATTAATTCTAGATACTCCTGGGCTGTGTGCAAGCGGGAGAGAAGCCGAAGACAGAGGAAGTCTATGTGACCAAGGATGATGCTCAGAAACAACCAGGGACAAGAGGACTGTGGCCACCAATAACGTAAGTGGACGGTCAACAGATTAAAAAGACAACATAAAAGAAAGAAAAAAAATGCCTCTTTCCCTGGTTCTTTCCTCTGATCCAACTAGGGGGAGAAAAGAAAAGACACTGGGAAAAGAAACCTTTCCCAGGGGAAGAGAGATCATGTGTTCTCAGGGCTCAGAATGCCACTGTAAGCACCTACTGTTCCCAAGAGGAAACATAAAACAGTAATGGTATCACCAATTGCCAACCTGATCTAAAGTTCTTTGGGGCACACACAGCTCTACGAGTTGCCAAAACAACAAGCAAAAAGGAAGGAAAAAAGAAGACAACATCATAACATGCCCGAGCCTTTGACCACAGCCCTACATTTCTCACCACAGAGGCTCCATTCTGCTTTTCCAAAGAACGCCAACGACATCAAGAAGGACAACAGGATCCTGGGAATAAAGCTGAAAGAGCTGGGGTCACAGATAGGGCTAAAATCTGCCTTTCCCACAATGTCTATTGTGAAAGGACTGTCACAGCTCATGGGGACATCGTCCCTAAAAAGAGCCAGTCAGCGGGGAGGGAGTCCACAGGAGAAAGAAAGGAAAGAGCAGATTTCAAAGAGATCTTTAAACTAGAACTGACTGATGAAAAAAAATAGAATGGAAGTTGAGAGAGAAGACCAAAAGGTGGGAACAGGGTCATGAGAGAAAAGAAGAAGCTCAAAACGATACTCTCTTGGATGTCTGAGCATGATTCTAAAATTACGAGAAAGAACAGGGTAGAATCAAGGGTATGATCATAATTATTACTAAAATGGCCTGATAGAGGCTGGAACAGGAAACACAAAGCAGAACAGGCTAAAAAGAAATGGTTTCATAAAGATTCCAGTAGGGAAGAAAGATCTTTCCCTGACATTCCTCGGGATCTATAAAACAAATTTCTTTCCATCTAGAAGTTAGCAGAGACCACATAATATCTAGACCACATATGCTCTTTATTTTTTTATGAGGTGCTAAAGCAATGAAATACATTTTCAGGATGGCTCTGCTCAAAATAAGACCTCAACTTTGGTCAAGAAGGATACCGATAAGAGGTAAGTATGAGCTAGAAGGGATAGGCTTCTATCAAGAATGTATGCATTAGGCCAGGCATGGTGGCTCATGCCTGTAACCACAGCACTTTGGGAGGCTGACACAGGTAGAGATCGCTTGGGGACAGAACTCTGAGACCAGCCTGGGCAACACAGCAAGACCACATTTCTACAAAAAGTATAAAAAATAGTAACTAGCTGGGCATGGTGTTGTGCACCTGTAATCCCAGCTACTCAGGAGGATAAGATGGGAGGATTGCTTGAGCCCAGGGGTTTGAAGTCCCACTGAGCTATGATCATGCCACCGCACTCTACCCTGGGTGATGGAGTAAGAACCTGTCTCAAAACAATAAACAGATAAATAAAGGAACATATGGATCTCTCTTAGCTTTCATAGAGTTCAACTGGCAGAAAGATGAACAAGATGTATGGGGGAGAAGGGGAGCAAAACATTTATTTGAAATAAGAGATTCCACTAAAGACATCTAAATCAATTTAAGATAGAATATGGCTTTTGATAGGAACATCAATATCATCACCAAAGCGTAGACTATGTTTTACAAAGGTTAATTTCATCATGCAAAGATGCCAGTGGACTACCGTGTACATTCTCATAATTTTCTAAAAATTGAAGTACTAGGGGTCACAGGAGAACACTTTGGGGTCATTTCTGGGTTGTTTTCCCGTATGTCTTTCCATGGCTCACTGCAGCCTCAACCTCCTGATCACAACCGATCCTCCCACCTCAGCCTCCCAAGTAGCTGGGACTACAGGTGTGTACCACCTGCCCGGCTAATTTTTGTATTTTTTGTAGACAAGATGAGAAGGGTGTCTCACTTCATTACACAGACTGGTCTCGAATTCCTGGACTCAAGTGGTCTGCCCACCCCGGCCCCTCAAAGTGCTGAAATTACAGATGTGAACCACCGTGCCTGGCCTCCTATATTTCTTTTACTGAAAAACAACCAAAAATAACACTGGGGTAAAAGATGCCAGGGTGGTGATGGTGATGATGCTGTGTAAGCATGTACATGTTAGATTCTCCGAGAAAGGACCACTCAACTCTTTGAGAATACCAACCAAATCAATAACAAGATCACCACAAAAATTGAAATCCCCCCTCAATGTCTGGTTGGAAAGGGGAAGTGACAATATTCAAGATATAATAAACAGCATCTGATTCTCAAGAACATAAGAATGAATTAAAGGCTTGATCCAAATCATAATGAAAATGTGATATGATTTTAAAAGGAAATTGATGGAGTGGCAACCATTTCTAACAGCATAGTGGGCTACATGTCAGGCCAGCCCTTCTCTTGAAAATGATTAAAAATGCTAAATAAAATATAAAAAACATTTTCCCAAAAGCACCTACAAGTTGGCAAGAGAGTAAGAAATTACCAAAAACTAAGTAAAACAGAAGCAGGGAGAAGTAGGAAGGGTTTAACCTGAGGTATTTACTGAAACAAATGAACTTGAGTTTCAGTTTTTATAGCCTCAGTGGTCAAGAAAAGGCAGCAATGAGAGCCCCTGATCACCCACCAAGGTGGGCACACATTTCATCCAAGGCCTCAAAGAATTTCTATTAATAATTCTCCAAGGAAAATAAAACAGTCACCATGACAAAGAACCAAGAGAAACAAAAGAGCAGAAACAGACCTTCAAATACTTCATATAGTGGAGTTGTCAGGTACAGATGATAAAATAACTATGCTCAATACATTTAAAGAAAGAAAAGTTAGGCTTGAAAATGAATGCACAGAACAGTAGATGATTGTTTTACATAATCTAGCAAACTTGGGAATGACCCAAATAGAATGTCTAGAAGTAAAAAATATAACAACCGAAATTAAAACTCAACAGAAAATTTTAAAATTACCCAGGCATGGTGGCATGCACCTATAGTCCCAGCTACTCAGGAGGCTGAGGTGGGAGGATTGCTTAAGCCCAGGTTGCAGTGAGCTATGACTGCACCACTGCACTCCAGCCTGGGTGAGATCCTGTCTCAAAAAAAAAAAAAGAAAGAAAAGAAAAAAACTCAGTGGAACAGCAGATTAGACAGAGCTAAGAAAGAATTCACAAATTGGAAAATATGTCAGAAGAACCTACCCAAAATGTAGCACAAAGAAACAAAGAAATAGAAAATATTTTAAAAGGCTAAATTGAAGCTGATCTAACTGATACCCAAACAAATTCTTTTTTTTTTCTTTTTTGAGACAGAGTCTCACTCTGTCACCCAGGCTGGAGTGCAGTGGTGAAATCTCGGCTCACTGCAACCTCTCCTCACTGGGTTCAAGAGATTCTCCTGCCGGGCGCGGTGGCTCACTCCTGTAATCCCAGCACTTTGGGAGGCCGAGGCGGGCGGATCACAAGGTCAGGAGATCGAGACCATGGTGAAACCCCGTCTCTACTAAAAATAGAAAAAATTAGCCGGGCGCAGTGGTGGGCGCCTGTAGTCCCAGCTACTCGGGAGGCTGAGGCAGGAGAATGGCGTGAACCCGGGAGGCGGAGCTTGCAGTGAGCCGAGATTGCGCCACTGCACTCCAGCCTGGGCGACGAAGTGAGACTCCGTCTCAAAAAAAAAAAAAAAAAAAAAAAAAAAGAGATTCTCCTGTCTCAGCCTCCCAAGTAGCTGGGACTACAGGTGCACGCCACCACGCCTAGATAATTATTTTTGTATTTTTAGTAGAGGCAGGGTTTCACCATGTTAGCCAGGCTAGTCTTGAACTCCTGACTTCAGGTGATCCACCCGCCTCTGCCACCCAATAGAAGCGGGATTTCACCATGTTGGCCAGGCTGGTCTTGAACTCCTGACCTCAGGTGATCCACCCGCCTCTGCCACCCAAGTGCTGGGATTACAGACGCGAGTCACCGCACCCAACCCCAATCAAATTCTTAAAAGGAAAAGAGAGAAGGGGAAGAGACAATATTTGAGATATAATGACCACTAACTTTCTAGAGTAAATAAAAAGATATGAATCTATTCAAAAGCCTAGGAGGCCCCATCTCTACAAAAAAACATTTTTTAAATAGCCAGATATGGTGTCATGTTGCCTATAGTCCCAGCTACTTGGGTGGCTGAGGTGGGAAGATCACCTGAGTCTACTGCGCTGAGCAAGACTGTGTCTCTAAAAAAATAATAATAATAATAATATATATATTTTAAAGTCCAGTAAATCTCAAGCAGAGTAAGATAAGTAAAAAGAAATTGACTTTTTTTTTTTTTTTTTTGTTCTTTGAGACAGGGTCTCACTCTGTCCCCCAGGCTGAAGTGAAGTGGTGCAATCTCAGCTCACTGCAACCTCCGCCTCCCAAGTTCAAGCAATTCTCCCATCCCAGCCTCCCAAGTAGCTGGAACTACAGGTGCGTGCCACCACACCCAGCTAGTTTTTGTATTTTTTGTAGAGACAGGAGTCTCACCAAGTTGCCCAGGCTAGTCTTAAATTCCTAGACTCAAGTGATTCACCCGTCTCGGCCTCCCAAAGTCCCAAAGTGCTAGGATTATAGGCATGAGCCACCACACCTAGCCAAGAAATCCACATTTGGACACAATACAGTAAGCCTCAGAAAAATTAAAGGCAAAGTAAAATTTTAAAGAAAAAGCCAAAGAAAAATCAAACTACCATATAATCCAGCAATCCCACTGCTGGAAAGGAAAGAAAAGGAAATCAGTATATCAAAGAGATATCTGCACTCCCATGTTTGCTGCAGTACTATTTAAAATAGCTAAGATTTGGAAACGAGCCCCCCAAGTGTCCATCAGCGGATGAATGGATAAAGAAAATGTGGTATATGGACACAGGGCAGGGAACAACACAAACCCTGTCGGCAGGGCTGGGGTGGGGGGAGCATCAGAAAGATAGAAAGAATAGCTAATGCATGCTGGGCTTAAGACCTAGGTGATGGGTTGATCTGTGCAGCCAATCACCATGGCACATGTTGTTTACCTGTGTAACAAACCTGCACATCCTGAACATGTACCCCAGAACTTAAAAGTTGAAGGGAAAAAAAAAAGAAAGAAAATGTGGTACAGATACAGCAATGGAGTACTATTCAACCATAAAAAGGAATGAGATCCAGTCATTTGCAACAACATGGATGGAACTGGAGATTATTATATTAACTGAAATAAGCCAGGCACAGAAAGACAAACATCCCATATTCTCACTTATTTATGGGACCTAAAAATCAACTTAATTAAACTCACGGACATAGAGTATAGAAGGATGGTTAACAGAGGTTGGGAAGCGTAGAAGGGGTTGTAGGAAAGGTGGAGATGGTCAATGGCCACAAAAAAATAGAATGAACAAGACCTAGTATTTGAGAGTACAATAGGGTGACTATAGTCAATAGTAACTTAGTTGTGTATTTTAAAATAACTTAAAGAATGTAATTGGATTATTGGTAACTCAAAGGATAAATGCTTGAGGGGAGTGGCTACCCCATTCTCTATGATGTGCTTATTTCACATTGCAGGCCTGTATCAAAACATCTCATGTACCCCATAAATATATACACCTACTATGTACCCACAAAAATTAAAAATTATAAAAAGAAAAGGATTATAGAAATGATCATGGATTAAACGACAATTAGTTTAAAAATCATTTTAAAGATGAAATTGAGATAAATGATGACATTTAAAAAAAAAAAATAGGTTTTTTTTGGAACTTCAGATTTCCAATCCTTCACGTAAGTAACACTCTGAAATCTCCCACCATGGAATAAGGACAGTATTCACCCCAAACAGAACTTTGGTCTAGCAAGAAGTGGCCACAAGGGCCCAGGAAGAGCTGGGAGCTACATGCTACTATAAGAGGACGGCCAGGGAAGATCAGAAAATGTCTTTACTTTAATCTTTTCCTCGTAGTGCTGCTCTTTCTGTTTCAGGTGCACTTCTAGGTGCTGGGCTGAGACTTGGGCCTCCCGATGTTTCTCTTCGAGTTCCTAGACACAAAAGAAAAAACAGTCAGGTGTGCAGAGGGCAGGACACCGCCAATGCACATTAGACATTCACAGGAAATATGACTTTGGTACAGGTACCACAGGTAACAGGCATCTGGTCCTCCATTACTAGCCTAAGGCTCTTGGGAAGGAAACCACCACTGTGCCTTGGCCCTGGGTTTTCCAAGTCCAAGTGTTCGCACACACATACACGCATAGCTGGTGGGCTGTAAGGCCTGAGACCACAAATACATCAGTGTGACAGGTCAAACAAAGGCAGCTCTTCATCTTTGCATAGAGAAATAAGAGTAACAAGTAATATTGAAAAGTTTAGTACAGGACAAAGCCCTGACCACTATCTTGAACCTCAGGCCATTTTCACTGTGATGACAGGCTTAAATGAGAAAAGTCATTTTAATATATGATTATGATTTTAAAAAATACTTTGTATTTTCCTCATTAACAGAATTATTGCTCAAGAACCCTAGCTAAAAAGGAAAACTAATGTTACAATCCAAGCACTTCAAGTTTTGAATGATTATTTTAACTGACACCAAGTGGTGTATGTGACTATCTGTAGATGTGCATGTGACGTGATGTTCATATGATACAATGCAAATGGGGACAAAGATAAACATACAATACACTGATAATGACATAAAAATGTACACAGACATATTAAAGATTAGAAGAGAATCTGGAGTAATATAAATAGCCTACATTTAATGTTCTCTTAATTCTTTTATTATTAAGTGTCCAGCTTTTTTTTTTTTTTTTTTTTTTTTAAACGGAGTTTTGCTCTTGTTGCCCAGGCTGGAGTGCACTGACACGATCTTGGCTCACTGCAACCTTCGCCTCCCGGGTTCAAGCAATTCTCATACGTCTCAGTCTCCCGAGTAGCTGGGATTACAGGCATGCACCACCATGCCCGGCTAATTTTTGTATTTTTAGTAGAGACAGGGTTTCACCATGTTGGTCAGGCTGGTTTCAAACTCCTGACCTCAGGTGATCCACCCGCCTTGGCCTCCCAAAGTGCTGGGATTACAGGCATGAGCCACCATGCCTGGCCAAGTTTCTAGCTTTTAAACAAAATTGTAATTCACTTGAAAATTATAGCAGTTCATTTGCCAATATTTTATAAACTGACCTTATAAAAGGCAGCATTCAATTCACTAAAATATTCTGTAAATGTACAGATAGCTGCATCTATATTAATTCTTATGAATCTGGACCCATCAGTTAATTACTAATACCGAGTCATTACTCCAAGTTTTCAACTCTTTATACTACTATGAAATTTTTATTTGAAGTGGAAGCAATTATGAGGGTTTTGAAGAATGAGGAAATTATATAGGATATGTTCATAAAATGGGGGTGAAAAGTTACTTAGAGATTCACATGCACTTAAAATGTTAGTGATTAAGCTTTTGAAATTCTAAAGTCTACAAGCATTGGATTTGCTCTGAGGGCAATTAAAGTTCAGTCTTAAGACCAGGTGCACAAGATCTCCTGCAATTCAACAGATGTGATCTTGAAGAGTTGAAAATAAACAGGATTAATAAAAACATATTTTAAAAGGTTCTGTATGTACTTGGCTAAAGGATCTCTTGCAATAACTTCTTTTATTAAGGCCAAAGACTCTACTGTAATGAGTGTACCATTATCTGTTTTGAAAGTTCTTATCAGAATAGCAAATATTTTAAAGGCAATGACATTTGGGGATCTATGCTCAGTCATCATCATTACATAAAGGTACTAAGGACCACTCTTTGCCCACGTCCTAGATACTTTGCAGCCTAAGCACAGGGTTCTTGAGCAAAAGGCACCTTCTAATAAATGAAGTCACAACCACAAAGGTACTCCGGCAGGTGGCAAGATACACTCGGACAAAGAAATCTGCTTATTTTTCCTTTATGTTAGAAATCATTTGATAATCATCTTTTTAATTTTTTTTCCAGTTTCAGTCTTCATAAGATAGCACAGGAATGGAAATCAGAATCTAAAATTAGATGGAAAAAAAAAAACTCAGGTATCTGACACTGACAACTTTAAGACCAAATTTCTGGTCTATTTGTGAACGGGAGTTTATAACACATAATCCAAGAATGCAGAACTCTCTACTCCTCCATTTTAATTGTAAGTGAACCTTAGGAAGAGCAGATCTTCTATAAATCTGACTTCTTGGTGGTTTGGCATTTTTTGTTGTTGTTGTCATTTTTTAAACAGATATTTTCTAGATGTATTGGATCAACTCTTCAGTCCTGTTATGCAAATACTGTTGTTTGCTGCTAAATTTCCAGCTCCTAGAACAGTGCCTGGCACATAGTAGAAGCTCATTAAATATTTGTTGAATGAATGAATGAACACATCACCATTAAACAGAGAAACACTTTGCAACCACAAGAGAGTTAACCACTTTGTTTATACCAAGCAAGGGATAGCAGCGGTGGGATCTCAGCGGGATCTGATTTTATATTCATGATAAAATTCAAACACTTGACAATAGCCAATAGAAACTTTGATGACGGAACAAGAGAACAGAAAGGGCAGACTAACAGTCACATCTGTCTTTGTGTGCAGACATATATACAAAGACTGGGTGTCATAGCAAAACAATTTAACCCATTTTTCTTTTACCTGTTGATTCGAGAACATCCATATATTTATAAGTATACACAAACAGAAATGTAAAGTTGTAAACAGTTTGATTTGGTATTAAGTATAGACCTATAAGTTGGCCACTCTGGAATTCCAACAGTTGCTGGTGACTCATTTCCCAGAAGTGATGTGAAGAGAGAGAGATGAAGTACCCTGCTCACCACCTTGCCTCCTTAGGTTGGAGAGGAATGACCAATGACTTCAGAGTCTCTCCCCAGGTGGGATAGGAATGGACTCCAAGTCATCCTTGAGTCTCAAACATGATGTCAAATTTCTGGCTGTGGGACTGAGGTCCAAGGAGAGCCCTTCAAAGGAGGTGCTGTCTTCCACCCTGGCAGGGGCAAAACGTCAACACATCTGCAAGTACCACCCGAGTCTTCCTTGATCAAGTTAATTTGGTCATCAGAGCCTGAGACAGAATCAGGATGACTACAGACCCTAAAAAAAGACCTGCTACATCTAAGGAAATTGAAAAAATAATAATAATAATAACCAACTGTAGCAGAGAAAGTGAGTGGGTGAACATGGATCTATGACAAATACTACTCCTAGCAAAACAATTCTGTATGACTAATTGCTTTCTTCTCTAAAAGCAAGAATCTGAATTTCGGTCTTAAAGTTCTAAACCCCTACAGCTTTTTAAATTGTCATTGCAAAGTTGACGGCTATTCAAAGCTCTGCTGATAGAAATATGTCAACACTCCTATAAAAATGTACTGAAAATGATAGATGCACGTTCTACTTTAGAAAAAAAAAAAAGCCAGGCTGTAGCAAAAAGAGCAAAAAAATGATATTTACGGATCTGTTACCAGTGCTGAAATGTCCGTTATTTGGTTATTCATACTACTCTACGATGTGGTATATGCTGAAACCACCTCACTTAATTCATCTACTTGGAGATACCTCCCTTATTGTGGCGGTTAATTCTTCTTCTAACCCCCTTCCCTTTGCAACCTCTAACCTGTTATCTTTTAACTTTGCAACTTTCATTCCTGCTCACCAGAATTTTATCAGCCATCTGCTGGATCTGTTGGGATTTTGTCTGGATGTCATCCTTCAGTCTGTTTTCTCTACGCTCCATGGTCTCTAGTCTCTTTACCTTGTTCTCCAGAGAATGGCGACGTTCCTGTAGATCATGAATCAATCAGAGAGTTTTAATGGAGTAACCGCTATGGGCATAACACCTGCACTGAGGGAAAGAGCCCTCAAGAAGCATACACTCGAGTCAGGAAGAAAAGCCTCAGGCACCCGAAGCAACAGTAGAGAAAATAAGACTCTATAATCCAGGTACTCAGTTGTGTAGGTTACAAGAGTGCATTCATTCATTCAAATATTTACCAAGCACCTACTATCTGCAAAGTGCCACGCTAGGCATCACGGAAAATACAGAGGAAGATGGCATCATTCCTGCCCTTGGAGGAGATAAGATAAACATAAATAATCATAATATAGGTTAAGATGAGGAAGAACCATAAAGCAAAGAGGTACAAAGTGCCGCAGGAGGTTGCAGGCAGGACAGAGGACTTTTAATTGGACAGTTGAGCAGAGACATCAGAGAGGTGTGAGCTCTGGAGTGGGGTGGTATATGGTGTTTTGCAGTAGGAAGGACAGGAGAGGAGGGGGAAATGTTTCAGACAAAAGGAGACACACTAGCAGAAACACAGCAGTGGTCAAGAGCCAGTTTGGGCCCCAAGCGAAGCCTGGAATGGCTACAGCACAGCACGTGTTCAGGGGAAGGGCAGGTGAAAAGCAGAAAGGTCAAAGGTTGAGGGTTTCAGGTACCAGGCTCAGGGGTACATCTGGGCATTACGGAACCCTGAAAGGTTTGGGATGGGGCAGGGAATTCTGAGAAATCTGGTTCTTGAGGTCCATGAATCTTTCACTGTGGGAACTAGCTGGAAGGAAGGAGAAGCTGGAGGCAGATGGCCGAGAAATTATTAGATTTGCTCAGCTAAGAGGGGAGGGCTTAGACTACAAGGAGGGCTACAGAAATGGGAAGCAGGAGATGAACAGGAGATGTATGGTTGCATTTATAGGACGGAGGGACTCACTGAATAGCAGGGTCCAGAGAAAATGAAAGGACACCAAGGTTTGAAGCCTGGAATGACCAGATGAATGATGGTGGCTCTGCTTGGCATGAGGAAAGTGAGAAGGGAAACCAAGCTTGCTGGGGAAGAGACTGAGTTCATTCTAAATCTGATGCACCATTCAGACACTCAGTTGGAATTTAGAGGAGCTGGGGGATATGCAGACAAATGTGGGTGAGGATGGCCCGAAAGAGACATGTACCAGGAGGTTCACACCAAGAATGTAACAGGGAAAAGCAAAAGACCCAGCAATAGGAGGAGGGTGAAATCAACTATGGCATGCCCCTTCTGTGGGACAAACACCAAGGGGCAGAGGAGGCAGATATAAGTAAAGGCGAAGAATCGCTTTTTATCCTGTATTCTACTGTACTAAGTTTTTTACAATGAAAAGGCACTCATGTGGTTCTGGTAAAATTATACAAATGATTTCAACAACAACAACAACAACAACAACAAAGAATTTAAAGTAGAGAAGAGGCCCAAAAATATAGATCTGAGAGTCATTGACACGCAGGTAATAGGTGAAGTCTTGAAAATTAATATGCTATTAATATCACAGAGGGGAGAGACGAGGAAAAAACAGAGGGAAGAGAAAGAAAAACCCAGTGATGGAGCTTCGGTTAACCTATAAAAATAAAAATTGTCCCAGATTAGTGAGTAGGTCAGAGGAAAATAAACAGAAAGAAAAAGCTTCTATGAAGACATCTTTCTACTTGAAGCTGCTCTGACAAATCTTTCTTTCCCCTGGGGGGAAATGATTCCCAGCCTCTCAGGTTTCAAAGGGATCTTCAGAAGGGAAAGCAGCTTGGTCAAACATAAGCAAGGGACGGTCTGGCAGTTTCTTTCCTTGGGCACAGCCAAAGGCCGAGGCCGCTGGGGCCTGGGCTGGAGGTTCCCTGCTCACCTCGGCTTCCACCAGCTTCTTTCTGATGCCTTCAGAAGAATCCTCTCGGTTCTGCAGCTTCTCCAGCTCCCTCTCGGCTCGCTCCTTTGCCTGGCGGATATTCTGCAGCAGCTCAGTGGCCTCGGTGCTGGCTTTTACAGCCTAGGAAGAGAGGAGGAAAAGGAGATAAGTGGCCAAATTTATTCATGTAAAAAGATGGTGACAGTACATTCTGCACATGTATCCCAGAACTTAAAGTATCATCTAAAAAAAAAAAAAAGATAGTCACAGTGTCCTAAATAAAAAAAGCAGGTAATACTGAGTTTACCATTTGTCAAAACAAATACACAATCATTTAATTCTGTATTTCATTATTCTAAGGTGCACATTTTTTAACATCACTGAATTTGAAATGTATCCTACAATTAAAATTGATGCATTTTTCTTTCTTGGGGTATGTAAGATAATGGTGTATCTGACAATCATTAGCATCTTCGATTCGATGCAAGATAGTGAATGGAAAAAGAAAGATCTAAATGGACTGATCTACCCAGATATCAATGTATTTGCCTTGAAGCATTAATTTTCTCCTTATTTTAATTATCTCATTTGTTAATTTTTCTATGGGAAATATTGAGATATACTGGGTTAAAACAAATATATCATTCAAATGACTTCGCCTGTTTTTGCTGTTTTTATTGTTTGTTTGTTTTGGTTTTTTTTTTTTTTTTTTGAGACAGAGTTTTGCTCTTGTTGCCCAGGCTGGAGTGCAATGGCGCAATCTCAGCTAGCCGCAACCTCCGCCTCCTGAGGTTCAAGTGATTCTCCTGCCTCAGCCTCCCAAGTAGATAGGATTACAGGCATGCGCCACCACGTCCAGCTAATTTTGTATTTTTAGTAGAGACAGGGTTTCACCATGTTGGTCAGGCTGGTCTCGAACTCCTGACCTCAGGTGATCTGCCCACCTCAGCCTCCCAAAGTGCTGGGATTATAGGCGTGAGCCACCAGGCCTGGCCTGTTTTTGCTGTTTTTAAATGTGGCTACTGGAAAATTTTAAATTACACCTGTGAGTAATATTTGTGGCTCCCTCACACTTTGATTGGAGAGCACAGTTCTAGATGGAGACGTGCATCCTCTCACAAGCTTCTGGCTAAAGAGGGCCATGAGGGCTTTTATTAGAGAGTTCAAGAATAAGGAAGCAGGGGGCAAACAGTGGATAAGCAAAAAGCAGTATTATCTATAAACTAGAATATGATTCCACCTTAAGAAGAAAGGAAATTCTGATACATGCTACCACATGAATGCAACTTTAGGACATTATGCTAAATGAAATAAGCCAATCACAAAAGGACAAACACTGTATGATTCCAGTTATATGAGGTACATAAAGTAGTCAAAATCATAGAAACAGAAAGTAGAAAGGTGGGGGGGATGAGAGGAATTCATATTTGGTGGTTACAGAGTTTCAGTGTAACAAGACAAAAACGTTCCAGAGATCCACTGCCCATAATGGTAATAAACTTAGCACAACTGAACTGTACACTTAAAAATGGTTAAGATGGTAATTTAACGTTATGTGGGTTTTTTACCACAATTTTAATAAAGGAGGAGGAGGAGGAGCTCTATTAAACCAAGCCAGCAAACACATTCACAAACATTCTCAATGCCAAAGGTATGTTCCACAGCCACATTCATTCTGGCCCTTCCATTAAGCATTTCCAGTGTTCAACTAAAGGAAGGGCTTGAAAATTACTCTTAAATGTTCTCACCACAAAAAACATAAGAAGAATGTGAGGTGATGGATCTGTCAGCTGGCTTGACTTAATCACTTCACAATGTGTGTGTGTGTGTGTGTGTGTGTGTGTGTGTGTGTGTGTATACATCACGTTGCATACCATAAGTTTATGCCATTATTATTTGCCAACTATACCTTAATGAAGCTAGGGAAAAAATTAATAAAAATTTTAAAAACAAGATAAAATGGTCAGGTACAGTGGTTCATGCCTGTAATCCCAGCATCTTGGGAAGCAATGGCAGGTGGATCACTTGAGTCCAGGTGTTTGAGACCAGCCTAGGCACCATGGCAAAATCCTATCTCTACAGAAAATACAGAAAATCAGCTGGGTATAGTGGTGCACACCTGTGGTCCCAGCTACTCTGGAGGCATAGGTGGGAGGATCACCTGAGCCTGTGAAGTCAAGGCTGCAGTGAGTCATGATCATGCCCTGCACTCCAACCTGGGTGACAGAGTGAGACCCTATCTCAAAAAAGTTAAATAAGTTGGCCAGGCACAGTGGCTCGTGCCTATAATCCCAGCACTTTGGGAGGCCAAGGCACGCAGATCACCTGAGGTCAGGAGTTCGAGACCAGCCTGACCAACATGGTGAAACCCTGTGTCTACTAAAAACACAAAAATTAGCTGGGTGTGGTGGCGCATGCCTATAATCCCAGCTATTCTGGGGGCTGAGGCAGGAGGATCCCTTGAACCTGGGAGGCAGAGGTTGCAGTGAGCCAAGATCGTACCACTGCACTCCAGCCTGGGCAACAGAGCAAGACTCCATCTCAAAAAAAATTTTTTTACTTAAATAATTAAACAATTAAATAAAAGGAGGGCCATTAGCACAAACTTTGCAGGATGCTATAAACCAAACTCACGCCCCTTCCCAATCACGTGACAACCCCAAGGCTCCTCCAGTCTTCTGCAGGGCAGGCCTCCTGCTGGCGGAAAGCAGTCTGGGTGGGGAACTGCTTCTCCTACAAATGTGCATAAATGAGGTGCCAGGCCCCCTGAGGCGAGAGATGCAGGCCTCTTGGGTTCTGTCGTAGTATAATTAGAACTTTTACTTGAGAGTCTCACACAGCTTGGTTTTTAAAAATAAACACTGCTGACATATCTCAGAAGGAAAAACTATATTCAGAACTCTGATATTTTCAGGTAATCGCTCACTCCCCCTTCATTTTCCTCAGTGCTGGGTGACTAATTCTGTTTCTTTCATCTTTCGTGCTCTGGGACAAGGCAAAGAAAGACGTTTGGAAAGGAGGTGGGGTGGGGGGGTAAGTTCCTGAAAAATCACCTCGGGCTTACCTTCTCCAGTTTCTCTTGGAGCTCCTGAATTTTGAGCTGCTGCTCAGCATTGATCTATAATTAAAATTCCAGGAAATAAAGCAAAAGGCAAATCAGCATTAACATCTTGCTACATTCATTGCAGTCCTATTCTCTTGAGGTTTCTATGGGGTCTTTTTCTTTGGGTTTCCAGAACCTACTAAGGAAGAGGAAGAACAGTGGCCTCTCAGGGAAGACTTTGTCCCAGTGCAAAGCTCCATGTTGACGATGTACGTAGGACCAGCAACACACGAATGGCAAAAAGAGAAAGTCGCTCAGTGCTTTAAGACAATAACAATTTTCATGTATGTTTTACTAAGTGTCTGGGTTTGTTGCTGTGGGCAGGCATGACAAAAATGAGCTGCCTTTTACCTCTTTTAGAGCCACAGTTAAATGTTGTCACCCAAAGGTGGACTATCAAAATAAGCCTCGAAGAGAGGTCTCTATTCATTAAGAATACTCTTCATCAATGATGGGCCACTGATAATAACATGAAAAATGTTATCTACCCAAAATATTAATAGCAAAACCAATCATGGAAAGTATACCTTCTCCAGTTTCGTATATTCTCCCACTTCAGGCTTCCCTTGATCCTTAGCCTGTAATTAAAAAGATACAACATATTGGGAAACCTCAACAACCTAAAAGTCGTGTAGACTACTTGGTCTCTGTGACCAAGATGATAATAGTAAATAAGAATGTTATCTTCTGTAAATAAAGACCAAGGGTTTTCCAAGGTATCCTACTATTTCTCAAACTAGGTTGTTTCTCATTAAACTAGGTTCTCCTTTTTCTTGCTAAGATCATGTATGATTTTACCCAAAAAGCACCCTCCTGGAGGGTGGCTGACTACCTTCAACAGTTTATGCTGACATTCTGTCGCTTTCCGCTTGAATTCTTCAGCAGCGAGCCGAGACTCTCTCAGCTCAGATTCGTAGAGATCACTCCGTCTTCTTGCTGAGACAAGGTCCTCTTCCAACTGATTCATCATCAACCTCATTTCTTCCACTTGAGCCTGGTACTCCTAAAGAGCAGGCAATGGAATCAAAGTGAACTTTAGAACTCCGAAAAGAATAGACAGGCAGTGAGGATGAAAGAGTATTAACCACACAGGGAAGATGCACAGTGAAGAGAGATTGGCAAAAAAAGACCTGGCCGGGCAAGGTGGCTCACATCTGTAATCCCAAAACTTTGGGAGGCCAAGGTGGGTGGATCACCTGAGGTCAGGAGTTCAAAACCAGCCTGGTCAACATGGTGAAATCCTGTCTCTACTAAAAATATAAAAATTAGCTGGGTGTGGTGGTGCGGGCCTAAAGTCCCAGCTACTCAGCAGGCTGAGGCAGGAGAATCGCTTGAACCTGGGAGGCAGAGGTTGCAGTGAGCCGAGATCACGCCACTGCACTCTAGCCTGGGTAACAGGGCAAGACTCCATCTCAAAAATTAAAAAAATAAAAGAAAAAGAAAAGACCTACAGACCTAGAGACGAGGGGAGTAGAAAGATGGACCCAGAATGAGGCACCAAGTAGGCAAAGGCGAGAAGTGTGGGGTGAAGACGAGGAAGAAAAAAAATTAAACCTTAAAACTGTTTTGGCTGGGTGTGGTGGCTCATGCCTGTAATCTCAGCACTTAGGGAGGCTGAGGCGGGCAGATCACGGGGTCAGGAATTCGAGACCAGCATGGCCAACATGGTGATATCCGTCTCTACTAAAAATACAAAAATTAGCCAGGCATGGTGGTGGGTGCCTGTAATCCCAGCTACTCAGGAGGCTGAGGAAGATGAATCGCTTGGACCCGGGAGGCAGAGGTTGCAGTGAGCTGAGATCACGCCACTGCACTCCAGTCTGGGTGACAGAGCAAGACTCTGTCTCAAAAGAAAAAACAAAAACAAAAACAAAACAAAACACTGTTTCAATGTAGAGCATATGTCATTAGTAAAACCACTGGGAACACACATGCAAATCACACCACACAATATGCACAGACCCTTAAGGCCTAACAGGAGAGCCGAAAGGGATGTTCTTTAAACAACAAGGATAAACCGCTTACATGTAGTTTTCCGCCAAGGGTAATCATTTATATAGATTTGTCCTTTAGAAGTCATGTGCTCCTAACACAAATTAGATATGGTACTAGTTTTCAAATTAACCTTTCAGACAGCACAAGAGGGTAATTGAAAATCTCAGTGGAAAGAATTCTGGAAGGTGAAACTCATCATGTCAGTTTCTCACCATTAATTTTTCTGGGCCCAAAACTGAATGATGACCGTAACATCGCTCCTGCAATGCAAGTCACCCTGAAATTCGGAAGAGTCACAAAACACTGGCTTCGGTCAAAATAACTTGTGAGAAAAATTCCAAGGAAAGAACTCTCCTGTTCCCTTGGGCAAACCCTTTAAGTGATCCAAACGGCCCAACCTTTTCCAAAATGCATTTCTAAAATCAAAACATTTACATTCAAGTTTCTCAGAACTGGGTTTACCAGAAGAAACGGCCAGTGATTTTGAAAACTTTTGGACAAAGTATAAAAACATTCTGTGTTAGCAAAAATCAAGGCTAAGTATAAGGATTATGAATGAGCACTTATGTAATCCAAGGTGACTTGTGGGGTGAGGACGAGAGAGATACAAAATGAAATGAACAAGGAATTGCATCAAGAAGTCTTTGAAAATCACAATATTCAGTAACATCTCTGAGATCCATTCTCCCAAGAAATAATTGGTGAGGAATATTTAAATATTTCTCCCAAGAAATAATCGATTGAGCAAGGATATTCTTTTAACTGATAAATTGTAATTTTTAAATAATAGGGTACAAAGGAAACCTTTTATCCTATTGTAGCAAGTGACCCCCCAGAGCATATTAAAGGGGAACTGCTGCTCTTATGAAAACTGGATGGTTTCCATGCAAGCACACCTCTCCCTATATTATCTGTAAAGGAGAAAGGAAAAAACAGCCCAAAATGGAACACAGGTCTCATTTCACTCTCTCCCACCCAAAAGCATATGTTACTGAAGGTCAGTCCTCAGAATCTTGGGGCACACAGGTTTCCTGGGTCATGTATACTAAGCAGGCGATGCTGGATTATATAACCAAATGTCTTTATAACCTGCTCCCAATTATCTAAACTCACAGGGCAGGCCGGGCACAGTGGTTCATGCCTGTAATCCCAGCACTTTGGGAGCCCAAGGTGGGCAGATCACTTGAGGTTAAGAGTTCGAGACCAGCCTGGCCAACATGGTGAAACCCCATCTCTACAAAATACACAAAAATTAGCTGGGCATGATGGTGGGCGCCTGTAATCCCAGTTACTTGGAAGGCTGAGACAGGAGAATCGCTTGAACCTAGGAGGCAGAGGTTGCAGTGAGCTGAGATTACGCCACTGCCCTCCAGCCTGGGTGACAGAGCAAGACTCCATCTCAAATAAATAAATAAATTCACAGGGCAGAACATGAGCTGCAGGTGAAATGGAACATCGGTTTTTCTGGACCCCCTCAACCAGAGCCATATTATGGCTTTCATAGCTGTGAGCACTGAGCCTTCCTTGACTTCCTCCATAAAAATAAAAATTACATTTTACAATTGTGCTCCTATAAATACAAAAATATTAATATCATCTATGAAAACAGTGTCTTTGACCTAAACCCAACTTTTTTCTTCTGATGAAAAAACTGAAACATGTTATGAGACCCTAAAAGTACAGTGGTCCCTAGCTACCATGCCTGCTAGAGCTAATGGGAAAGCCAGTCCTAGCTACAGGCGTCAACACCAAATCTTGAGTTTCTTTTGTCCTCAAGCTCCCTTTTCTTTCTTGAATTTATGTCGGCGAGAAGGGAATGTAAATTTTGTGTTTTGTCAAGAGCGAGGACAGAGTGTCTGTTCCTTCCCCCCCCACATCTCTCTTCCCTGAGCTGTCAGCACGTAAGAGGGAGGAAGGCAGGAACCAGGCAACCACTCTGTCAGCTCTCCAAGCTCTCGGGGCACCCAGCCTGCTACAAGCATCAGAAAAAAATTCTAACTCATTTGTGGATCCTTTGATATTGTACTGGATACTTCAAGGAAATCCTGTAAATTTAGCAGCTAACCAAATCCCTGCTTCAGGAAAAACCTGAAAGGTGATCATCGGGTCTGTTTGCACGACCAGCTGAGAGATAGCTGTGGTATCTCAGGATGGGGAAACGCAGACAGGTTTCAAGGCCCACCTAACACAAGTCTTCTGAATGGAGCTTCAGAATTTTGTGGGGAGGAAGGATCAGGTATGATCCTATTCACGCAGAAACCCTGGAACACAAGTGACTTCTGTGTTACCCACACTTTTATTTCCTTTCCTGAGTAGAGGAGCAAGAAAGAAGCTGAAATTGCTAGTAATGATCTAGGAATCAAAATTTCACATGAGACTTTGAGGTGTTTTTCTTTAAACCAAATCTAAATACTCTAGAGGGGGTAGCTAGGTGGAAGTAAAATATTTTTGAAAAAAATAAAGAGCCGGCCAGGTCCGGTGGCTCACGCCTGTAATCCCAGGACTTTGGGAGACCAAGGCGGGCAGATCACGAGGTCAGGAGTTCAAGCATGACCAACATGGTAAAACCCCATCTCTACTAAAAATACAAAAATTAGCCGGGCGTGGTGGTGTGCACCTGTAGTCCCAGCTACTCAGGAGGCTGAGGCAGGAGAATCACTTGAACCCGGGAGATGGAGGCTGCAGTGAGCCAAAATCGCACCACTGCACTCCAGCCTGAGCAACAGAGCGAGATTCCATCTCAAAAAAATATAAAAATAAAGAGCCATATAGAAAATTAGATTTTTAAGAGAAAGATCAGGGAATAAATCCCAAGTCTGGAAAAAATCAATATGCCACAAACCAAATACTGAAAGTTTACTGCAAGCATTAAAAGCTTTCTCCTGGTCTGCAAACATCCTGCTCTCACAAAACTTACCAAAAGTCATAAAACAAATCCTTGTTCCCATGAAAAATCAAATCAATCAAATCTGAAACCATGAAGTTTTCTTCCTCACAATGGAACTTTTAGCAGTCATTAAATCTAAGACTCCACATGCATGCCAGCTGTGGTAGGAATCATAAAAGGCATTTCTTTGAACTCGGCCACCAACATATACCTTTTCAAAATGTCCTGATAATTCCGTTTCTAAGGAATCTATGGACACCAGCTGCTCCCTCTGGTGGCCAAACACAGCTTTCATTTCCCCAGGATGTCACCAAAAGTAAATTTCCAGGTATGTTGAACTAATGGGAGAAAATGATTCCTACCTCTTGAACCTTTTAGGATGAAAACTATGTTGATAAAAGGAGCATGAGTCAACTGTCAAAGCAGATTTCTCAAAGCCTATGTGCAGCCTTCAAAACCTCTAAGACTGCATTATTCAGAGATCTGATAATCCTTTACAGGGTTTCCTTCCTATGCACATTTATTTATAATGTTTTTATCAAGCAACAGGCTATTAACCGATCACAACTTTAAAATATTCAGATGATAAATATATTATGCCAACAAAACTCCAAAGACAGTAATTCTTTTTTTAAAGAGTAATTAATGGATAGAGTTATTTGCAGGAGTTTCTTGCGTTAGCTCCAGCCAGATGGCTAAGTTTGTGCTACCCAGAGACAGAAATGTTCATTTCCATCAATGTTTCCATTAGATTTTCTGAAGTGAATGAGAGTTGCCTGGCAGCTGATAGTTCAGCTCTCCAATTGCTCATTGCCATCTCTTCATTAAAATCTCTATTTACGGTTTTTCAAAAGACACAAAAATCCATGCTAAAAAGGAAACAATGAGGCAATACGAAAATGAGCCATTTAGAAAGAAAACCCATTTAGAAAGAAAAAAAAAAAGAGTGGGGTTTTTAAAGGTCTCGCTTTTCCTTTCTGAAAACACAGGGGACAGCTTTCTGCACTCAGATACGCAGTGTCAATCCTGACTCAACCAGAATGGTTCGAACTTCTCTTGCAGAATATTTCTTTCTACAAGTGAAACTATGAATTAGCCTGGCTTTGCTCAAAAACTTAAAGTGCATCTGAAAAGCTATGAAAACATTTAATTTTTTTAACCATCTAAAGCAGGGATTGGCAAACTTTTGCTGTAAAAAGAGACAGTAAGTAGTTTCAGCGTTGCAGGCCACGTGGTCTCCGTAACAACCACTCACCTCTGACTGTGTAGCCTGAAAGCAGCCAGGGCCAATATGTAAATTACCAAGCATGGCTGTGTTCCAAAAAAAAAAAAAAAACACTTTATTTATGGAGACTGAAATTTGAATTTCATATAAATTTCAAATGTCATGAAATATTGTTTTTCTTTTGATTTTTTCCCCAACTATTTAAAAATGTAAACCCCATTCTTAGTTTGTGGGTCACAGAAAATAGGTGTTGAACCGGCTTTGCCCCACAGGCTGAAGTTTGCCCATTCTTGCTCTAAACCTACATCTTTATTTTTAAAAGCGGACATTATGGGGTATCAGCTTCAAAAGGAGCCGGAACAAGCACTCTATGATGTATATAAATTATGAGAAACTTAAAGTTTCTGAATGACCTATATACCTGCCTCTCTTCCACTCTGCCCCTCTCTCCCTTTCTTCCTGTTTCTGTCTCAAACATGCCTCTCCTGAAATTAGAGGTCCGAGTGAGCCGAGATGCCGCTGTGCTCCCAGGCAAGCAGGCCTACCTGCTCTTTGATTTCTTGGAGCTTCCGGCTCTGCTCTCTGATATCATGGAGAAGCTGCAGTGCTTTGTCATCCTCCTGGGACACCTCCATCCGTGCTTGCTCCAAACTTCGCTTTAAGCTCTGCAGAAAGCAAAAATTTTAATAGGGATGCCCTGTGGATCCTGCTTTGTTTGAAAAGACTCATTAAGAGAGCTGCAAGCTGCTTCGCAGACACCAGGACGGTTTCGAGTGACGGACCACAGTTGACAACTTCCAGTTCGTTGCCGATTCCGGTTTCCATCCTGTAAAACCCCTTGGTTCAAGAAACATCATCCCAACCTGGTGACCTTAGGGATCCAGCCAGAAACTGCATCAGCCTGTCTCCTGCCACCATCTACTGTCCTAGGAGATACTTACTTGCATGTTCAGAACTAAAACCTATTAAGACCCAGTAGCTATTACAATCACCATGTGGATGGCTACAAAGTGTTTTCTACAGTTATTTGTGGGTCCTAAAGTACATATGCCTCTTTCAAAGTAGCAATGACTTCATATCCTCTGCCCAGTTGTCATTTAAGACTCCAAGTGGTTTATTTCTACCTCCTGGCTTATTTTTCCTGGACACCTTTCATCCATAAGAATCCCTTAATGCTTCAATGGCACTGAAATCTATATCTGAAATACATAGCTGAATAACTTCACCCACCACTGAAAGGCAGCCAAGTCTGGAATGGAAACATAGCAGTTATTCTTAATCAGCCACGTTCTATAGATTTCCTCTCCCTTGTGAAAAAAACTTTAGAAATGTGTGATTCAACTTCTTAAGACTGTTTAATTGGGCACATTAAAAAAACACCTGAATGAAAAATTTAACAAGACAATGGAGAAGAAGACAGTCTACTCTTGTGAAGGAAAGAAAAAACGAAAGTCACATGGTAAATAATGACAGAGGGTTTGGGTTTTCAAGGCTATTTTCTTGTCGCTACACTGGTTCTGGCCAATGGAAAATCTGATGTCAGGAAGATTGAAAGTAAGTTTTCTTGTACATAGTTGGGAGTCTGGTTCTCAAGGCTGCTCATGTCAGACACAACGCAGACCAGAGAGGTTGGGATGGGAGATGTTAAGATCTTTTGCAACCCGCGGCAAAGATGGATTACTCCCATCTCCAGACTCCGTGGTACCAGCCATCTACCTGCACTTTCTGCTGGAAATGAGTCCAATCTCATTTCCTGGGGACCTCACGCCTGGCTGTCACTACTCTGCAAAACACAGATCTTGCTTTTGTGCTCTCCCTCTCTCTACTCTCTGCCATTGGCTGTGATGTGCCTCATGGAGCCATCATGAAACAGGATGAGACACACACAACAAGAAGTGCCACCTCCAAGGGAAGGGGGCTTCAGGGAAGGCTCACACTGCATTCTGTGATGTAGGTAGCAAGGTCCTGCTCCAGGAGGGATCTCTGAGTCTCAGAGGCCTTCAGCTCCACCTCCTTCTGACTAAGCACAGCCTCCACCTCTGACACTCTCCGATGTAACCGGGTCATTTCCTGCTCCATCTGAAATAAACACATCGACAGGTTAAAAAGGCCCATGGAGGTTCGTTAGGAGCAATCACATCTCAAGTAGCCTCCGAAACCACCTGGTGGTCTGGGCTAAGGCTAATTCGCCAAAAGTTAAGTTGGGATGGAAATACCATTGTTTCTTCGCCCAGGAGCGCACAGTTCTTCGTTAAGGACAGTCACCAAATGCTAAGTCACTCCTCTCATTCAAGTCCTGGTTCACACTTGATCACTTCTCTAACCCAGTTAGCAAGGAAGCCACAATCATCATTTTTCACCTGTTTGCTTTTGTTTTTGTTTTGTTTTGCAGACGTCACTTTAATTTTATCCCAAATCCATCTTGATCCCCCCCCATCTCCTTGCAAAGATCTAGAGGACAAATCCAGGATAGGGCAAGGAGATATTTATTCGTCTGCACTCTTAGGAGTCCCAGGCAAGCAGTGACTTATTAGTTTCCAGAGCGTTGCCTCTGGGCAGGAACAGTGAATGTTAAGAGACGTTGAGCGTAATCAACACAGTGGCCGCAGTGACATTAGCAGGAGTTTTAAAAGACTAGGAAGAGAGACTTCGCATCACTCAAAGCAGATGGGATGTATCTCAGCCACAGGTGAGGACCCAGGCCACCTGCCGGAAGAAGCAGACATCTGGCTGGGTCATGCTGAGAAACGGGCCGTTTAAATCCAGGGCCTCCTCTGGTTTAGATTTAAAGGATCTACAGCAACGGCAAGGCCCGAATTCATCTCCCTCTGAGCTGCTGGAGGCACGACTTCAGCGAGGGCAGGAGCGCCTCACTCTCTACGGATCAGGCGGCTCAGAGCCAGCAGCGGCCCCGGGCGGATCCCTTGGCATATACTGACGGGAGGATCCTGGAGCAAAGAAGGAGGCCGGCTGCGGAAATAAATACCTTGTGACACTTGTCCTGAGAGTCTTGTAGCTCTTTGCTTTTGATGAGAAGTTTCTTTTCCATGGAGCTAGTCTTGGCAGGGGAGTCCAGACCCGACACAACAGACCTAGGTAGAGAAAAACCAACGTCAAGGGGGCCAGCAGGTGGGCCTAAGAAGCTGCATTAGGAAGCTGCAACATTTGTTTCATTTTACAAAAACATCTCATGCTTTTGATGTTAGATCAAATAATGCCCCCTTCCCCTTTCCAAAGATGCCCATGTCCTAATCTCTGGAAGCTGTGAATATATTACCACACATGGCAAAGAGACTTTGCAGATGGGATTTAAGTTATGGATCTTGGGATGGAAAGATTCTTCTGGGATATTTGGATGGGTACAATGAAATCACAAGGATCCTTATAAGATGGAAGCAAGGATCGGAGTCACAGAGATCTGAAGATGTTACACCAATGGCTTTGAACACAGAGGAAGGGGCCACAAGCCAAGGAATGCAGGCAACCTCTAGAAGGTGGAAAAGGCAAGGAAACAGATTCTGCCCTAGAGCCTCCAGAGTACAGCCTTGTCTACACTGATCTCAGCCCAGTAAAACTCATCCCGGACTTTACTTTTTGGAAACAGGGTCGTATTCTGTTGCCCAGGCTGGAGTGCAGTGGTACGAGCTCAGCTCACTGCAACCTCCACCTCCTGGGTTCAAGCGATTCTCCTGCCTCAGTCTCCTGAGGAGCTGGGATTACAGGCGCTCACAACCATGCCTGGTTAATTTTTGTATTTTCAGTAGAGATGGGGTTTCATCATGTTGGCTAGGCTGCTCTGGAACTTCTGACCTCAAGTGATCCTGCCACCTCGGCCTCCCAAAGTGCTGAGATTACAGGCTTCCATGCCTGACCTCATCTTAGACTTCTGACCTCCAGAACTGTAAAATAATAAATGTGTGTTGTTTTAAGCCACTAAGTTTGTGGTCATTTGTTACAGTGGCCACAGAAACTCACACACCTATTGGGCACTGGCTGCATACCTGGTTCTGTCTAAATGCTAGATATATTTGAACTCTTTGTTTTTGTGTTTGTTTTTGTTTTCCTTCACTGACAGATATATTTGAACTCTTTACTCCCCACAGCAACTCTATGAGGCAGATATGATTTATTATCCTCATTTTATATGAGGAAATTGAGGCCCAGAGAGGTTACATAAACTGCCAGTTGATAAATGGTTTCTGCTGGTCTCAAGAGGGAGCTGGGGTAGACAAGTTGGCTTGATGCACTTGCTATACAACTCTTAGGAAAATATCACAAAAATAACATAGGATGCCCTCCTGAGAGTGGACCAGAAGGATGCTCCCCCCACAGAAAGGAGAAAGTTACCCACACTCACCTATGTAACTCATGCACTGTGCCCAGAAGCAGTTAATTATGGGCAGAGATGAGAGAGAGATTCCAGGACAGCTGCCCTCAGTGGTTGGTACACTGGATATGAACACTAGGATTGGTGAAAGACAAAGCCAGAGCAACAGTGGCCAAAGGTTCTTATGCACAGAGAGATGTGGCAGAGCCCACCACTACCACCGGGCCCATCTTTGTTGCCCTGGTAACGGGGTTGCAGAGGTGGTTGTCGGTGACCACTCAGATCTTACCAGCAGGTGCAAGTTCTGCTTTCTGCTTCCCCAAACTACTTCCCTGACTAAAAGAGGTCAGTTCCCTGCAGCAATGCAAAACACCTCTCTTCCCGCAGCTCCTGACAATGACAAGGGCTGGCTTGATAGTGCTGACTTGCTGTACTCCAGTGACAGCTTTCCACACTCACACTGTAGGACAGCCAAATGAGTCAACGCCCAGAGTCATGCTCCTCTGATCAAAATCTCAGGCTGGGCACAGTGGCACATGCCTACAATCTCAACACTTCGGGAGGTTGAGTCAGGAGGATCACTTGAGGCCAAAAGTTCAAGACGGGCCTGGGCAACACAGCAATATCCTGTCTCTATTTTTAAAAATAAATAAATAAATAATTTTTTGAAAGACAGTCTCACTCCGATGCCCAGGCTAGAGTGCGGTGGTCACAGGTCACTGCAGCCTCAACTTCCCGGGCTCAAGTGATTCTCCTACCTCAGCCTCCCAAGTAAGTGGAACTATAGGCACACACCACCACATCCCAGCTGATTTTTGTATTTTTTGTAGACACAGGGTTTCTCCATGTTGCCCAGGATGGTCTTGAATTCCCGGGCTCAAGCAATCTGCCCGCCTCAGCCTCCCAAAGTGCTGGGATTACAGGTACCACACCCAGTCATCTCTATAAAAAACATTTAAAAATGAGTCGGGCATAGTGGCTCATGCCTCTAGTCCCAGCTACATGGGAGGCTGGGCTGGGAGGATTGCCTGAGCCCAGGAGTTCAAGGCTACAGTGAGCTATGATTGTACCACTGCACTCCAGCCTGGGTAACAGAGCAACACCCTGTCTCTTAAAAAAAAAAAAACAAATAAATTTTTTAAAAAGAAAAATCTGACCCCTCCACTGACTAGTTATTTGACCTCTCCGAACCTCAGTTTCCTCAGTTGTAAAATGGGCATAATTACCAACCTAATTCAAAGAGTTCTTGTAAGGATTAAATGAAATAATGCAAGTAATGCCCTCAGCACAGTGCCTGGCACATTGCAAGTTTCAATAAATGCCACCTGTTACTACTGTCATTGTTGTTTTTTCCATTACTACCCATGTAACTTCATAAATAGTACATGCCTCATGGGCCTAAAGCAATTGCTTAAAATGGTAAAACTCAGGGGGCTGAATTTGCTCTGTGCTATTATTCACATTAAAACAAATGGTGATTATTCATAGAAATGGGCAACAGGGATTGGATCCAGAAATAAATCTTTTTAAAAATCTTACTTTTGGCTAGAAATTTTAACCAAGTTCTACGCTTCTCACCAGCCTGTTTTCTACCTAAATGTAGCCAACACATACACACACACACACACACACACACACACACACTCTCTCTCTCACTCTCTCTCTTTTCTTTTTCATATAAGATGAAATGCTTGGCATGGCCTTGAGGAAAATTCCTTTGCTCTTTCCTTTATTCCTAATCACACCTGGGTGGGTGGGCTAGAGAACAAGACCCAAACCACCCAGGGAGGGAGTGAAGATCCACAGACTGGGTTCCTGATCCTTCAGAGATCAAAAGTCATCCACATGTCACGAAGTCACACACACGACATGCGTCAGGGATGACAACACGTCACAGTTCCTTGTGCTTAAGCACACAACTGGCACCCTTTTAAAAGAACGATGACATGGGTGCATGATGATAAGTAGGATGTAGCTTGAAAAACTTAATGACACATAGAAGGCTGGCCCCAGTGGGGCTTCCTGTTTAAAGTGCACTGCTGTGGGTACAAAACAGATTACTTTTTCACCCCCCACCGAAAAAAAAGAAAGGCATTTTTAGGTCAGTTATCAATGGGCCCAGAAGCAAGGAGACGTGCAGCCCCCACCCGCCAGCACTCGAAGGAGACCATGAGACAGCCCTCCTCACCCCAGGTCCAGCCCGTTATTCTGCTATTCTATGTTTGACAAATGCTCACTGTTTGAAGTTCTAAGTACAGCAATTAAGAGCTCTTCAGAATAAAGGTGCTAAAGAAATCTTTTTTTTTTTTTTAAAGAATAAATAAAAATCGCATCTAAAAAAAAGCTAGAGTAAGAATGCTATGACTAAGCTGGGTGTGCAGCAACAATCCCATAAACAATCATGCGACTGGAGGATGAAGCTGGAGAGTAAAGGTTATCAGGCTTCCTGCACCTTCCCTGGTCCTCAATGGAGGTACACATTAGAATCGCTTGGAGACCTTTTAAAAAATAGCAGATGTGTAGGCCCCATTCAGACCAACTAAATCAGAGAGTCAGACAAATTTGGAGTGTGGCCCCGGGAAGCAACATTTGTATTAAGCTACTGAGTGATTGTAATGTATAGACAGGATTAAGAACCATGGTGCTAATTAGAAGAAAGTGCTTCTGATTTAGGGTCTAGCCACCTAAAACTCATTGTATGACCATCCCCAGCATTTAGTTCCATGTGGCATTTTAGCCAGACAATTTGGTACTGGTGCTTTTTCGTCACTCTTTGAGTAAGAACCCAATTTTGAAACTAATGGTGGTGGGCTATGAATTTCAAAACAACATACAGGTATTAGATAATGATTAAAGCCTATTGCCCCCAATGTTAATAATTCAGTTAAAAGATACCATTTCCATGAATTTCTATAAAAGAAATATACTACAGAGAGACATGGCTCAATTTAAAATGTTTATATTCTATTCATTTTTCATATAGACATGGGGTAATTCAATCTCTAGCATCAATGGTAAGTTCTCAGTATGTATTTCTTGAGCACATATATCCTCCCCAACAAATATTCTGAAATATTACAATTTTCTTCTTTTTCTAAGATTTTCTTTTCTTTTTTTTTTTTTTTTTTTTTTTTTTGAGACGGAGTCTCACTCCGTTACCAGGCTGGAGTGCAGTGGCACGATCTCGGCTCACTGCAACCTCCACCTCCCAGATTCAAGCAGTTCCTCTGCCTCAGCTCCCAAGTAGCTGGGATTACAGGCGCGCGCCACCACGCCAGGTAACTCTTTTTTTTTTTTTTTTGTATTCTAGTACAGACAGGGTTTCACCATGTTGGCCAGGATGGTCTTGTTCTCCTGACCTCATGATCCACCTGCCTCGGCCTCCCAAAGCCCTGGGATTACAGGCTGAGCCACCATGCCTGGCCTGTTTTCTAAGATTTTTATTAGCCATCCTTCTGACTTTCAAAGCAACTGCAAGTGATTGCCGATAATTGCATTATGCTAACATTGACCATAATATAAATCATAGCTTGAGAGGTTCGATCAAAGACTGGCCTGAGAGTCACCAGATACACCAAATATTATTGCATATTACATTATAATAATATCACATACATATTATCACATATATATTATTACCAAATATAGCCCTGTCCCCTTCAAGCAGCAAGTCTGCGGGTCTAAAATTATCCCGAAAAGTACCACTTCATCACGCGTAGTATTATTTAAAGAGCTGATACTATCACTGCTTTAAGGAAAGTTTGC